GTTTATTTTCCCGGTCATATATATATATATATATATATATACTTCAATTTGTTCCTAATTTGGCCATATATACGCATAACTTTAAAGCCTAGTCATTCATTGTGTAGACCCATTGCGATGTTTATTGCCAATCATATTATATCGTCAAAAAGGTCGAAATATCTGGAGATAACATAATTAAATAATGTGCCTCATTCACAACGACACTACATTATAAAAATGTTCTGTTATGCGTGAAAACATCAACAAATTAGATTCCATCAAACACTATAATGAAATTATACCACATTCAACCTCATTTGTCATTGAATAAAGAAGGGCCAATTTCAATAACTGGCGGTCTTTGATGTTTAACCGCGATCGAAATGACGTAACCGCAGACGAAATATGGTCCTGCGATTGCGGTGACAGCAGGAGCGAAACGGGAGGCGACGGGGAAAGTAATTATTTGGCGTATTAATCCCCGTGGGTGACAAAGCTAAAATGAATGATTATAAGACGGTTAAAACAGTTCACGTTATATAAGTGATGCAAAAACATAGATTGCCAAAAGTACAGTAGCCTACTATATTTGGCGCACATCATAGCGCAGCGAAAAAAAATTCAAGAATTCATATGGTAACAAAACTACAACATCTACGCCGGCTTTTGGTGTTGAGCTCTAACACAATGACAATATACCGAGATATAATTAGAATGGTATTTTTTAGAAACAGACGATCAAGTACTTCTCCTGCATTCATCAAGCAAAAATAATTTCAACTCCATGAACGCGATGCTAAAAGATGTAAAAACAATGTCGTAGTAGGTATTACGTAAAATAATCTGAATCACACTGAACCTTCCACATTTTATCGCCACTCGCAAATTATTTGTGATCCGTTCGTGCGATCTCTAATCCCGAGTTTGTTTGAACCTTGACTGGTGAATGGGCCAAATTATTTCTTATAAGATTTTATCAGGTCCTTTTTGCTAAAACTTCAATGTTTAGAGGACTTGGCATAGCTACATCGTTGAAACACGAACAAGGAACAATATATTATGGAAATTCAGTACCTCACAAGATACAAGGCTCAATGACGTCATAGGATAGAACGTTTCAAAAACCCTTCATATATACTCTGGTAAAGATAACAGAGAATTGGAGACGGACTCGCAGTGTATTTTTTGGGGAAACGTTATATCTATGCAGTCATAATTAGAGGTAATCGTCCATTCAACCTGTGTAACACAATCTACCCATTCAATGAATTAACAATCAATCAGCATTCGTTTTGGTTTGGTCAATTACCCTCCATTCAGGCATAAAACGCTTTCGCTTGTTCCCGCGCTAATATATTGATTTAAATTGACGTTCACAGGTGACGTAGTAGCGACACCTAGTGGTATGGTGATAATCAACTGAATGAACTCAAATTTATTTAGATGATAATCTACTTGAGTGTCCACTCAAAATACAATTATAAACATCCCATCGGAATTAATAAGGCACTCGACTAATGACATATGCTATTGTTAAAACGGCTTATTTAATCATCATATCAAACTCATTAAGCTCAATGGTAATTCGAATGCACAATAATTTTAGCAGATATTTTCCCAATGATATAAAGAGTGACCAGTAGAGGCCTACAAATGGTATCGATGAAATTCCTTCATGATTGAAATTTTTTTATGACTTCATTACATTGGTTTACCTAGAATATTATAGAAAAACCAAACACACAATTATCCTCCATAGTGGTAACGTTGATCCTTTTGTTTTCTTTTAATTCTTTCAGAAATTGATCATGAATCGCATTGTAATTTATCTTAATATGCAATATCTGACATCAAGTTATAAAAAAGACATGGACAAAAGACTAAAACTACAACAAGAGTAATTACAATGTAACAGTAATATCCAATTACATTATAAAGCTTCTAATCGAAACATGCGATCAACTCCATATGCTACATGAATCATCCACAAAAAAATAAACACTCACTCTATCATCTACATTAAGACTGCACAAGCTCAGTGTGTCTTCATCTTTTCCTGATATTGATATCTTCCGTCTTTTCCTTCGATTTAGTGACTAGAAAAGAGGGTTTTTACTTAATGTATTACAATGAACTATCAGAGAATTATACATATCAAAACTTTTTTTTAGATTTTCACAATGGTTCTAAACAATAAACAACTTCATTGCTAGTGATAATAAAATACTGTGTCTTCCTACTTGCATGTATGCTAACTTTTTAGTTATTCATCTAATTGAGAGCTAAGACTTGGAAGGCCAGTCTGGATATAACTATGCTAAGTTGGTAAACTGACAGACAGATGTGTCTGGCTATTGGCATAGCAGTTTTTTTCTACCAACACAATATAAAAATCAACACCATATAGCCAACCAGATTTTCTGGTCAGTCAGTTTATATACAAAAGTTCTTGTACAAAGCCTTGTTCATAGTTAAAATGTGAAAACATCTCATAAAAATACTTACAAGGAAATCAAATCCGCCAGATAATGGGCTACGAAATGGTGAATCACTGAATGCCACTTTCTTCGCTGCAGGTCCCCTTGAAGATGAAAAAGAAATAGCATTACATATTCTATTAGTGAAGAACCAATGATAATAAAAAATTAAAGTTGGCAATTTTAACTATGACACAAAATGTTTTCACAAAATTTATTATTTGTAAAAAAATGCATTTGAAACATACTATGCGATATTTCCAAATCTGCCATATAACTTACATGAAAGGGTGGCATCAGTGATGGTTAAAATCATATAATTAGTTAATTACTATTGTAAATATGTTCCTGATTCCTAAACTGATATTTTTGAATATAAAACATCAAATATTTTTTTAAATTAGTCACCTTTAATAAGAATGCAATGAAATCAGTGTATATTCAATAACTTTATAAAAAGGGTTGCAGACGGGCTACGACTACATTGGTTTTCTACTAAATACAGTTTTCAGAAGTTAAAATAGGGCGTTGTGGCAATACTATCAGAATTCAATTGCTCAAAATGAAAATTTTTAAAATAAAATTATCAGATAAAGTTATATAAAAGTTATATTATAAAAGTTTCAGATAAATGTGAAGCTTAATTTAAATTATTCTAAAAATCAAGAATCTGAAATATCTAGTACAATTAATACCAAATCGGTGTGATTCCTTTTGGCATTAATTAAAATTACTATATCCACGGGAAATCATGTACTACTCTGATTAAAACATTGATCCATATGTAAAATTAGATACTTACAATATGGTTTCATTTCCACTTCCATTCTCTATACTTGCGAGACAAGCAGTTGACTGATTTCTTTTCTTTCTTAGCCTGAATCGATTCATCATCGAATTGTTCATCACTTCAATAATCGTATATGAAAAGTTACTTTTCCATCAGTCACAGTGCAACATTTTGTTAGGCAAACAGTTCTACAGTGAATTACCTACAGACCTAATTTGTCATGACACAAAGATTCTGTTAGAGTGTATAAATAAACCGAGATAAATGTTTTTGGAAGTAAATGATACCAATCATACTAAATGCCTCAAAGTAGGCTAAGTGGGTATGCCAGACTTTTTTCTATATATCACTGAAATGATTTTTTAAATTTTGATAATTGATTGCATTTTATGTCAAATTTGTCTTATGCAATGCTGACTACAATCTGACAATGGGTCATATACATAGTAAATTATATAACATAAGTCAGTAAGTTATGTCTGTATGTGCCACAGACAGACAGATTTGCATTGAATCTCATGTAAAATTAATTTGAATAGAGATAAAGTGTGCTAGCTGCTCGGCAGCATTAACACTCTCTAGCCCTATTCAGCTATTCCAGTCAGATTTCGGGACTTGGGTTATTCCTGAACTAGGGCCCTAGATTAATAGTTGGTAAAATACAGAAACAGAGTAATATTCAAGAAAATTGTTGGCCCAGTCAGCCAGTGAAGAGTTGACCAGATAATAAATGAATGTGTTTACAATTAAAAGAGAAACGTCAGGCCTATGTCTGTTTGTGAGGACATAGAGCCATATTAATCCCTTAAATTTCCCAAGGCTGCAAGGTCAGAATGTAGATCAGTAGATAGGCGGCGTGTCGTTGTTCCTATTTTTTGTTGGTGTTTATTAGTCCATATTCCAGTATTCGATATTACAGTATTACATTATCAGGCCTGCTGTCTCACAGTTCTGCTGTCCAGCAATCTGATGCCTAGGAACCTGGTACCGGTAATACTGTAATACAGTAATAGGAGGGCAAGGGCCTACCGTACTTCCAGACTTCTCTTTACGCCTGACCGGTACCAGTTACCGTACCACTGTACTGCCCGTGTAAGCATTAATAAAATACAGGTATAAGAACTGTGCTTTCTCAATAATTAAAATTCACACCACTAATTCAAAGAATACTTAATACTGTATTCAGTACCGTAGTTCATTTCACTCAGAGACAGGCGCGGTCTCACGCAAAAACCACTGCAACCAAACCTTATCTTGATACAGTGATAAGATCGATTTCCTGAAGTTGGATTACGCGCCATCGAGAACGAACCAATGTTATGGCGTCACGGAAGAGCGACCGCAAATGGTCACTTTTTGTTTCAACGCTCCCGCAACAACAGTCGATCACGTTCCGCTCATTGCCTCACTGCAAGTTTAATCGTTCAATTGCTAATACTATGAATAATCGTACTTGCTACGTTATTTTACCGATCAATACTGGAGATTTGCGAGCAGAATCACGCACTTCACAACTCTGCCCTAGCTTTCTTCCAACTGACGAAACATGAGTGATTTACCCAACTCAATAGATGCATAATATCAGCGGTTTTAATCATTGGCCTCACACATCATGGTCCTTAGCACCTTCCCGACTCGCAGACTATTTCTCCACCATCAGACGTACTTAGCGCTTGAGCGGTTCATCTGGTTCATGCATTAAATGTTCCCAATCAACTACACCGACGCTTCTTTCAGCGAGATAAAGTTTAGAATTTTGTTAGTACAAATATATTTGCCGTTTGAAAACTGCATGATTACAAACAATAATTTGCAAAGTAAAACCAAAACCATTATAATTAAAACGACTATCAAAGAAAACAGTAAGCAAGATGGTCTCACCAAGCAGCATATCAAGAAGTTGTCTGTGGACAAAACACCAAGCAGGTGAGAAAATTTCACCATATTTTAAATGGTAGATCGTCAGACTAGACCTGATTCTATTATTTAATAGTAAAATACTGCTTCTATATGATCTTTACTTAATCCACTGGGAATAGAGAAATTGTTTTTCTTGAAATTCCTTCTTCAAATTCTCGAATAACTATAAACCTGTTGACGAATTTATAAAACTCAACACTAATGATACCAAATAATTAATAAAAACAAGAATATAACAACAAAAAAAATAAAATTTGCCCGGTTGACACTTGAAAAAAGAACACTCATAAATTTTATAAGCATAGCAAGGCTTCAAAATGTATCCAAATTTCATCATGTTTTATGCCAGTAAAAGAAATACCAAAATTGGCCAGCAAAGATCTATTTTGATTCAAATTTAATCTGTAACACGAAATGTTCATCAAAGAATACAAAAGTCAGGTATGAGAGGTGCATAGAATATAAGCCTCTCCTCTCATATATCCCTACTCTCCCTATACTTTACTTTTATGTCTCAGTGGGATCCCATATACATAAATGAATAGCGATTATTTTGTTTTTCGTTTCAATTAATTAGGGTATACATCATTGAGCAGCTATTTAATCCAAGGAAGGATAAGTGACAGGAAAGACTTTTGCGAATTGCCAGCTATAGTGTTTGATACAACTCAAAACTTATTCAAATATGCTATGTTCAGTCAAAACATGTAGGAAGATCCCATTAATAAAAGGGTTGACATAGAAAAAAATGTCCTATTATGAAAACAAGAATAAAACTTGTAATCAATAACAATGAACTTTACCTGCTTGGCAAGTCAGTAGCTCTATCATGAAATGTGTGAGGATATGGAAATTTTGTGTGGACAATCGATTTTTATTTTCTCTTTTTTTAATTTTGCAGAATTATTTAAAAAATTTACGTTTCATTTTAAATTCAAATTTAATTATTGATTACCATTATTATTATCAACAGTCATGTAAATAAACACTGACTAATGGGATCACTTTTTTAAAGTCCTAAAGCTTGCAAATCATGCTGTAATAAGTATGGGCATTGAGGACAAGCTTTGTTTATATATGCAGTACAGAGTTACACTTAGAAATACACTTATCACTGTAACTGGATAAATTCAGTCAGTTATGAAGTATGTGGTAAGCGATTAAAAAAAGTTATTCAAAGAAAAAATCACTGTTGCAAAAACAATAAAAATAAGCATGAATTATTAGGTTACCGTGTGAAACTTGTGAATTAAATGAATGAAATCCAGGCAAAATGGAAAACTGAGCGCAGAGCAACTTCTTGCTACCCCAAAGTTTATGAAGCACCGCCATAATGATACACACTCATTACTGTTATAGATTCAAAGCGTAAACCATGTTTAGAAGTTCTGTGTCTAGAGCTAATCAGATAAACTTGGAAATGTAAGTTATGATAAAAGGCAGTAAGAACATAGTACAAATTTAATTGAGTATGACTATTTTTAGCCTGTGTTTATATAACAAATTTTATTCCTTCAACACGTAAAAAAATATATGTCAAATGTCTTTTGCTAACACCCAAATAGTAATTTTACTATATTATCTGTGAAAGATCATATTGGCAGCATTAGAAAATTGTAAATTAGGTATATTTTGATTCAAGTTAACCCCATGAGTCCAACATGAAATAAAGACATACCTATGTGTATCATTGAAATTTAAATTCATTGCAAAACCCATAGAAGCAAGGACTATGCTTGAAAGGATAAAAAGCATGCATGATAACCAAAAAAGCGATTGGAAATTTTGAATATAATAAAGGGGCGAATAATAACGACTATTTCATTGTATTAGCACTGACATTGTTTGTGCAGAATTTAAAACAAGAAAAAAATGATAACAATAAGATTGATAATAACTGACACAATTTAGTGCAAATAACGCAAGACAGAGAAAGAAGGCATGGTACCTTTATTAAATGAAACATTTGCGGCAAGTGTTATGCCTTTGACGATTCTTACAAATTTAAAAGCAGAAAAGCAAGCAGGGAAAGTCTGTTCCATTCCAACATTGTCACAACAGCATACAGGTATGTGCCATGGTAATCGTTCCCAATGGTAATGTCATGAAAACATACCAGACCAACACAACTCTTTTATACACGCAAGCATAATACTTTTCGCAAATTAGCATCAACACCGCATTAGATAAATACACATCATGACACTAGTGTTGAGATCTTGCTCGAAGGGTTCAAATTGGGCTAACTTATTATTGACCCATATTGGGGCTCGTGTTTTACACCATTGTGCGATATGGTCCATGTACTCTTAGATATTGCATGATTGTGCTTGGACCTCCTTCCACACATGGTTGTGGTATCTGACTCAATGGACATCCCTCAATGGACATGAGTGCTAACTTCTTGCACAAAGCGAGTTCAAAAGGCAGGTCTTGTAGAGGATTATCATTCAAATAAAGTTCTTCGAGTGATGAAAGGTTTCCTAGAAAAGAATCACAATGAACATATTAAACAGTGATTTGTATCCAACTTACCACTTGTTAAATAACTCAATCTGTTAAGGATGAAATGGAAAGTTACTAAAAGCGACCTAATGAATTCTGAATCATTATAGACTGTGCTTCCCATAGAATGGATACTTCAGAATTAACAAATTTCATCCAACAGATTGTGGGTGTGATGGCCTAGCACAGTTTGAACCAAAACCTTTTTCAAGTGACGCAATTTTTTTTTAAATAAATTTTGTAAAATCTTGCGTAGGACATACTCGCATATATATACTTGTTATGTAGTGCTTTTTTGGCCACAAAGTAAAATGGCTACTACAAAACAGTATCTTCACATGATATTTATTTCAGCAGTAATATTTCAAAGTTACTAGTCAGTAAGTAAGTTGGGTTGTGGTTTTGTGGATTCACTTGAGCAAAATAGAGGCTGCCAAGTTTTAATGTTGAGATATTTCCCATATATAAACTTACGACTGAGCAATACTACAATACCAAATAATTTATAATAGAAATAGGAAAATTTACTAGAAGATATTTTTGTCAGAAAAACATGCCATCAAAAATAATTTTTGCCCCGTAAGTTGGGAGACACTGGACTAGCAGTTACAGCGCTTGAACTAGCTGTGACCGACGTACATTCCCATTTATGTGGACCTCATGAATTAACTGAGAGGCTGATAATGAAATCAACAATTCTCATTCTGTTTTGCACAAGCAATTCCATCGCCACCCTGAAACCTTGTTACAATAATGCCATTTTTTTAAACAAAAAGAGAAGACTAACCACCAATCTTCAATTATTAATGGGCTGCAATATTCTATTTGGTCAACAGCCAAGATTACTAATCAGATTATAGTCACAAAGTAAAAATCAATTATCCACTCTAAAATGATGTAGAGTGAAATTAAGTAATCCTCTAGGGCAGTGGTTGTCAAACTTCTTGGTATTGCGACGCCCTCCAAAAAATATGGCCAAGCTGATTCCCGGTGAAAAATGTCTGGATACCTTTCAATAAGAGACCTCTTTTACAATGAGTTTTATTTAAATTATGCCTGAAGAGAACTGCTGTGGTGTCAATATTAAATATCTGTTTAGGTCAACGCGCAGACGAAGTGCTGAACAACGCTTGATGTTCCCTTGTTCATGAAAGAATTTGAAATGAACGGCATGCATGACTCGATCTGATCCAGCCTGTGTGATGTCATAATTGGAACAGTATTGAATGATCCATGATGTTTGTCAAGTCACATATAGATAAGATCGATCGTTACAATAATTAATATATTGTCATTTCCAGTTCTCAAGTATGATTTAAACGACAATAAAGAAAATTTTGACTTTTTCTACGCATCGCAGGTACAAATCCGCAAAAGAAGGAACGTTTTGCGACGCCCTATCAATATTGAAACGACACACTTGGGCGTCGTGACGCCCAGTTTGAGAACCATGGCTCTAGGCGAGAAATATGTAGTGTAACAAATTAACCAATAATTTGGATAATGGAAGTCAAATTCTATATAATAATTGACGTAATCGAAATATTGAAGAGATCTTTCTAGTCTTTCTCGTGTATGAGAAAATGGATATTTTCCCATGTCGGGTGACCCATAAACAACCGAAATATTGAAGAGATCTTTCTAGATCATTCGAAATATTGAGTCTAGATCTTTCTCGTGTATGAGAAAATGGATATTTCCCATGTCAGGTAACCTATAAACAAGTGTAATTATTGTAAGAAGGGTACCGAACATTCTAGATATGAGCAAAATTGCTCCGTGGGAAACGAGATTTTTGGATAATAAAGAAAGGTACCGTTTTTGGCGAGCGAGATGAAAAAGATGTTACCGTTTAAATAGACATTTTGATCGTGGTTTGCCCGGCTTTTCTACTTCAATTCGTTCGATACAGCAACCGGCTTTTCTATTTCAATTCGTTCGATACAGCAACCGGCTTTTCTATTTCAATTCGTTCGATACAGCAACCGGCTTTTCTATTTCAATTCGTTCGATACAGCGCCCGGCTTTTCTATTTCAATTCGTTCGATACAGCAACCGGCTTTTCTATTTCAATTCGTTCGATACAGCAACCGGCTTTTCTATTTCAATTCGTTCGATACAGCAACCGGCTTTTCTATTCGTTCGATACAGCAACCGGCTTTTCTATTTCAATTTCGATGCAACAATGCTAATTCATCACCGACTTGGTTTTCACGATTGTGAGTGTGTTTTATTGTAAGTCAATTTATTGTGATATATTATCTGTGGAAATAAAAATCTTTACAGGCAAATGGGTCAGATCCTTACTGTTATATAAAATTAACAGATATCTCAAATTGAACACGTAACCTACTATATATTCTGTTTTTGGAGTCAGATACTTATCTAATTCGCTCAATCAGAGACCAATTTAGACACCAGAAGTTACATTGGTGACCCCGAACGTCGGGATTATTATGGATCGTCAACAATCGTAAGTCATTTTATTCTATTAACTATTCTGTGTGATTTATCAACTGTTTGACCTGGTTTGTAATATCTTCTTACAATATTGTACCTGGTTTTACTTAAGTGTGTATAAGGTTGTATGGTATATTGATTATTCGGTAAATAAATGTCCAAATTACAAAAAATGTTTACGCGAAGCAAAGCTCGTAAATCAGAACAATCAGGTGTAAATCCATATCAATTAACACATATTACGCCTGAAATACCAAAACGTCGAGATATTGAAGACGAAACAGAATTTGGACTTGAAAATTTGAATATTTCTGAATCAAATTTAATTGAACGTGAAGATGACAATTGTAATTGGCAAAGTTCGTCCCCAAGGGAAACAAAACCTGTTGTTGATATGGAGCTTACGCAGTGCGAGGATTTGGGAGGTGATTCTGGACAGAGAATAACTTTTCAATTGCCGTCGGTTAGGAAATTTAATGACACAAACAACCCATTTTTGACCAATAAAGATAGAGTAGAAGATTCCGGACCGAATTACGGCATAAATTCCAGAATCTCTCAGATAACTGAACCTAGAACAATATTGTACGAAAAGCATAGAATTCCCACGAGACCACTTTGGGAAAATTCGGTGAAAAATTGGATCTTTTTAACGGAAAACGAATTCGCTGAAAATCAAATAGTCAGCGACTCGCAAAAGAAAAACTATATACTAAGGTGTTTAAATTCTCCACAACTGGATCTTGTCAGGGCAAGGATGCCGCTCGATGAACATGATAATAATTATGAAAAACTGAAACAAATTTTGTTGGACATTTTTGCACCGGATTCTCGAGAAAAATTACAGAAAATATTTTCTGGGCAATTACAAAATGAAAGGCCAGATATTATTCTTAAATATTTGAAAGATTCCTTTATTGGGGGACATAGAAACAGTATAGAAGTTCAAAATCTAATAAAGAAAGTGTTTGTAGCATTGTTACCAGCTTACATAGCCAACGTCTTATACTCAGATATAGCAAAATATTCATGCGAGAAATTGCTGGCTCGCGCGATGCAAATTTATGATTCCTCAGATAATAATTCGAACCATGTTACAAGTTCCTATCAAAAAGACAATTCTGGACAAAATAAACTGGAGCAATTAACAGATCTGGTAACGTCTCTGGCTAAAAATGTTGATAATTTGAATACCCAAATCAAAGCAATAAACAGCCCAAGATTCGAACCAAAATTTAACCCGGTTCATCGATATAATGCCCCTCCGCAGCATCAAGCGAGACAGTACAATTCTCAAGATGGGCGTCAATTTGAAACGAGGAAGTTTGCTAGAGGTTATCCTAGGAATACTTTCAATTCGAACAATTATAACTGGAGACGGAATTGTGATGTAAATTTCTGCTATTTCCATAATAAATTTGGAGAAAACGCAGTCAAATGTAATGCCCCTTGCAGCTTTCCTAGAAAGAAGAACTAATAGAGCAGACGATTTTTCAATTCCGTGTCATAATACGTTAAGTGGTGCGCCAATATTAACCTTAATACCGGAAACAATAGATAAGGAATACCAATTATTATTGCAAAAATATCCAGAAATTTTAATCCGGAAACATGCAAAATTTCGAGGAATTAATCATAATTATCAACACGATATTATAACTTTTGGACCTCCAGTTTATACAAAAGACCGACCGGTTCCGTTCAAATATAAGAAGCAAGTAGACGACGAGATAAATAAATTGTTAGAAAACGGAGATATAATTCGCGGAGTTAGCCCGTATTGTAGCCCGCTGAACGTAGTTCCTAAAAAGGACAATTCAATTCGTTTAACTTTTGATTATAGACGTTTGAATCTGATTACAAGAATCCCAAGATTCCCATTGCCGAGACTTGAAGATTTTACGTCGGAACTCGCCGGATGTACAATCTTTACTAAACTCGACCTTGAATCGGCTTACTCAAATATCAAACTTAATCCGTTACATAGACATAAGTGTGCATTTAGCGTCGCGAATGCTCAGTATATTCCCATTATGATGCCATTTGGCATTGCTTCCGCACCCAGTTCCTTCTCTAACTTCATGAGTAAAGTTTTGTTTGGGTTGAAAAATGTTTTTGTCTATCTTGATGATTTACTAATTTACACTAAAACAAAAGAGGAAAACTTGAAAGTCACCGATCAAGTATTTAAACGACTAAACCACTATGGTTTAACACTAAACCTAAAAAAATGCGAGTTTGGAAAGTCAAATCTTTCTTATCTAGGCTACGAACTTGATGAAAATGGAATAAAACCAATCAGAGACAAAGTCGAGGTTATTAAAAAATTTCGAGTACCACAAACAATTACAGAATGTCGCAAATTCATAGGCATGTGCAATTTTTATAGGAAACATATAGCCAGATATTCTGAGATAATTTATCCGATTACTCAATTAGTCTCAGATAAAAACCGCAAACGTCAAAAACCAATTTGGACAGCAGAATGTGATGCTGCCTTTCATAAAATCAAAGAGTGTTTGGTTAACGCATGCATGATAGCACACCCAAGAATTGATGTGCCAATAACGGTAATATGTGATGCAAGTTCGTCTGCTATTGCAGGGGCCGTAACACAATATGTTGACGGAATAAACCAGCCCTTGGGGTTCTTTTCAAAAACTCTATACAAGCGAGAGAAAAACTATACTATTTTCTCCAAAGAACTAATGGCTTGTTACTTAACCATTAAGTACTTTAAAAATCTTTTAATCGGTCGACAATTTCAATTATTATCCGATAACAAAGCGTTAATTCAGGCACTAAATAATCCGACAAATAGACCCAGCGACAGAGAAAATCGTCAACTGGATTACATCACAAGTATGACAAACTCGTTTTCTCACATACCGGGGTCAAGTAATCCAGTGGCCGATTTTATTTCTCGCTATGTAAATAATGATAGCCAAAGTAATGATAAAATTAATACAGAAAAAGCTAATACAATGGACGAAATAGAGACGCGCGAAGCAAAAACAGCGGTCGTCAAGGACAACGACGCAGCGAAGCGTATAACGTCATCCGAACCACAGACGCACGAAACCGGTGAAGCGAATAAATCAGTCGACGCAATGACGCACGTAACGTCAGCCGACGCAAGCACACAGCAGACGCAAGGAACCGGTGAAGCGTGTAAAACCGTTGACGCGATGTCTGACATAACGCCATCTGAGCAACGTAACCGCGGAACTGATAATACGTGTGGAGTAGAGAATAAATCTGTGATAGAAAATGGAAATGTTCTAGAAAATAAAACTGTAAATATTATTTATCAACAACAAGATGCCATTCCTTTAACGGAAATAGCTAAAGAGCAAGAAAACTGTAAAGAAATACAAAGTTTAAAAGCAAACTCTGGCCATTCACTCAAGCTTGCAGAAATAGCCATAGACAACATGGGTGGAGTTATTCTATGTGACGTATCCTTGGAACATAAGAAAGCTAGACCTATAATACCCAAGATTTTACGTAGGAGAATTTTCGACAAAATACATGACCTTTGTCATCCAGGTATTAAAAGCACCAATAATTTAATTTCAGAACGTTACGTATGGCCACAAATGCATGCAGATATTACAAATTATGTGAAATCTTGTTTGAAATGTCAGAAAAACAGGATCTTTAGACACACTGTATCTCAACTGTCATCTATTCCTATTCCTAATGAAAGATTTTCAGAGGTTCAAATAGATATTGTTGGACCATTTGTACCAAGCAAAGGTTTTACTTATATTTTTACGATGATTGACCGTACCACACGTTGGATAGAGGCGATCCCGATATGTGATCTGACCGCCTCAACTCTTATAGATACATTTTTATTGCATTGGGTTGCCAGATTTGGGTGTCCAACTCTCCTTAAGAGTGACAATTACTCCTCTTTCAGAAGTAAAAATTGGGCTCAATTTATGAATTTTTTAGGAATAAAACATAAATTTTCATTGCCATATATGCCGCAGGGAAACGGACAAATAGAACGAATTCATAGAGAATTAAAACTTGGTTTGAAGTGTCAGGAAAACCCTAGTGAATGGTCATCAAACTTGGGATACGTCCTTTTAGGTTTGAGGTCCATTCCGAAAGTAAACGGATTTTCATTGTCCGAACTTGCATATGGGAGAACACTGAGACTCCCTGGAGAATTAGTGGAAAGTTCTGACATAACCCAAGATTTTGACCCTTACAGTTATGTTTCTAAATTAAAACGTTTTTTTGGAAATTTTAAAGCTCTTCCAACAAGAAAGAAATTAAGGTCTAATGTATATATTCCACCAAAGTTGTTCACTTGTAGTCATGTGTTTCAACGAATAGATCACGTAAAAAAGTCTTTGCAACCCAACTATCAGGGGCCATATGAAGTGATATTTCGAAATAAGACTGCTTTCACTATAAAAAAAAATAAGGGTATAGAACGAGTTTCTATTAACCAATTAAAACCTGCTGAAATTACTATTTTTGAAACAGATAAGGAAGAACGTCCTGAACAAAAACATGACGTGGAAAACCAAAATTTTCACACTGAAATTGAAAAACCACCAATAAAAACAGTAATTACTCCCAAGAATAACAATGAACCTTTTATTTCAGAATTCACGAGTCCAACGACAGAGGACATCCTATGGAAGAAGGAGAACCAGCCCAAGACCAGATACGGCCGGACAGTACGTCCGCCAGACCGGTATGGACAGGCAGAGACGGAAGTCTAGAGGAAAAGGAAGAGGAAAATTCGGACAATGACGAAATAACCCGGACCGACGAATCCGATAGAGAAATCATTTATTTGAAACGTGGCAGGATGGTGGGACAAGAATTTTATCAAGAATTCAGCTGACAGCGCAAATTGCTCTGTAAATCAATCTTCCTGCCAAATTGGTAGTTATACACTTTTATTTAACGATGCAAAATTCGAAAAATGTCCAAACAAAGCGGAGGAAATAAACTCTTCGCTAACTGCACATGTAAACAACACTAATTACATATATGCTGTAGAACTAAACGATTTACATATGACCTTTCATTCCTTTTCAGTGTGTAACGAATTAACGACTGATTGCTTTGGCAGTATTTTCTGCCTTGAAAACGAACTTTTGGTTCAAGTCAAGAATTGTAGTTTATTAAAGAAAGTCAACGTGTTACGTGAGTTTGCTGATCACGCAGACATTTCGACGGCATTAACGTTGATGATACAAAATGTCGCAGACTCACAAACCGCTCTGTCCGCGAAATTACAGAGCCAAATCTTTAAATTGGAATGTGAGACCGAACGAATATTATCCAAAATTTATAGAGTTTTAGCGAAAACGTACCCGTCGGATGTGTTGAACGAAATTTTGGGAACAAATAATCTCTTTGCGGTTAACAGAGGCGACGTGCTGGGCACCCTTTTGTGTCAACCCATAAAAGCGAGTCTCTTAAATAGTCTAATATTACCTAACGAGTTATATTCTACTCGTCCCTTAGTTAACTATACTGATAACACTAACACTACAGTTATCGCCCAATACTTGTCTTCGGGAAGAATTCTTCCAGGTATAAACTTTTATAGTACCGAACCACAGGAGTTCGTTACCTTTAAAATGAATAACACTTATTATAGCTATCAAAAGGGAATTCTACAAAACAAAACCACAAACCCAAAGAAAATTCACCCTTACCTAACAACTAAGAAAATAAATCCTTACAATACAAATTATCTTACTTCATTGTCGAAATTCTTCAAGAACGACGTACCGCGTTCTAACGACATAGATTCAATGCTAATGTCCATAAGCCAGAATTCCATATTTACTAAAAGTCTAATTGACTATGCCAATTCTTTTAATGACGAACAGGAAACAACTAGTGCTAATCCTGCACTTCCCCTGAAAATACTAGCTAAACATATTAAAAAAATATTGATATCTTTTCTTAGTGGAATAGGCAATAAATTCCTTGCCATTGTAATACTGATCGGGCTAATTCTGTCTATTATTTTTGCTTACGGCAGGACTGTAACTTTGGCTGGAAGTGGAATCCGAAGTTCTGTCGGGAGAAGAATAAGGGATAGAATCTTTGGGGGGCGTCCCTCTCCTCCCGACAGACGTACAAGCAGTCCGAGAGAACAGGAAGGCCCCAGATATCGACGTACCCGCTCCCGTGAACCGAACGGAAATCATTCCAGACGTACGCATGTCCACCACCAACCGAGAGTCACGCGTACCCCAGTAAACGAGAGGGCCAATGCTATGCAACACCTCAGAAGCAATGGTGGAAATGTCGACGTCATAAATCTCGTGTCGGATAGCGGAAGCGAATAAATAAAAATTTATAGCGCTCGCGGCGATAAACAAAACTTATGACCTGATAAAAGACAATGACAGGTTACATAATCAAGAAATTATAATCAAGAAAATAAATACCTTTTTTTTAACATTTTTTTTTTTTTTTTTTGGATCCAAAGGCTCACAAGTTTTTTAAGCCTTATTTTTTTTCCCTCAATCATTTTTTTTTCAACCAATGATTCCCCAAATGGAGTACTCCAATCATTTTTTTTTTGTTTGTTTGTTTTCTCCACCAAGTTTTATCTCCAAATAAAGTGCACAAAGTTTTCACAAAAGTTATCTTAATTCTTTCTGCAGTTTATTGAATTTATGAGATTAATAGGAAATATCACGGTACCGATTTCTCAAAATTAATTTTATTGTTGCATTCTTTTATTGGTTTTACAACGCTCGTCTATTTGTTGTATTTTTCAAATTTCATGACAAATTATTGTGTTTTACATCTAAATCTTCCCCCCCCCCCATTATTATTGCAAATGGTACAGACAATTAAATGTAGAATGAGTAGTAACAATACTAGTTGCAATCACTGAAACGTAAAGACCTACCTAGTTGCAATCACTGAAACGTAACGACCTACCAAAAAGCCTTATGTTTAATAAGGTTTAACACTGATAACGTAAAGACCTACAATACCAAAAAGCCTTATGTTTAATAAGGTTTAACACTGATAACGTAAAGACCTACAATACCAAAAAGCCTTATGTTTAATAAGGTTTAACACTGATAACGTAAAGACCTACAATACAGTCATATTGTAAGATTTTTTTTTGTTTTTGGGAATCAATAAACCATCTTTTCTTCATTTTTTAAAGTCATTATCGCCTAATTTATCTAATAGTAAATCGTACATTAAACAAGTGCTCACAATTTTGAAAGTCGTGTAGGTGAGAAGAAGGTATAATAATACCATTACTGTTTCACTGAATTGCACAATTCAAATGCCTTTCACAATACAAATGTCTCATCCTTATAATTTGAAAAGACCCCAAGTCAGAATCATAATAAATGGGGCTACAATGAGTTCTTAAGTTGTATGTTTTTAATTCTTGCATGTATAATTAGTGCTCAAATTTCATGTTTTCCTTCTTGTATATAAATCTTTCAATTGCCATTTTAAATAACCAAAATTAAGGAATTTGTCTTGTCGTTTCTGAGTCTTATGTCTTATTGATTAATTACACTCGACCATTTTTTCTTGCTCTTCGTAGTGGATGTTTTGCTCTTCATCCGACAGTTTTCAAACAAATTACTTTGACATTTCAAATTGCCATCTTCAAAAGTTACGAGATTTGATTACTGTCATGATAATTCCGATTTCATTCTTATATTTCTACAATTATCGGTTAATTTTTAATATGTGCTTTTAAAATATTTCACTTGTGGTGCCAGGAATGTGTAACAAATTAACCAATAATTTGGATAATGGAAGTCAAATTCTATATAATAATTGACGTAATCGAAATATTGAAGAGATCTTTCTAGTCTTTCTCGTGTATGAGAAAATGGATATTTTCCCATGTCGGGTGACCCATAAACAACCGAAATATTGAAGAGATCTTTCTAGATCATTCGAAATATTGAGTCTAGATCTTTCTCGTGTATGAGAAAATGGATATTTCCCATGTCAGGTAACCTATAAACAAGTGTAATTATTGTAAGAAGGGTACCGAACATTCTAGATATGAGCAAAATTGCTCCGTGGGAAACGAGATTTTTGGATAATAAAGAAAGGTACCGTTTTTGGCGAGCGAGATGAAAAAGATGTTACCGTTTAAATAGACATTTTGATCGTGGTTTGCCCGGCTTTTCTACTTCAATTCGTTCGATACAGCAACCGGCTTTTCTATTTCAATTCGTTCGATACAGCAACCGGCTTTTCTATTTCAATTCGTTCGATACAGCAACCGGCTTTTCTATTTCAATTCGTTCGATACAGCGCCCGGCTTTTCTATTTCAATTCGTTCGATACAGCAACCGGCTTTTCTATTTCAATTCGTTCGATACAGCAACCGGCTTTTCTATTTCAATTCGTTCGATACAGCAACCGGCTTTTCTATTCGTTCGATACAGCAACCGGCTTTTCTATTTCAATTTCGATGCAACAATGCTAATTCATCACCGACTTGGTTTTCACGATTGTGAGTGTGTTTTATTGTAAGTCAATTTATTGTGATATATTATCTGTGGAAATAAAAATCTTTACAGGCAAATGGGTCAGATCCTTACTGTTATATAAAATTAACAGATATCTCAAATTGAACACGTAACCTACTATATATTCTGTTTTTGGAGTCAGATACTTATCTAATTCGCTCAATCAGAGACCAATTTAGACAAGCAGAAGTTACAGTAGTTAGTTACATGTATGTGTCTCTAATGTCTTTTCCTTACAAAGGGTAACCACATTATACACGCGTAACATGCTATAATGTGATACTCACAATGTATAACAGTGAAGAATAATTTGATGATTATTCCATACAATATATACGACCTTTGCTCTGAACAAAGCTTTCAAACAGCATCCACTGCTGGGTGGGAAGCAACTATAGAAAATTTTTCTGGTTCGGCGTGACCTACCCTTTCTATTACACAGTAAGTGAAAGGGTGGGATGGGATTTTAAAAAAAGTACAAACAATAAGAAGAAATATAAACAAAAAGAAAAAACGATGATCTACCTATTTCTTCTGGAAGTGTTACCATCTGATTTTCTCCAACTGCTAACACTGTGAGACTCGCAAGATGTCCGAGACCACGAGGCAGCACCGTCAGTTGGTTTCCTTGCAGCATCAGTTTTTTGAGCTAGAACATGGTAGAAAAATTAAAAAAAAGATCAGTACTCCTGAAGTATGCACACCAAGATGTCGCATAACCTGAACCCTAACCTGGTACACAACCTGAGTTCAGGTTGTGCGTCATCTTTCATAAATTGATGAATGACCAAAAAACCCATGTATTTCCTAATTACTTATACAAAAATAAAGAAAATTTGGACCTCCTGGAGTATGCACACCAAGATGGCGCACAACCTGAACATAGTATGTGTGTACCGGTTAGGATTAAGGTTGTGTGACATCTTGGTGTGCATACTTCTGGAGCACCGAAAATTTATGTTCTCTCTAAAATATGTTCCAAATAACCTGGGTTCTGTTTTTTCTGTTACTTTGTACAGCATTATACAGACGGAATAAAGATGATAAAAACACATAATGAGTGATAAATAGCAAAGCGTCTTACCTGCTTCAGATGTTCAATATTAGGTGGAAGGCTCTCAAGTCGATTTTCCTCTAAATCTAAGAATCTGAGTTTATCAAGATTCCCAATGCCCGGAGGAATCCTCTTCAACAAATTATTGCTTACAATCAGTACCTTGGGAAAAATTATCAATAAATCAACAATAACAATTAAAACAAGAACATCTATTGACATAAAAATGCTCATTTATGTAGACTATTCAAAATCATTTTAGCTGAATAACATTAGGGTAATTATATTTTTCCTATATCTGAATACATATAACTACATATCTAGTAGGGAATAACATATGATAACAGTTCTCAAGTGCATTCAAACAAATTGGGAAATCTAATCGAAAACAGTTCATCTGTCTCTATTATATATAATTATTCCTAATTTTAAGTTCAATTGATAAGTGTTATTAATATTACTCCAGCAGATATACTTTGTTAGTAGGGTCAGCTGATTTATTGACCATGCGAATCTACGCTTATCCCTTGCCTACTTGTTTATGTTCTTTCACACATTTTTGATAATAAATGGCCTTTTTGTCATATTGACATTTGGCAAACTGATGCAATAAAACGATAGTGATTACTACAAAGTAGGCTTCATAATACTCATATCCGAGTGAACGAAGGGGCACGGCAGTAAGGTTAATTGAGAACCACTGGTTTAATTAGGGTATAAGAAGATGTTGTAAATGGTATCTAACTAAATATATTCAATTTGAGTTGTCATTGTGTTGAGGAATTTAATTTTCACTTCATTACTTATGACATCATACATGGTTTTATTTCGTCAATGAGATTAAAATTAAAAGGATCCTTAAAAATGCTTGCAAAACCGTTTGATTGATTTTCTCAATCTTTGAATCTCATTGAAGTAGCACATTTTGATTTTGCAATTTTCAATAAGTTTTTCTAAACCCTTCGACATACCACATTAAAAAATTCAATTAAAATATTTGTGATTTCACTGTCGCATTTCTATTACAAATCCAGAATATAAATGAAAAATATTACGCAATATGTTGTCATTGTGTCCAATAGCATAATGAATGTGAAACATACAGCAGACCACAAATATGTAGCCAATATTGCACAGCTGTGAATATTATACAGTCGTAAACCACCAAAGTTCAAAAGTTAAAAGTTGATTGCCAAGTTGGTATCTTTGAGTGAGCTGAACTGTTATTACCAAAATAAAAAGGTAGCTATTTGCAGAGTTAGAAAATATCACCATAAAACCGAACAATATAGTTTTTCTAAAATATTCAAAAGCTTTGTAATAATATCTAGTTGATTTTTCAGGATTTTGCATATTCAAATAAGAATAAAAAAGAGCTTTTAATATTTACGATATTCCGATAATTTATGGGTAAGTTAATATTACTTTTGTACAATTCAATTTTGAATATTTATATCCCTTTATACGTCAAACTTTAATATGTATTTTATATATATTACATAATATTTCAATTTTCAACACCCCCCAGATTACAAAAAAAATATTGATTGTCTGGATTTAATAAAGACATTGATTTTCCTTGGAACAAAACTTTGCAACATATCTCTTAAGTTCAAAAATTTGCTTAAATATAAAATATTTTCATCTCTCAATTTTCATTCAATACCTTCATGCAAATATGTTGTGAAATTTTTCCATATTTTGATAATTTTGATAAGTCCCAAAAATTTATAGTCAACACTAAATAACCGTGGGAATATTAGTCACCAGCTAAACTGACAGCTCTATTGATTTATCTATGTTCAAACTCGATAAAGCGTAAACAAATCTTACCAGCGAAGAAAACAACTTAAATGCATCAAAGTGCTTCTTCCCGTTAAATTATTTATCATCCGTAAAATTAATTGATGTTATAATTCGATTACTCGACACGCAATTGCAATTTAGTTTCGCAAGAATGCATCACGTAAATTTCTAATGTTAACTTATGGATTTTTGTGGCTTCCGAAAATGGAGTGATGAAAAATGAGGTTTATACAATTCTGGAAATAGGAATAGATTCATTTTGAAATAAAATTTGTTACCAAAAATTGAATTATTGAACAAAACAAATTGAATATTTGAAATTGGCTATATACAATATATTGAATATATGATTTTAGGAAGAACTTCAAAAATTTTGCTATATTAGCATTCAACATCTGATGGTCAGATATGGGAAAATCTGTCAAAAAAACTAAACTAAATTTTATTGTTATCAATTTACAATGATTTAAACATTTTAAACAAATGGTGTTAATGAAATCATGTCAGTGATGTCACAATTTTAAAACCAGTCAGTTCTCAATATATTTTAATATTTTAACTTGACTTTATTTACTCTAACATCTTGCATATTTGAAAATATTATCTCAGGTTGTATTTAAAATAGGAAATTATTTGGCCATGCCTGGTAGCTATCATGTTGTTGTTGTCTCAAAGCAATCAAAATTTCACAGAAAATAAATTTGATCATCTAAATCTTTTTTAATGAAACATAATTTATAATAAAACAATTTGAGGGTTTCAACTTTCAAGACAAATAGGCGAATGTTGAAATTCTGAAATAATGTTATCTGAAAAATTATGAAGAAAACTGCTTTTCAAGCTGATTTTCCAATAAGAGGTAAAAGCCATATTCAAGTATTCTAATAAAAAGTTAAAGGAGTTACGAAATCAACAATACCGGTATATCTTTTCCTCATTTTTCTGTTAAAAGCCTCAAATTCAAGTCAGAAATGGAAAAAATGAAGAAAAAAAAAGTCACACAGTGGTGACCAAATATAGCTATTCTCAAAAAAGAAGAAGAAAAATTCATTCGTCTCCAAACATGGTTTCAAGGGCCTGGTTAATCAAGCATTAAAACTATTTCCCATTTTCGTTCGCCCCACTTCTCTCAGTAATAACAACAGCACCTCATGAAGTCAAAACTATAAAAAAAAAAAAATATTTTGGTCTCACCTCTAATGAAGAAAGACTGCCAATGTCATCAGGCAGGCGAGTTAATTGGTTTGAAGCAAGACACAGTTCAACCATACTGGTCCATGTGGCGACATCCAGTGGTAGTGAAGTAAGTTGATTGCTACGCATGTTTAATTTAGACAAATGCTTCGCTCTTGAAAAAATGCCGAAAGGTATTTTGTTCACCTGTAAATAAGTTTAGATTCAGGTAATACAGTCACAGTTCACCAAAATAATTACTTGATGACAAAATTGCAAATGCGGGACACTAACTTATAATCAAAGTGGCCTTTTGAGATTGTATTAGGAACTAGTCTAAATAGGAATAAATAACTATTCTAGAATTGTTTAGTCTATATGAAATGAATTTAATATTTTAAAATGATCCAGAAAAATAAAAATTGATCATCATTATGCTACATGAATACAATAGCAGACTAGCAGTTTAGCTGAATAACTGTAAAAAAATTTCATGTTCATTTATTTTCTTAATTTTCATGGTATATTTTTCGTACCTCCAAACTGGCACAAGGTTTTATGCAAGCAGTCACATTAACAAACCAAGTACTGTGTCTGGAATGATCATTATCCGAACACGGTGAGTAGCTAAATTTGTTACCACGCAGTGGCTGTACAGTACCTTGTTCAAAGCAAAAAGCATATACTGGTTAGTATATTGTATAAAAAAATTTCAAGTTTCCTTATATACAAATATTCCAGCATTATCGAATATTTTCCTGATTAAATTTGACTTCACATATTTGCTTTAAACACCTTTGGGCTACAGCTATTAGACTAAGATGTAATTACATATTTACAAAAAAAACATAAAAATATATTGCCCATTAAATAATTCTATCCAGAATTTAATTATCTCCTTCTGTCTTTGTTAATATTCACATGAATAGATTTTATCGTTCAAAAACAATAACATCAATCATTTGGACACAATGAAAATATTGATTGAAATATTCCATAATCCTGACAAATTATTATGATAAATGTTTATTAATAGACAAAGGATCAGAAAATCAATTTAATTCTGATTTGATGCAAATGCTTTAAGGTAATTCTAGCCTAAGAAAGGTCTAGACTCCAGACAAGATGCCAGACCAATATATATATTTATACCTATGTATAAAGTTAATATATTGTAGATACCGGTACTCATTTTTCAAACTCAAATAGTGAAGGATTGAAAAAAATAAACATTTATGATCTATACTTTTCTTTATCATTTCCTCACTTTGTAGTAACACGAAGAATTGTTTCAAACTTTCACAAATCTTGTTTGTAAAAAAACAACATGTTTTTGGTTGTTTTTCAGTGCAATATAAATCTATTTATTTTAAATATTAAGATTAATTGTGAAACATTATTTACGAAAAATAACAGGCATATATTATGATCGTTCTTTGGATCGTTCTTTGGAATCTGTGTAAACTTATACAGGGGTGCAACACCATATCACTTTATATTTTGATTGCTAATCGTTTTGCAAAAACACATCCGACTGACATATCCTACAATCCCTGACATGTGTCATGCTGTGTTTCAAAATTTCAATTATTTATGCAGAAGAAGTGACTAAGCTAAAATGCAACATTTCAGGTTCACTAGACTGCAATCTTGCAAAACAACAATGCAGTGCATAAATGCACTTTACAATCGAGCTGGAAAGATAAGATATGGGAATAAAACCCTTGAGCTAAAAATAGAAATCCATGGTTCCTGCAAAAAATATTGCTGATAAAAGTGACATTGAACACTTGATGATTATATTCAGGGCACAAATACATAAGTTATTCAAATATTTTAAAATCAGGGACATGCAACTGTTTATAGTAATGACCAAAAACATAAAATCATGGCGAGGCTGAGTTCCTGACTTTCAAAAAGCTCATTTCATTTTAAGCAATTCAAAGTTGACTTTGCATATGTTTATCTGCAAGCTGATTCCTGGAATTGGTCTTGTTCAGCCTCATTTTGAAATGAAATGCTCGTAGCAATATGTCCTCTTGTAACACAATGTTAAAAACGCCAACTGTGCATTTACAAATAAAAAAAAGCATTAGATGAAAGCATTCAAAAAATAATGGGCCATTTTGTTACAGGCCACAAAAATAAGTTCAACACACGCCAAGTTGCACACCCATGTTTTAAACTAATTTTAAAAAAATGTCTGAAAACAGATTGAATGAAGGATATAAATCTATTACACTTCAGTGGATGGGCTCAGGATGACATATGCACCTAACAGGCTAAAAATTCAAAATGGGTAATGAAGACAATAATATACAACCATTTTATTATGATATTTCTCAAAAATATCATCATGATATATTGAAGTTAGCTTTCAATTTATATATCATATGTTCGAACTAAGTAGGAAATTAATATAAAAATAATCCCAAAGAAGATTCCAATTAAGATATTGGAAGATATGCACAGAGCAGAATGCAAAATTTTTTCCACCATTACCAAACAGTCAACAGGACTTAATTTAAAACTAATTTTCTTCGTTATTCGATTTAATATGATTCAAATACAAAATGTGCTAGGCTAGCAAGCCCAAACCACCATGACTTCTTTATTTTTCTATACTATTTTCATCACAGCAGGATTTCCATTCAAGTCATTTAGGAACATACTGATGACTACAGATTGATGATTCAATTTCCTCAAAAGTAGAATATTGAAAATCCCCATTCGGCAATTTTCATATACTTGAAAAATTGAATATAGGCAACTCAAACACATTCAACGGACAATCAGGAAATTGTGATGTTCAATAAAGTCAATTTTAGATTTTGAGGAATAATTTACCGTAGATTTTGAATTTTGAATCTGTTGGACATACAAGTATACTCAAGTCTACCTATGATGTAAAATTATTAAATCAATTAGGACAGTATTCATGTTAACAATTCGAAATGAATAAATTGAATATCTGTGAATTTGCAATGATTTCTGTAAATGTTTCTGTTGCATAGTGGCTATTAATATATTCAATATTTCATATACCAAACTAGTAATTGTGAATGTATTCGGAATAGTAACTTATTTCAATTTCATTATAGCTTACCCTGATAAACATTAGAATAAATCTTATTGGGCTATAACTATTTGTTATGAATACCGTTTTCTATCCATAAATGGAAAGTCCAAACTCATAAAACAAATACAAAACAAACTGTGTGACACATATAATGATATTTTTTATGAGCAGGACAACCGTGTCCAACTAAGGTCATATTGAAATGAGCCAATGAATATCACCAGAATTTTAGTAATGTGTCATCAGTTGAAAAAACAAAGTGATTCATGTGAAAGGGATATTACACTTCTCTTGGTCTGTGCAATACCATCGTGGGCAAAACCAAATACTCAAGAACAAAAATCGGTTATTTTCAGTTTTGCATGATATGAATAGATTGAATAAATAAACTGTTATCATTGGCAAAAAGCTATAGTAAAATAATTGATTCCATTTAAAAAATAAAAAAAAAACGAAATGATTTTAATTCTAGCATTTTTTTTATTAATCATAGCGGATAAAACAACTGACAGAAACATGTTAAAAAATTTTCGTCATCTACCAGAATGTTGCTGTGCAATGAATCAATTTGAATATTATAATTCATGAAGTGAAATTCAAGCATAACCTATTTGGAAATTACCATAATTAGTTTTCAAGATTACTTTTCCATTCATGCAATGTAAATAGATATTGAGTCGAAAGATATATATACCTATATATATATATATATGTTGAAGTTCCGGTAGCTCAATTTGGCCCTAACACAAGATTTAGAAGAAGAACATGTGTCAAATAAAGGAAGTTAAAACGTCATAACGACGTAAATATCGTGTAAGTACGCATGAATTGTGTTGTATACGTCAACAGACTGTCACGGTGTGCTGATATGACGCAAAAGTACACCGATGCTATTTTACTACCATGAATCCAAAATACCATCCTGACCAAAATTTTAATAATGAAGAAAAAACTCAACTTTCAAAACAGTTTTGAGTTAAAGATATCAATTACTGAGAAAACTGAATAAAACCAGATCAAACCAGAAATATCTACATTTAAATAGTTACCATTCCATATACCGCTACCTACGGTAATATGATGCCAAATCAATGGTATTATGCAACTAATATAGTAATACAATTGGGTATATTTATCAAACTATTCCGAAAGATTTTTATTCTGAAAAATTTGTTATACTAAACAACAGAAGTAAGGCATTTGCAATGCAGCACTATGCCTTTGTAAAAAAAACTGAGATTTGTGCTTAGTTTGCAAACAGTGCAGGCTTAAATGATTTGACCTGACATAACAGATTTAGATTTGATTGTGTTGAGTGATCTTCGCCACAAGAAACACAGTTTTTCATATTCATGAACAAGAAGATTGAGAAAATGAGCTGCAAATTCACAAACTCATTTATTTGTGCAATTGAAATACCTTGGACACAATACATTTCACAAAATGTGAAAAACCACAAAGAATGCCTTGGAAGTCTCATATTGTTTTTCTTCTTAAACCAACAAACACCATGTTGTATCTATCCTTGAATTATACAGATCAGTCACTCTTATGATAATCTTCAAATCAATTGAAAATTGAGCTCAGACAGTTTAATCATAATTAGAAAGCAACATGGTGTAAAACCGCTAAAAATGACTAATCCTACCAGCGAACTATTTCGGTTCTTGGTATTAACGATAAAAATATCCATCCACCAACCACAAATGGCTGTATATGGTCCTTATTAAAAAGTATTTATTTGATCCATCTTACCTACACATACAAAATAAATAACATTATGACAAACTGGTGAGACTAAAAATGTGTGTGGTTGCAAGTGGATGAAAATAACCTATAGGCATGACTAAACTAGACTGATAATGACAGTATATTTTTAGGAATTCATACCCACATAATTTGAATGATTTACATACCGGTATTACCTATTGTCATTGAAGTATTGATTATAATACCTTTATCATATTCATAAATTACAAATCTATTTCTGTAACTTTTTATTAAAACACTTTGGTGGATAGGGCTTCACACTATGATCAGACAACTTGATAGCACCAATTTCTCGAAAATATTTTCAAATAAAACTCAATTGAAATTTCAATATTTGTCTTAAAATGCTTGTTGCATCAAAGTTTTTGAATAATAACTTAGTATGTCCTAAATATCACTATTAGTCTTTCATGTAGAACTATAATGCACATTTTTCCATTTGAATGAGATAAAGTATGATATATTGAGGATTATTGTATATTTTATTTCCAATTTCTTATAAACCTTATAAAACAACTTTCTGTGTGTCTGTGTGTGGTCGTCGAATTTGCTATTTCACGCCAAAAAGCATTCAATTATTTTAAAATGTAGGAATGACAAAAATTCATTCAGTAAATTTTCGGTACGTTTTGAAAAGGTGTGTTGCCTTTGTTCCGGTAGCTTAGGCAAATACTATTGCTTAGTTTCCCATGACCCCATTAAGCTTATCCATATATTTGGAAATGTAGAGTGAGGAGAAAATCTATCTTACCCAGTTGAACAATGACCATGCACTAGCAGACGGTGATAAATGAAACGCTCAAAATTTTTATTTCTACCTGATTATGTTCCATGTTGAGTGAGACAAGACAGTGGAATTGAGCAGGTCCACCAACAGGATAGGATTCAAATTCATTTCTCGCAAGAGTCAAACTTGTGAGCTTTACAAGACTGCTGAGAAATCCCTGAAACAAAATATGGAAGTAAATAATGTTCAATCATCAATATACCATCAAGTATGATTAGTAGCTCGAGCATATTGCTAAAAACAGTGCATTAGCTGATCATGTTTGGACAATTTTTCAAGTAGAGGAATAATCAAGTAATCATATTTCACAACAGCCGAATGGGATCTGAGTATTCGGTTTAAAAACTGGAATATATAATTTCATATGAATATACTTTTGTAAAATAACATGCATTCTTGTGATCAACGAGGAAATTGCCAAATTCCCACGAGAAAGACTCTGACGAGAACAAAGAGTTCTTAGATTACTGGAACTTTTGGGTACAATCATACACAAACAGAAGTTCAAGTGTTAAATAAATTTTTGTCCATTTTCATAGGAGGAATTTATGGGTTCTGTTTTTTGTGGTCATCATGTACTTAAGAAAATTAGTTAGTTAGAAGTACATAGTAAAATCATAACAGATGTAAAATTCCCGCCATTATAGTTAGTAATAATGATCTCAATGTTTACTTAATAGTAATATAAAGCTTTGGTGTTATCTGCAGGAATTCATGAGCTAAAAATAGTCCAGACAACAAAAGACTTTACAGTTAGCGGGTAAGCTTTCTAAAAATCACACTTTATTCATTTCACCACTTCATAAGTACCGTTTGAAAAAAACTAAAACCACTTGATGTATTCAATGAAAACATTTAATTTTATCAAATCATGCTTGGATTATATGTGGCCTAATAAATGGATATATTGACTGAAAACTAAATTTATTATTAGTTCACAAACGGGACAATGTGTGAGTTCCTGAAGATTTCAGATAGGTATTCCCAAATGACCACATTGATATAACCTAGTTATTTTAAGCTAAGATTATCAATGAATGACACTCGATCACACAATAAAAATATGAAATTATAGTATGATAATCTCTGTATTAAATTTCTTACGTCTGGCAATGAAGGTATGTTGTTGTTTTCAAGATTAAGTTCATCGAGTTCAATACATTGTTGCAGTGACTTCGGCAATCCCTTCAATTGATTATATTTGAGACCAAGACGCGTTAGCTTGGTTAAATTTCCTGCATGATGAAATATATACTAGATATAAAAGCGAGAACTCGTTAGCAACATTTTTTAAAAATAGTTATTATCAAAAAATGTATTTAGGTTTATTTTCATATTTTGCTATAAAATTGAGGGATCTGGATTATCTATTTTAGATATCTCTTGTAATTCTTTTATTCAAATTTGAAAAAAAATTGACAGGTGAACAGATTTGTTTTCAAAACTGTACATTTGTTAAGTCATGGATCAAAATATAATACTTTAAAAATATTTAATCCTTTAAAAATATTATAATAAGTAAATTTTTTATCTTAACAATATATAGAAGCATGTTATAAAATAACATATTAAAAATGTGAAACATTAACTCAACCTAAACTCAATGTGAAAAATTAATTTTGATTCAACAGGTTACTTGACATCTATCATAAACCAGATTTCATTTAAAGCTGTTTGGGTGAAATTTAATCATGTGAAAAAACCCTAAAAAAAGCTGACAGCTCAAATTTAGAACATCCATAAAATCAATACAGAAAGCATTTATGAAATTGCTTCCAGTTGATAAGATATAATGCAGACTTCATGCAAACCAAAAAAGCAATTTATAAACACAAAAGCAGAAACCCAAAACACCATAGTACCTAATGCTGATATTATCATACAAAATACAATCGGCGTATATTACTGCAAATATATATATCATATATCAGAATTGGCCATGGTAGTGAACAGTATACTATAAATACGTGCAGTAATAGTAGCCAATGCCAAATATAAATATCAAAATACCATATCAAAAAAGCAAGCCTTTTAAAATGTTTATGAAACAAATAAAGCTAAGTGTCTATGAAAAATCTTGAAGGTACAATGTATCAAATTTAACACTGGAAAAATAATATTTTATATTGATCAAAATGTCAATCTATTATATTTGAAAATAATTCTCAAGATGGATGAATTACCACACAAATTATGAATGTAGGTCGAAAAATAAAGATATTAAACTAGAAGTTGCAAATTATCATGTAAAAACAGTCATTAGACTTTACAATGCACTTAAAACAGATTGATAATTCCCAACTCACCTAATGATTCAGGCAATGTTGTCAATTTATTATGTTGTAAATCTAACGATGTCGCCAATTTGCAGTTCCCTAATTCTGAAGGTACGTGCTCTAATTCATTAAATGAAACATCGATTGTAACAAGATTCACTAGGTGCCCTGAAAAAAAAGATTTACAAATACAATATAGTATACTGGGAAAAGTCGCATCAAATAATTTTGTAAAAAATTGAAGATTATTATTAACAACCTGGCGATTAGGTTCGAATCTTTGGATTGAGTGGCACACTAATGGTATGGATCAAAGTTAGACAAACACAAATATAATTCTGTAACATTTCGTGTGTCCAAGGTCAGATTTGGTCAGTTCGGCAACTGTTTGTCTGAGGAATTCTGACATTGGTCGACGTTACAAAAATACTTTTGTGTTGGTGTGCAGTAAGAATCTTGAATCACATTTCATAGTTTCATATGCAAAGTCATTTCCTAGGTGATTGAAAAAAATTGATTTTCACTAGAATTTTCAATATTTTTCATCAAATTTACAATATTCATTATTCTTAAATAATTTCAATATTGTTAAAACAACACTTACCAATTTCTGAAGGCAAAAATTTTATTTTGTTCTCTCTGACAATTAATTGTGTTAGGAGTTTGAGATTTTTAATTGCTGGATTTATCGACGTTATTTTGTTATAACGAAGATATAAAATTCCCAATGATGTCATAGTATACACGACTGAAGGAATATCTCGCAACTTATTGTGTCTAGAAGAAAAAGAGATAATACAGATAAAATTGAATCCATATACAATATTTGAAATATACATACAGAGTAGGCCGAAAGTAGTGTGACCTTATTGATAATTAATTATTAATAACTGTTACCTACTTTTGGTATAGTACAGGAATGAAAATTGGTTAGCGCATATCACAAGAAAACTATAAATCTTAAGTTTTTTCAAATTAAAAAGTTTGTCAAGTTGACCGACTTTCAAGCTAAAAACGTGATGAAGTCAAATACACGTAAGTTTCAGGGTCAAAAAATACGACCAGCATAATTGGTGTTATGGTAAAATTATTCAAATTTACCTCAAGTCTAACATCTTTAAATTTTGAAGACTTGACAATGAATCTGGTAAAGTAGTAAGATGATTTTCGGCGAGCGCTAGTGTTTTTAAATTTGTCAAATTTCCCAATTCTTCCGGTATTCTGATAAGTTTGTTTTTGTAAAGAAAAAGCTCTGCGAGTTGTGTTAAATCCTTGATATGTGTGGATAGTGTAATAAGTTCTGATTTACTTAAATCCAATCGCAGTGCTTTGTCTTCTTTGCATTTACTTATCTTCTTTTCCACTTCCTGTCAAAAAAATTAGTAGTTTAATTTTAAATTTTGTAAAATTTTGTATGTAATTTAATAACCTTTGAGTGTAGTATTCGGATTTATGGGCATGGAAATTCTTTTAGTAGCCTAATGGTGAATCTGAATAATTCATTATTTTGAATATGTTCATCTTGAAAAATAGAGTGCACCACCTCCAATAAATAATCCATGCAACTGAATGAAATAACTTTGAAAAAAATAAAAATAGTAAATTATTAAATTTGAAGCATAATATTGCCAAAGTAGTATCAAATTTGCTTATGTCACATGTTAGGATTTAAAAAAAATCACATCTCTGATATTTTCAGAGCTGTACAGCCAAATCCTAAAATAGACATAAAGCATCACCTAAAATCAAAACTGAAACACCTATGGCTCGAAATGAAACCCCAATCACAGGATTGCCTCAGGTCCATAATGACAGTAAATTAAAAAAAATTCAATTTTTTAAAAGTGTGACAAAAAGGCTACTTTGATTTTATTGTGGCAATATAATAACCGATATTCCCATTTTTATTGCATTGAAAGTTAAAAATATGGATCATCAAGATATCTACCGCTTTTGGTTACATTGCGAACAACTCGAACAAAATGGCTGAAATTTAGTTCACTTACATGGGTTATTGCTTTTGAGATTTTCTTATCCTTGTGTTTGCTTTTCGGTTGGTTGAAACCATCAATTTTGACAGATTTCTTTCGACCGACATCCTTCCCATTTCCAGCTCCATTATCCGTGTTACCGATTGGGAAAGATGTGACTTTTGAACTTGTAGCTGCATTCTGAAACAGAAGATATAAATTGAACATTTATTGAACAAGTATTTCTGCAAAGAACTTTATAAGGAACAAATTCTTCATCATAGAATTATCGGTACTCCTGTAGTATGCGAACCAAGATGGCAGTCACCAGAACGAAGTATGTGTACCACTACCAGGTTAGTGTTAGGCCATCCTTTTATTCCAATTTTCCTTGTTTTAGTTCTATTGTGAGTTCGGGAACTAGCTAAGTGACTCCCGTAGTAATTGTACCAGAAATTATGGCCTAACCCTAAGCTGGTGTACACATACTACATTACGGTGTCGGCCATCTTGGTTCACGTACTACGGGAGTACCGGATTATCTATCATTGGTGAAAATTAAATGACTATTATACAATCTAACTGAACTGGCTCACTAAATGGACACCTACAAAGGATGGATGGAATTCACAAGAACACAAGACTACTTCACCCCAATACCAAGATGTGATGAACAACTCAGGAACTTGACTTCATGAGGGAACAAGAATAGCTTGTAGCTACTAAGCAGAATATTCAAACTCAATATTTTAGCTTATAGATATTGCGTTTAAGCCCTAATTAGTCGATTGTTACAAAATTGCCATTGCACCACTTGTGATGACCCTGCAGCTGCACTGCATTGTTTAATTAGATCAAGGAAGAATGGCTCGCCAAACACCTTTCTATAACATGATTCATGTAACTACTGGGCTATAACTACTTCCAAAATCATTTGAGATCGGGCATATGTAAACTGCCAAGGTATTTCTATCCTCATGTTCGGCCCATGCTAGTAACTAGACAAGAGATCATGGTTCACTATAAAATTACTTTCTATTCAGCTTCTCTCCCATGAATTGAAAATCTTATCTTATCCAATCCCAAAGATACTCAGAATTCCTACTTTACCCAAAAATAGATGTTCCAAAAAATGTTTTCAGTAAAATAAATGAAACTTATTAATAAATTAAAAATTCAATTCAATAATGATTTGAAAGCTCTGAGCAATAGTCATTTCGAAAATCAAAACTATTAAGATTTTAATTCTTATTAAATTATAAAACAATAAGATGTTAGGAAGACAAACACGAAACGATGGGATAATATTTCCAGAACACTGAATGACTAATTAGCTCATTTCACTATAGAAATGCACTATAAATGTACTGTACTCAAAGTCTCAAACCAAAAAATGCCAGGAATCGAAAAATAAAATTACCATCCAAGATGACGAAACTATATTCATTTTGCGTCTCATCAGCATACACAATTATGGTAATATTACCTACAATTTTACATTGTTAGCAAGCTAATCTTTGAGCAAATTTAAACACCAACGACGTATTCACTGCACTATAAGTATATTGGACCAGTTCTCCCATTAACTACCTAGGGAATCAACTGTATGTAAAAATAGCAACAAACACTAATACAGAAATCAATAGAAAACCTTGATTGATGAGACTAAGAGCGTAATAATTGATATATATTTAGAGTTCCAAGCATGTAGCTGGTTGTTAAGTGCTGTTCAAGTGGCAATTGTTTATTTTCTGCTGTAGGACAGATATTTGATTAACCCTCTGGGCATGTTTTGTGGTCAAGTGGAGAGGAGTAAATGATGACACATTGCACATTGAAGATTGGCATAATTATCAATAAATCCTTATTTCGGTGATGTAATGCTCATGATACTATTCTTGGAATAAATAAAGATTAATTATTTACAAATGGTAAATATCAAAACAAAAACAATGCAAAATATTTTGACATTAGTATAAATAAAGTGAATAACAAAATTTTACGACTGACAATCCTACTTTCATTGTGATTAGGCAAATCCACTGTATATAGTTTCAATTAAGAAAAAGCAACTTCCATGCACATGAAAACAAATAAATGGCTAACTAATTCCATAATCAACATGGACTGGTAACCGGATGAAAGGCCGTGGTTCGCCATATTATATTACGTCGTGTTATGGGTTTTCCTATCCCCCAGGATAAATATGTAAATCCTATCCTAACCATGATACTAATGTAAAGGATTGGGTTATCATGTATCTAGATGAGAGAATTTTTCGGTATCAAAATTAAATTTCAAATGATTTTTTCCATACAACTGATACAACTTAAATTGCATTCTTTAAGAAACTAGGTATGTTTTTTTATTTTTTAAATAAAATTCTTCAACATTAACTGTCGAAGCAATTACAAAATAAAACGCTATGTCTGAAATAACTTTTGAACAAATAAACGAGACTAGACAGCTCACAAAGGTAAATAATGAACAACTAATGTCCAACAATTAACCTTGTCAATTGAGATGAGTAATGATAGACAAGTTTCGATTGTCTGTCATTTAGTTTTGATATGAACAGCCTCAAGGCTAAAAATTAGTATTTCTGAAAAACTGGATTTGTTTTGTATTTGGCAGATTAAAACTTTCTCAAATTGCCATTAATCTAATAAAAAAATTTTTACAGAAACAAAAAGATAACTTTTCAAATCAGAGGCACAAAAAACCTCTTTGGCAAAAGTACCAGTGAAATGGGCGTTCCAGAAGTGTGTGTACGAATATGGAGGAAACTAATTTTGTTCGCCTTCCTTCACATCAAGTTGTGTAAAGGGACTGAAACATATAGGCGGGGGTGTATATTCACTTGTCTCACACAGACATTCCTCGAACTCGTAATAGGACTAAAATAAGAAAAATCGCAATAAAATTATGGCCTAACCCCAACCTGGTACACACACTACGGGAGTACCGGTAAATGCGCTAACTTTTTGACAAAACTATTATTTTACACAACTTGGTCTATGATCCCAGTGATTGGAAAAAGTAGAGGAGGAAGATAACATAGGTTTAAATTTGACATAAGAATGCAATACTATTCCAACAAATTACAGTGATGACAAATGATTTCCATACTTGCTGGGTGAAGCAGATTATAACACTACATACATACATGAAACAGTTTGTGAAATACTTTTTAAATTCAGTTAGCAAAGTTTTGAATATGTTATAGTTTAAACTACCAATTTACAAAACTTTATTTATTTGGATACCACCCTTATCACACTTGCTTGAAAATGCAACAAAATTAATGAAAGTTCTGCATTCTGTAATAAAAGGCTTCAATACATGTCAAACTTAATAGTATATTATGGCAAATTAATATATATCAAGCGTTTGGGTATCAGGGATCATGGAAGATTTGAAACTTATAAGCTCAAACATTAGGATATGATAGGATTCACATATTTATCCCGGGAGAGAAGAGAGCCGATAAGACAGCATAATCAAATGGCAAACAACGACCTCTGGTCCGGTTACCAGTCCAAGTCGGGTATGGGATTAGTGAGCCAGTTATTTGTTTCAGATGCATGGATTCGATTGAGAGATTATAGTTTATAATTTCCAAAGATTTATTTAACTAGACTTTTTATCAAACATATTTGACTTTGAGAAACCAATGTACATTACAGTGCAGAAAACAATAATACAGACCCAAATTCAAATGAGAATCAATTGGTAATTGGTCAAATTCGTATTGTAAGCTTTCACAGAATGTATTATGTATCTTCAAAGGTATTGAACACCAATATCTAAATATAACTCAATGACTTCATAACGTGACAGAAATGACTCACAATACTATAATAGATTATGTTATAATGTATTCATGTCATGTACATTGGAATTCTTAATAATCATATGAAATGCATTTGGTTTTCCCCAAGTATATTGTTTTCATGCACAGAACTTAATTTTCGGAATTCATCAGAAATGATACATCAAACAAAATGCACACTTCATGTAGAGATACCCATATCAGTGTACTAGTATTTTTAAATTCAGGAACTCTATTTGACTAATCAACAACTTTGCAACCAAAAGTTAGATAACATATACGGTATATGACCAATTTTGCTTTATGAAGAGGCATAAAAAAAAACAGGTAAATAAAATTGCAAATAATATTCATCTATTATGAATGTTAATCCAATATATCAACTCAAGCATTTGAGCAATCCTAACAGAGACTTTACAAATGATAAATAATTTGCATGCCACCATGAATAACAATTTTAAAAACACTTAAAAATTTACAAGCCGTCTTACTATGAGAGATAAATTGAAAAAAATGAAAGGTTTCTTGAAATAGAACAGATATGCCTTTGTAATGTTATAATATTATAGTTTCAGTTACCAATTATCGCGGAATCTAAGAAACTGCAAATGCAAATAAGCACACAAAAAAAGGTTTCTGTAATTTTCTTTTACAACACATCTATTTGCCTATTTGATTTTTGCTTCAAACAAGGCTCTACACAAGAAGTTGAGTCTAACACACTGGTTCTCAACCAGTGGGCCATGGCCCACTGCTGGGCCACAGAAAGATTTTGGCCACAAGCATTTTCAGGCAACAAAAATGGACCACGAAAAAAAAAGGCTGAGATCCACTGGCTAACACTATAATAAATAATAAACAAATACAACACATCTATTTGCCTAATTCATTTTTGCTCCAAACAAGGCTCCACATAAGAAGCCACTCATATGTAAGAAGTTAGTTTATTTGTGATGAGACCGGGATATCGGTATGAGATTCGATACCTGATGTTATCATAGTTGAGTCTAACACTTTAATAACATGAAACAAATGATCATAAGAAATTAAATATTTGAAATCAGATTTTCCTGACACATGGCAAGTAGACCTACAGCTCATAAACAACTCTCTTAATAATCTGTAACAATAAGCAAAGTTAAGCTTCTATTTCAAAGAAATTCTGACACATTAGTTCCACTAGAAACCAACTGACCTCAAAAATGGCTTATTTTGCCAAGTAATGTGTTGTTGAAAATAGACTAGCTATACATACCGGTATTACGCAATTTGAAATTTAACCCAACCGTAACAATGTGGGACAAAACAACAATTACATCACCGCCATAATTTTTACAAAAGGTTCCAATGGAAGCTGATTCAGTGAAATGGAACGTCATGCAACATAGAATCTTTCAAACAAAATTGAATCCGAATTTGATTGTAAATAAAGATGTGTATATCTGAATGATTTAGTGTCCAATAATAACCGTTTGTCATTCCTTTCGTTCTTTATATTCAGAATTTATCTCTTGTACATCAAGACCAGGGATATCCAACAAATGCAATTTTATTAACTTTGGTGAAATTCTTGATTTTATCAATATTTTAATTTAAAAATTTCTTGTTTGAATCATTTGACATCTAGTGGGTATACGAAAAATTGACAATAATCAACTATCTGTCGAACACTGTAATAATAGAAAATCAATCAAAGCAATGTTTATCTAAATAACTTCGCATTAGCAAATTCAATATCTATGAATTTACAATGACTTCTGCGAACCTCTATGTTAAATATGTTGAATCTAAAATATTCTGGATTCTATGTTTTAAATTTACATTATGAAATCTATTTGGAACAGTACAATATTCGATTTTAGGCCATCTAAATTATTGTATATGCAGAATTAGATTTGGTAAAATGTGATATTATATTATCATGATCACAATAGCAACTAATTCAATTGGTATATCAACATTATCAATTATCCGATTATTAAAAACTTTTCTATTTTATATTAATTTTGTTCATACAACTAAAAAGTTTTTAACTACCCTGGCTAAGGGTGTAAAAAACTATTACCGGTACTTAAAATTTCACTATAGCCAATTTAAGGGCAAAAAACTGTGGATGCCTTAAAAAACTTCTATGAAAAATCAGAAGCATTATAACATAATTGGTCAGTAAAAATTGAACGAAATTTTTAGATGTGATATTAAGTAAAGCAATGATAGTGACATTTGGACAAAAATACAAATCAAAAAACTCCATCAAAAAATACACATCAAAATATTGGTTTGAGAAAATTTTTTAATTATTTTCAATTTAGAAAAATTTTTTTTTTATAATCTAACTAATCAAAATAACATAGGCCTATTCAAATTATTAATACAGCAGTTATGACAAAACAACTTCCTTTTGATGAAACCTGATATCTGTGATTTACTCTTATAAAATGTAAGATAACTATCATTACTTAAAATTCTCCTGATTTATAATAAATAGAAAATGTTATTTAAATTCAAACCAGGACCAGCTTTGAACAAAAATGAAAACGAAGACATAAAACCATAAAACATAAGAAAATCGATATTTTATCATGCCAAGAACAAGAAACAAAGTAGAGAAATTGGTCGTACATTTCTGGTACATATCACAGAGTAGAATATGTGCAACATTGCCTATGTCAATTCTACATTTCCTAACCAAATGGAAGTCATACATATGCAAAAATGGTTGTACCATGCCAAATAGTACTTATATCGTTTAGTGGACAGGCTACAAAAATTGGATACAGAAATTTTTTCTATTACATTTCAAAAGCGGGGGATATTGTCTCGTTTCAGAGAATCCCATTTTGCCGATAAACAAAACCCCTCCTTTCAGGGACGTCTGGACATTGTTATCCCTCAATATCGGCGAATTGAAGTTGCGCAAAAAACATCATTATTAAATTCATCGGAAAAAATAATCAGATGGAACGAAGGAAAAAAATGTTTACTGTGGCATTCGAAAGTATTTAGCATAAAATGGCAATTTTGGTCACGTGACGGCCGGGATTAATTTAGATTATTATCGAGACAAGCATGGTGCGATAGGACGCATCTGCCGTTGTGCCAGCAGCCCCTCGTTTGTGAGACACGTGGAGTGTTTGTCTTATTGAACCAAATGAAGGGACATTCTTAGAATTTGGATAGTGTGCCCCACTGAAATACAGAGTTCTGCTGCACCTGTAAATATTGATATATGTCTTATGTAAGATACGTACTTGCCCCGAGTCTTCTCTCATTCCTGGGTTTTGTTGAGTTTTACCGTCAGAATTTTTGCATAATCCTTCAGAATTCGATGCCGAGTTGCCTCCAACAGACGCGTTACTTGGGTCAGGCTGATTCATATCATGGAAGAGCCAAGATCAAGGACATCCTTGCAGCTTTAAATATATCCGGGAAAGTTTACAAAAATATAAGACAGTACAAAGTTGAAAGTATACTTTACTTTTCCTAAACTAGCCCTTCCGTATTTAGCCAAAAACACAGAGATGAGATGCTTCCGTTACCTACAGCTACAAGATACCGTACTTTATTGATCTAAAAACAGTGAATATCCGGGATAAATAGTGAAATTTGTAAATGATCAAATCCTATCCATGTATCCCATGGAACTAGGACTAGAAGCTCGGTTTGCTAGAAAATGCGCACTTATATACCTGTATACAGATATCAGTACTTTGGATAACTTCAATATCAATAAAATTTGCCCTCTCCCCCCCCCAAAAAAATTAAGCTGTCTACGCGTTTGTCTGTTTGTACTGAAGCACTGTCAGCAAGAATATTTATCTAAACCTGCGCGCAGTGCTAAACAACTTATATGAACACTTTAATGAAGACCAACAACCGAAGTACAGAAGTAGGCTAGCTGCAACTAGTTCCAGTCATCAATGACATATTAAACCTGAATGCCTGAAGCAAGGAATGCTTGATTCTGTTTTGCAAAAATGAATAATCCAAAATAACAGCTGCATGAACTGCATTCTGATTGCAAGAACCAACTCTTAAACACTTTCAGTAAATTAGTGTTTTTCCGCCAAATAGATTCCAGCGTCAACCTGAGTTTAAAATTGAATAAATACCGTGCGGTACGTGACCACCGTATTCAAAATAGTTAAATGAATCGAATTTCGACATACCAATTACGAACATAGAACTAGCGACCAATCAACCCGCAGAATGCCACACAAAGCTTGCATAGCGGGAGGACTAAATGCAACAAGTGCAGTTTTAAGTATTCTGTGGCGGTTGCAGCTGCCGCAAAACCATGGCGGTATTTCCATACCATGGCCGCTACGGCCAAACTTATGGCGACCACAGAGATATATAAATAGTTCAGTGATGGCGACTGACTCTTTAGCTGCCACAAACCAATGACAAGCTGCCGTTACCGCGGCAGCAAATTGAAAACCAATGGTAGGTAAAATTTGGCTGCCGTAACCACGACAGGTGGGCCGTAAAGACAGGGCTGTCCCTCATGGTGACAAATATTGGGTAAGTTGGAACGTTTTTCTTATGGATACAGTTTTGATGGATTTGGGGCTAGGGTTTAAGTAGGCTTACCATATATCTGGACAGAAAACCGGGACAGTGAGGATCGGACAAACTTTGGTTCGATTCAGATCCTCAGTAATATCTGAAACTTCTTTCGTATCTTTGCGAGTACATACCGGGCTTCAAAACCAGCTATAATTTATTTCGTACGCGGGGTCGCAAAACATTTTGTATAAAAGCAAAATATCTTTGAGAGTTAGAATAACTTTTCAATTATTCGAACATTTCAATAATCGACATAAGAGATACACCTGCGTTGCCGTACTGCAATAGTTGTACTCATAATGTCTAAATGATTTCTGCTCTGTTACTTGAACAGTGTGAATTTATACAATTTGACAACAAGACTTTTTACTCAAACGGGCAAATCCCGCGGAATGATGATGAACTCAGTTTTAAAGTAAATGAGCGCACATCCTATAACAGTCCCATAAATGCTCGGTTTAAGTTTTAAGGAAACATTATGGCCACTCGTCTTTCTACAATCCCATTTGGCTTTTTGATAATTTTGATATCGGCAGTGCAGATTACGTTGGGTTTCAAATTATTGCAATGAACATATTATACATATGACACAACAACACAGTAGTTCTCCCTTTGTTAACTAGTGAATCAGAAATAAATTGGATGCTTCCGTTAAATAAAAGAACTTTGTATATATATATATATATAAATGTTTTAATGACTGCTATGCTGCATAACCGGGACATTTAAGGCTACCGGGCGGGACGTCGGGACAGCTCGTCAAAACCGGGACTGTCCCGGCTAAACCGGGACGCATGGTAAGCCTTGGTTTAAGTAGATATATTTCCGCAGGATCAATTGAAATCTGGTTATTAATTTGTGAATATACCGTCAAAACTGATAACTGAATACTGAATAGCGCTATAAAACCATGGCAAGAGCTGCCGCGGTTTGTTCGTGGCAGGAGCTGCCATGAAGTGGTAAGAACTGCGCCTCAAATGGACTTGAAAATTACGGTAGCCATTTTTATATGCACTTCGGAAAAGCGGGAAAATGGGTGTAAAAACTTTAAAAAAATAAAGAACTACCATAGTTAAATATAGATAAATATAATGTTGAAAATGCAAGTAATAAGGTTTAAAATGTAGCATAGATGGAGTCGCACGCGCTTCATCACTAAATAAACTAGGCACTTCGTAAAGTGCAGAAGAAAGACAAACTCATCAGCTGTACAAACTCAAAAGCTAGAAACAAACAGTTATACAACATTCTGTGTTCATAAAAATCTATTCCAAGCCCAGTTTCAACTGCCTAAACTTTAGCGGTTTCGAGCCCTTTTATGTTTCAGTTGAAAATTCCGACACCAATTTTTGACTTTCAAAATAATTATATAATTTCTGTTTCAGATCCAAACACCCTCGAAGAAAAACTGAACTCTATCGATCCACACCTCAATGATAAACTCCGACTCCACAGCTTTCATACAATTCTATAAGTTTTTGTTTTCGATTCGAAGAATACATCGAAACCTTTGGCGTGTGGAACAATTTTATTGAAACATATTTTCGATTATTATGGTTTCCAAATGCCCATTGTTTTTCACTAACGAATCGGCGGAGAGAATGCAAGTTTGAACCCGTACTTTTGTACAACCAAATAAAATAACACGTTATTCTTATTGACGTTCTTGAACGGCTAACGCATTTGTCACGGTTAACATAACGATTGGTGGACAAGACTTTCAATAGTTCATTTAAAATCCAAGCCGCTCTAGCTCCAGAAATTTTTAAATGTGGTCAATACTAAGGTATTATTTTCCATTGTCTGCACCATTACCGAGGCTTTATGATTCGGTTGTGATGCACGCAGGGAGGACCGCATACGATGAAGTTTATCTTTAATTAGCATCAGAAGGAAATTTGTTTACAGCAAAGAAGCAATTGGACATTAAAATAGGTGACTTGCTTTTTGTTAACAAATGAGTTTGATCCTATACATGTGAGTTTGTTGCTTAGTTTGATGATTCAATTAATAATACAAACATTTCAATCTAACTTGACCTTCACTTTTCTCATTCTCATGTAGATTATAACCATAAATATATACTACTACGGTATAACAACATCGATAATTTGTTCATCCCCGAATTATTCTTAAAGTTAGGTATTAGGGGCATCATTATGAGAAATTTGGCCTGGGCATCAGAAAAGTTCGACACGCCACTGGGTACACGTTATCGGTTATCGGTCGTTTAACGTCCGAGACTCTAGGCCTCTAAAGGCAGGGGTCGGCAAACTGCGGCCCGAAAACTAATTTTTTGCGGCCCTCGAACGCCCCGACTTTAAATGAATGATACAAAAAATGGATTATAAATTTATCGTTGTCTCCAGGTGGATTTGTGCGGTAACGAATGAAGCTGTACGTCGCTTTTCTGTAGCGTCAGTTTTGAGTTGTATGTCGTTGGTTGTAATTTTAAAATAAGTTTATTTTGATTTTTAAAATATAAAAATGGGAATATTTTTTTTGTGGGAGAGGATATGCCAAGTCAGCGTCGCAGTTATTGAGAAATTCAATAATAAACGTCATTACAGAACGTGTCACTGGAAATAGGAATTTGGCCCCGAGACTCCAGGTTGCGCCACTGCGACAGTGCGAAACGTGTAATGTGCACGTCACATATTGCTGTGAGCAGCTTTATGTATTACGCTCACAATAAATTTCGTACTCGCTCGTCAGGCCCGCGAGTACATAGAGTTTGCCGACCACTGGTCTAAGGCAAGAAAAACAAGATCGAGTTCGCTGCATATCATGACTTCCAAAGAATGGGTTCCATAAATCATATCACTTGACACACCAGTGGATTGAAATAATGTTAGTTGGGCGAAACCCCAATGAAACATTCCAGAGATTTGAAGAACCACTATGTGTTATGATTATATATTTGTTATCATAAAATATGCCATTTGAAATAAAATGTGGAGAAACAATTTGGATCTCTTGAACTGAACACTAGTGAATACACACATTCCATAGGAATAAATTATACCTGTGTATTTGAATATATTTGAACAACATAAATATTATAGGCCTACTACAAACGCTCGGGTATGAAAATGAACTTGCGGAACCCCTAACCGGCTGCTGTGGAACATGGACGGTATCGGTCAACGACTAACATACCGTATCGGTGGAACCCAAGAAAATCAGCGATGTTGACGCCAAATTAAGGAAACAAGCAGGTGATTAAAATAATAGCACTAATAACATATCGAACATTCAAACATTTGCTATACAAAACATTATTTGTTGACATGTCATAACGCTTTGCACGATGTGCCACCACAGAGAATAGAGGGTCAACACTATTGAGTTATATACACCTCAATGGTCAACACCGAGCTTTCAAGTCGAGGCTTCAAAGGTCGGAGGTAAAAGGTCAACAAAAATAAATTTAATTTTTACATTTAAAAAAAAATTATTAATATGTGATATCAAATTTCTGCGAAAATGCTCTGCGGCAGCGTACGATATGTTGGACGTAGTACCATATACCGGTATGAGGTATATGTGTCAAATAAATTGCATATAACCAGAGCCATTGCTCTGGTATAACAGTGTATAACTGATTTTGCAGTACCGGTATCCCAACTCCTTTTGCTGTCTGACAAAGCGAATCAGGGAATCGTTTCCTACTTTGCGGTAAGTTAACATACTGCAGTACTGTGTCGTTCTGTGTGTTAGCAGATCAGGGTTCAAGTTCAATAAGAGCTGAAAATTCTAGGAGCTCATAGGCCTATAGATAGCAATATTGTACCGATATCGAGAGATAAATCATACCGGGGTATCCTATAAAAACTGGTTGAAAACCATTAACTCAATCCAAAATGTAATTGATTTATGGCAGGGACGAAATTTATTTATGATAGGAAAAATTATCATTGTGAAAACATTAATGTTGTCCGAAGTCAGAAAGTGCTGAAGTGTGGCAGGTAGCCAATTACGAAATAATGCCAGAAAACTTCATTCAAAAATTGAGAAGCTTTTCAGGCCAAATGGATTTTCAAAATAATCTACTTAAGCACGAAAACAAGCCATGGAGTAAAAGAGCCAATAATTATTGTAATATTTTGTCCAATAATAATCTGAAATGTTTGTATTTAACACTCAGGTTTGATAAAGTAACAACCATACTAACTTTTTATACTGCAATAATAGGGTCTAGTATAGTTTAGTACCACAAGTACTTCCAGTGCTGCAGTGGGTGTAGCATGACGAATTTTGCATATGTTATTCCTAATCCCCACCCTGCCACCTGACTATGCCATCAAAAAAATACGTCACTAGGACGTCACCATCACGTGATATGGCTTGCCAAAGTATAATTACAATCGCCCGAAATGGCATCTGCGCCGCCGATAATGAACTCGCTAACGCCGATGATCTCTCTCCTATGGTGATCGTTGTGACGAAAAAACGAGAGAACTAGCTTGCTCGATTTCGGGTGATCGTCTGCGCGTTTGGGTCGACCAACCTAATACTTTGGTGTGTCTTATTACGCCACTGTGACTTACGTCCAAATGACGTAATTTTTCGGTGACATAGTCAGGTGGGGGTTAGGATTAACATAATTATGCAAAAATTGTTGAGCCAGGCCAACTAGATATGCATGTGGTACTAAACTATACCAGACCCCAATAATCAATGCGTTCAAGGATATTAAATTGGAGAGAACTCATCCCATAAATATTAGTGAGGTCAAAGATGAAATTTTATGGTGCAACCCCTTTTTACCAGATCAAAATTTTCAATTTTTATCGAAATGGATCCAAGCAAAGTTCCTTTCCGTGGCTGATATTGTAGATAATGCGATGCATAGTTTAACTAATAGAATATATTCTATTAATCAAATCAGTAATAACCAAAGAAAACTATTTTATCTTAAAGAAATGTTCCAACGAAATCCAGCAGGTTTGGGGCAGTCTGCCTATAAGCTGGAAGGAAATCTGGGCGGAAGGAAATCTAGTAGAAAATAGACTTGGAATTGATAGATAGCGAAAACTAAAGCAATTGCTACACGTCATGATATATACATTACACAAAAATTCAATTTAAATTGTCCAATCAATTGGTCAAATATTTGGCAAAATGAAATTCCTAATAGGCATAAAATTTTACATAACTGCATAATGGCCTACCAACAGGTGATGAGCTAAAATGCTGGTTTGACGATGAGAATGGTCAATGAAAGTCGAATATTTTATGCAATCACCTATGTAAAATTGCATATATCAGTATACGGATGTTTGGTAATTGTTTGCTGCTTTCACAGACTTCAGGACTTACATTTATTCATGTATTAGAATATGCCCATATTGTAATATGTCAATGACTTCAAATTCGTCATGAAGGAGATTGAAAAACTATCCCTGTTGGATGACATTACAGTAAAAGCAACTGAGCTGAAAAATTTGAATTATCAAAGCTTGTGCAGTATTGTTCATAATCATAAACAACGTCGCAAGTTATGGAAAAAAGAAAAGAGACGAAGAAAAAGATTTCTTGCATATTTAGACAGAAAATTATGTGAAGAAACGTCTTCAAATGAATCGGAAGGAATCGAAGATATTCCTAGCAGTAATGATATGCCAGATGGTCCACTGACGAATCATTCAATTATTTGTCATCTGCGGCAGGGTGTTTCAGACAATATACCAGATCCAAATAAGCTAAAGGGAATATTACTCAATACCACATCACAGCCTCTGATACAGAATACCGATTCCATTGTAGAAAATATTGGCGTATTATCAGAAGGAGTGAAAACTCCCAAAGTATGTGACATAAAAAATACCGTTTCAATGCAATTGTCCGAATCGAACACTTCTCGGAAGGAGGAGCAATGTTCTGATAATGTTTCAAACGTATCGGAACAACCTGAGAAAATAGTTAATGGAGAAGAATTGGAACGGCCGGAAAATGAAAAGAATGAAATTAATGATCTTTTATCTCTTTTAGATGATGAGGTAGAAAAATGGCAGAATCCCATGGCTCCTGATGATGTTAAAGCACCAGCCATAATAGAACCTGAAAATTCGTTGTTGGAAGAGATAAAACCAATAGATGACAATCGTCCTATTTGTAATTTCTTTTTAAAAGTTGGTGTATGCCGCTTTGGAGATAGATGCAGCCGTAAGCATCCTGATATTGACATCTCCGACACATTACTGTTCCCAAATATGTTTCAAACTTTCGCTTTTGATATGGAAGAAAGAAACCGAGTTCGACATGATGCAGGTGACATCATGCTTGAATATTCTGAACAAGATTTGCAGGAAGAATTTATTGATTTTTACGAAGATATCAAACCCGAATTTGATCAGGTTGGTAAAGTATTGCAATTGCTTGTTTGTAGCAATCGAAGTAAGCATATTTGTGGTAATGTTTACGTGCAATATGAAAATAAAAACATTGGAAAAAACTGTTTTGATAAAATGTTTGGAAGATTTTATAATGGAAAACAAATATTCTGTAGATTTGTGACAATTTTATCATGGTCAAGTGCCATATGTGGAATTCATCAGAGAAGGGGTTCATGTCAACGTGGGGGGCAATGCAACTTCTTACATGTGTTCAAAATTGGTGAAAAACAATTTTCACATAGAAATAGGCTTTCAAGGTATAATAACAATCACAATCGTACGTATATACCGTATGGTAAGAGCAGGAAACAAAGTCATTCTCATGATAAAGGAACAAGGAGACATTTTTACAGTAGAAGTCGATCTCGGTCATATTCTTCTGAATCAGACAAAGAAGCAAAGCGTAGAAAAAGAAAATATTCCAAGGATTCTAATGACGATAAATATCCTTCAACCAAACATCATCATCGGCAACGTGAATCATCACCAGTGAGGAAAGATGATAAAAAGCGTTCATCTTCAAGACGGAGAAATTATCATAATAGAAACACAAGGTCACCTGATAAAAATAATGTCAATAATTATAATGCAAAATCTTCTGTAATTGATATTCAAAACCATAACGATTCTCACAAATCACCTGATAACAAGATCAAGAAGTCACATAAGAAATCAAAATCAAAACATAAAAAGGCTAAAAATAAAAAGAAGAAATCAAAGAAAAAGAAAGAGCACAAAGACTCTGATGATGAATAAACAGAGTTACAACTGAAAAGTGCTTGGATTATGTTATCTGCCTAATCAACTTCACGACAATCAATATCCTTTACAAATAGTGTTCGTTTTTTTATCAGTTAGAAAGCATATTTTTCTAGCTCCATATCCAGTTTCAAAATCACTTGGAATATTTCAATTTTGATATAATGTGTTTTGCTTTAATAAGATAACTAAAATTTTGTCAAGAGTTATAAACCTGTAATTTTATTTGATTACCTAATTTATTTCTTCAAGTTGGACAAAAATACACTTTTCCTCTATGACTTCTAATTCACTGAAGAATATTTGATAATGGGCTTCATCGCATTCAATCATATTTTAGACATTTTGCCAAGTATTATGAACTTGCCTTATTCACAAATGGTATTATTTTTCAAAGGGTATGTCGAATCCTCAGAAATAAGTCTGGAACCTCACCAAAATCAATCCTGTTAAATTGTCCTGAACAAATCTACTATTTAAACACATTCCAACTAGATATTTTCATTTGAAAATTTTCCATTTTAAGCTTTTGACATCTGATGATCAGACAAAAAAATTTTAATTTGCTTTCTGAATTGAATAAAGATTATTCGTCAAATCAATGTCCATCTTGAACATTTTGCATTGCCAAATTTAGGTTTAATCTTCAATCTCTTACAACACAAATTTCACTGTTGAACGTGAACCAATTCAAAATGTATTCAATATTTCATATTCGAAAATAGTATTTCAGGATGCATATATGTTTTATAATTTTGGCCATCTGAGTAAAGCAAGCATTATCTTACTTGTACTCCTTAACTATATTGAACACAGATATTGGATGCAGGCGCACCCAGTCAATCTAATTGTAAGTCTTTTATTATTAAATCATGATCATTTCTGTTTGTTTTTCTTCAATTTTTTAGATATGTTTTAATTGATAATGCAAACTATGTATGTTAACCTAGTGTTGATAAGCATTTTGATCAGCACCACATTTGGCAATGATATGAAATTGCTAGATCCTCTGGTGCATCTTCATAATGTCAAGAGTTATACAACTGTTGGAGAACAAACAACTGCTGTGCAACAATTACTGAAAAGGATTATTGGAGATAGGAGCAATGATTTTCAAGTTGATGTCAATTTAACAACAAGTTCAGGAAATGACATTGTTATAGTGAGTATACTTCTTACAGAGATATGTTGTTTATCTTTTTGTATTTTTCTACATCCTTTTAATTCGAATATTTTATTTTGGCTTCAATGTAAGTGACTCGGCAGGGGAGCATCAGGCCAAGCGCTAGGCACACACTTGCTGTGCACTTCTGATACCCAACTCAAGTTTGCAGGCTAGAAAATTGTATGGGAATCATGAAGTGCCAGAGGATTGCTGGACTACTTGCTATTATTGATGGTTTACTAAACCGCTGGTAAATCATGGCTTCCTCCATCATATGCCTAACTGGTTAACTATTCTCATATTAAACATGGACAAGGTGGCAACATGGCAGTGGTGTTTCATATAATTGAGCCTTGTTAAATTAGGCTCTTTAGCTCATCTTGTACCCATTCTGAGTTGATAAACTAGGAGCAATTATTATTTATCAATTGAGGAACTGGACCCTGTTTTCTAATACATATTTATCTTGGTCATATCTGGCTATCTGATTAAAATTCATTATCCTTTTATTCCCAGATCACTAATCCCAGCGTCGGTAAAATTAAGATATCTGGAACAAGTGGAGTTGCGGTTGCTTTTGGATTCAACCATTATCTCAAATATTATTGCAAGTACTTGAATTTTGTCTTTAACTGCATGGAGCAATATTTATTATTTTAAATTAGTAGTTGTTCATCGAGGTCTTTCATCACCCATATGATTTAGAAGTCTCACAGCAGAAAAGTATTGCACCCGGGTGGTCTAGTTGTTAAAGCCTTACGATAGGGTAAAATATCCCATGCCTACCACCTCACCCAGGGTGTAACAAATCAGGTAGGCAGTGCATAACCAGAAAGATTCTGGACTGCAGTCCTTCCAAAAGTACGGTAGGTCTTTACTTAACAGTGGCTGCTTGTACAGAACCTTGTATAGAGTGAAAGGGCATGAACACAGTGTATGTAAAAAAGCAGAGTTAAGAGTTAGGCGTGTTTTCATTGGGATTGTAGTCTGAGTCATAGGTAAAAATTTTACCGAATAGGGTTTAAAACCAGAGTCATTACGGTAGTTTAAATGCCTTTGAGTTCGAGGTGAAAATTGAGTGTAAATTTTCTCCAACCCCATAGTAATTTTGGGGGATAACTATAATCTGTGACATTGACTCGGATTCTGCTATAATTGCAACATTTTTTTTAGCCAACAAAAAGTCCTCGTTTCTTCAACAAACTTTGATTTTCTCTTATTTTACCTTTCAGCAAATCAATAACATGGGCAGAAGATAATTTATTTGATCTTCCTGATCCACTACCATCTTTAAAATCAGGAAAATTGGAGTTAAATGCTGGAGTAAAATATAGATATTATCAGAATGTATGCACCGTCAGTTACTCTTCTGTGTGGTGGAATTGGACAAGGTTTTAATTTTTTTTTAATTTCACGTCAAGTTTTGTGGAGATAATTTTTTTTGTCCGATGTCAAATGTAAAAAAATTGTTTGTGGGATGTATATTGCTTTGTATCATCCAATTTTGTGATTTTAGATGGGAGAGAGAAATCGATTGGATGGCTTTAAACGGCGTGAATCTTCCTTTGGCATTTACTGGACAAGAAGCAATATGGAGACGAGTTTATAAACAATTTGGTTGCACGGATCAAGATCTGGCAAACCATTTTGCTGGTCCTGCTTTCCTTGCATGGTAAGTTGCAACATGAAATACTTTATTTTGAATGAATTAAATTAAAATATTAAATTTATGCTCTCTGAAAAAGTCGAGAACTATTGCAAGAGCACTCAACTATTCATATATGAGGTTGCCTGTTCTTTGACCATTTTTAAAATGAATCCTATTTTTGTCCATAACTAGTCACTCGTTTGTAGCTTCTATATCACTAGTCTTTTGTTGTATTAGTGACATTATACCAAACATTCCATATTAATAATATGGTAAATGTAATAAATTTTCATTTTATTCTGACACAACACAATATACTGATATAAGCTATTCTATGTTCCTTTTTGGATTTCTGTTTTTCTTCTGATGCCAAGTGTTGTTTAGAGTTAGTGATTTTTTTGTTTTATGAAACTACTAGGGGAAGGATGGGCAATGTTGATGGATGGGGAGGCCCTTTGCCAACATCTTGGATTGAGAACCAGTTGGCATTGCAGCATAAAATTCTTACAAGAATGAGATCTCTCGGTATTATTCCTGTTCTACCAGGATTTGCTGGCCATATTCCTGAAGCAATCACTAAGCTATATAAGGTAGTACGATGAAGGCTTTTTCTGAATGCTTTGTTATTGATATGTCTGCGCTTTAGTTTCGATGGCCTATTTGGTGCAATAGCCTAATGTTGCAATTCCCAAAGGGGGCACCAGAAAATTAACATAACTAATATATGATTGAATATTTCACATATTATATTTATTATAAATGATTCCTTGTTCCTGTTTAAATACTGTCTATATGAATCAATAAATTTATTCTACTTCTCTATTTCATTTTCTTTTCTGTTAAGTAGTGTCTGCCTCTATTGTTATGTGACAATTGAGGTGGACACACTACTTGCTGCAGTTTCTTTATCTGCTGAACTGAGTTTAGCGAACATGAATGATTTTTTGTAATTCGTCATTTTTGATTTGGGATGAACAATGCCAAATTTTATTTTTTTATAATGGTAACTTTGTTGTAAAAAGGAGAATGTCTTGGGGAAATTTTTCCTCTATGAAATGCATGTTCACGTCTTTCGCTCCGAACCAGGCTCGGTGTAATCATAAATCAGCATACTTTTTTTAATCATTGGGTTATCAATACAATCCACCTAAAATTCTATGATTTTTTATTCCACCAGGTTAATGCTACAAGACTGTCATCCTGGTCATATTTCAACTGTACATACTCATGTACTTACTTGCTGGAACCTACAGATCCTTTATTTATGTGAGTGATTTTCTCGCTGTAATTGTAACAATATTCATATACTGGCGTAATTTGTAATATTTATACCAATTCAATTAATCAAATTCTAACAAATGATAATGGCGAAATATGGCAAATAGCTCTCAAAATACATGATTTCAATTAGCTATAGTTTCCAAACACTGTTATTTTAATTTATTTTTCATTAAAAGAGATGTTTCCATGGTTTCACTCTAAACGAGGATGTGTATAGGCAGCTACTGTCCAATCTTGCTGAATTCTATTCCTTGATTATGTCTCGTCTGCAGGAAAGGGTAAATTTGTACTTTATTGGACACAAAATGGACCAACGGTCACTTTGCTAAATTCTTGTTGCTGTTGTTATTGTGAAAAAATCACCTTTCTTCGCAAATCGCAACTAATGTTTTTTTCTTTAAATTTTCTCATTGGGATTCTACATATTATCAAAAATGTTACTTATTTTTTCTATTTCGCACAACCATTTTTGGATTGCTTGCTGCCGATCTTGACGAACCTGGTTCTCTCAGCCCGTACTTGTATCGATGCACTATTTTCATGCCCATATATTAGATCATTGCTCTCTTGTTTATAAATACAATAATATGAATACCATAAAAGCCAACATATTTGAACCGTGATTTCGTTTATTTTTAAAGGAAAATCGGGAAAATGTTTATTGAGGAGCAAATAAAAGAATATAATGGCACAAATCATATATATAATGCTGATATGTTCAATGAAATGACACCAAGGTCTAGTGATACAACTTATCTATCTGAAACATCTGCTGCTGTGTTCAATGCAATGAAGGCTACAGATAAAGACGCTATTTGGTAATATTTTAATTTTTTAATCTAATATTTGAAAGATTTGGTATCAAGCCGTAACTGATCAGCTTCCTCTTGAAACGAATAAAAAAATGAATGGGATTTTTCATATTCCATTTTAGGTTAATGCAAGGATGGTTATTCAGGAACACTGCATTCTGGAAACCTGACCAAGAAAAAGCACTTTTAACTGGAGTTCCTCTGGTTCGTTTTTGTATTTTCAGCATTCTAAGTTTCTTTTGAGTTGTATTTTATATATGTTCAAAATTTTATAAAATTGGGATTCATGGTAGAAACTTGGGCCAAGCATTGAGAATCCGGACTGTGGAAGTTTGGAATGTTTTTATTGCTATAAGAGTCGTTTTAGGTGTAGGGAGTCAAGTATTGGAGTCATAGTAATTATAGTTCTACGGTACCACTTACTCCTAATGGTGGTAATTGAATTCAAAATTTCTTACCAAAACTGAGCATTCTCAACATACAGTTAGAAGGCTTGCTCATATTGGCAGTGTTGCCAAAAATTAACAATTGAAATAATACAATATCAACACTTAAACCAAAGTTTTTATTATCAAAATTTGGTTTACTCAAGAGATGGAATCGGAGTGATAACTTTGTCAACCGGAAGTCGTTTTTAAACTGCTCTCCGTGTGGTTTCCCTATTCAACAGCATTGTTAGAAACACATCGGAGAATGGCCATGTTTTGCTAGATGGTAAAGCTTTTATAACAGTTATTATTTGCAACAGCTATATTGTCTTGTTGGTTTTTTTTCCAGGGCAAAATGATTGTTCTTGACCTATTTTCTGAATCATCACCAGAATATGCACCAACACATTCATATTATGGTCAACCATTTATCTGGTGCATGCTACATAATTTTGGCGGCAATACTGGTTTTTATGGAAAGATAGATACCATAAATAAGGTAAATGAGATATTTACAGTGATTAAAAGTGGGAAAATGAAAATCCTGATTTCTTTCTAATATATACATGCTCTACTACTATGCACTATTTTATACACCACTATACTATTGACTGCTACATGTACTATTATGAGTAAGGATGTTCGAATATTTCTATTAAAATTAAATCAAATGGATGTATTCAAATATTGAAACCACTGTCCTTGTCAATAAGTCCATTCATGCATTTGAAACAAATACCGTTACTATCTATCCGAGGGTATGGGAAATATCCGACATGGAATTGTAACTGGATAAGAGCATGTATTTTTCCATAGGATTGATCTGTTTTGTCACTTCTCTGTTCAAACCACGGCATATATCATCCTCTTGAAAATAGTTATATTTGTCAGAAAAGAAATTAAAAATGTAAAAGCTCCAATTCTAGAATGCTAAACTTATTTGGAAATGCACAAAATAGCAAGCACAACATAAGATTTGCATACGACACTTATTTACGCTTTTTATTAAAAACAAGGCTCTGTACAATCAACCATTGGTATGTAAGGATATACTATTTATGGAAGGATCAAAATTTCGGTTCTGTTCGGTATTGCCCACCCACTTTATTACGCATTCGGTGAGGTGGGGGGCATTGGATTTGAACTTGAGTATAACTGCGATGCCACCATGGTCAACTCTAACGCTTTGAATGCTAGGCCACTACAAATATTTACTGACAATCTTTGCTTCAAAGGGTCCTGCTGCTGCACTTGCTTTTATGAACTCAACTATGATAGGAACAGGTTTAACTCCAGAAGGAATAAATCAAAATTATATAATGTACGATCTAATGTTGGAAGTTGGATATTTTATAACTCCAAGAAATATTACTGATTGGGTGAACCGATTTGTTGTACGAAGGTAGGCTATATTCTATTATATTTTTGAAAAAGTAGTTACAGGCTGTTTAAGTGGATTGCATCCAGGGAATACCTTGAAAATGGTATAAAAATGTCATTGTCAATTTGGACCAGATGTTGACAAATTCTGATGAATGAGCCAAATATATAACTAGATGGGATTATATCTTATTTCTGTTCTCTTCTTCTATCCAAACATATGTTACAATAAATTCAAACTGATTGATATTATTCGTTTACCCTAGTTCAAAGTGTTGGACTTAAAGAGTGTTGGCATTGCTAGTAATCCCTTGCTCAACCTTAACAAGGGTATAATTGCATCTCTGGTTCAAATCATCATCCAGGATCGGCAATGCTGAACTGGCAGTACTGAACCAGACAGGTTCTTGTCCTTTAATATATGATACCTTCTTACATATCAATGACTCTGTGTACAAAATGAAAGGCATGTAAAAGATGGTATAAAAAACATTGCAATTATGAATATTTTTTTCCTGTGCTTTAATTTGACATTTCTAACTTTTTAGGTACGCTTCCGACAATTCACATCTTCAACATGCCTGGTCCCAATTGGCTGCTACCATATATAATGATACAACTCCTGGTTATCCAACAAAGCGTACAATACGTGGTCCCATCGTCGACAGACCCACGACAAACTTACCAGAATTTCCGAGATGGTATGACCAGAAAAGGTATTGTGCTTTTACTTTATGCAGCAATCTGCAAGGATTATATAACACATTCTAAATTTAGGTGAATGGAGTATTTTATGTTTGACATTAATTTATATTATACCGGTAAATTAATAAATTTGTTCATTAATACAAAAAAGGTAGATAACAATTACTTTTTGATTGGTATTTACGAAATTGCAAGTGTCAAAAATATTTTTTAAGTCTATTATTTCGAGGGTTCCAAAACGAACACAAAGGTGAAGTTTCAAAACAGACCTAATTTGAAAATATTACAAAGAAGTATGTGCTTTGTAAGCTGGTATTCGATCACAGCAGTATTCAGCAAAGTACTTCGATAAAAAAAGTTGAAAGGAATTTCGAAATTAAAAATATACATGTACTTATTCCCTCAAAACAGCTTGTTCCAGATTTGCCATTTTTGGTTGAAGCCCTGTTTTTCCACCAATTTTTAAGTAAATTTTATCATTTTTTTTTCATTTGGTGTCAACTGCCTTTATATCTTCACTAAGAAAGGGATATTAAAATTTTTATTTTTAGTTTGCTTACAATATGGGATGAGTTCATGATGGGTTTGGAAGATGTTGCTCCTATACCAACTGTTAAATATGATGCTGTTGATATAACAAGACAAATGTTGCAATACTATCACTTCGATGCTCAATATGCTTTGATAACAGTACGTTATATACTTTGTTGTATAGGAAACAAAACCTGAAAGTACAGATAAGTTTTTAAACTTATTTCAGATGGTAACACAATAGGCTAGACATGGCTTGAAGATCTTTGAATTGAACCAAGGTAAAATGGTTTTCAATTCAGTGTAAGGAATGGACAAATCTATCAAAAGCAGAAAAATTTGGGTTTTGCCAAATCAAGTCTCTTAATATATCATGTACAGAGACTTAATCAGAGCAAAGTTGTGGGCCGCTTCATGGAAATTTATATGGTTGAAACTTGTGTCATTTCGTAATCATGGCTGATTGTTTTCAGCCCTTCTGTTGATGAACTTTTTGTAAAAAATCTGCAGGCATTCAATAATAAAGATGAAGCTGGTGTGAATCACGCGGCACATATATTGCTAGATGTTATAGACTACATGGATGAAATATTAACAACAGAGCAACATTTTCTGATGGGAAAATGGGTCAAAGATGCTCGAAATATGGGAACAAATGAAGCAGTAAGTAACAATGATTATTATACTCTCTTCCTAACACATTTGATGGTATGTTTTTTATCTAATATTGTACACGGTAAGGTTGTTTCTAAAATTCTCCTATGAATGGATACACCAATGATGTGAAGTTGCAGCCCTGCTAAGGGCTTAATATGAATTTGTTGTGTGGAAGAAAGAAAAAGTAAATACTGGTTGACATGAGCCCATTGGTTGACACATGATTTATATAGTAGAAACTGGTATTTTCAACCAGGGTTGTCAGATATTACAATCTTGTCACTGAAGCTGCAGTCAAAATTCTGAAATCCACGATATTGGGAGACAATATTTCATACATCCAATGGTGAAAAAAAAATAATTATGAGGTAGATGGTTACAGTGAACTGTTTAAAATTCATGTTTTGTGAGTAATGCCAGTTTTCTTACAGGAGAAAGACCTGTATGAATACAATGCAAGAAATCAGGTAACATTGTGGGGTCCAGCTGGAGAAATCCATGATTACGCAAGTAAAGAGTGGGGATCATTGATGAAATATTATTACAAGTATGTGCAAAGTTTTTATGACATTGTGTATTTTTTGTAGTTCTTTAGTAATCGGAATGTCATATTTTTTCTTTCTATCGTTATTTTTTCTGAGCAGGGCTCTGTATAATTACTACTTATATGTAGATAACTATTGAGTAGGGAAACGCTGTAATTACAACTGGGGTGAGGTTATCATCCAGAGTTGAATAATTTTCTCAGACTCAAGCTAATGATCTCTAACCTACCATTCTGGCAGATATAGTCCATTAAAATTCATCATATTCTGATCAGGAGATTTGCTTTGGCATTGCCATGATGGTGGTGTAGTCATATATTTATCCAATTCATCATGTATTTCAGAATTCTGTCCTAAATTTGAGAATCTATTTTACAGAAAAATATAATACAAGCTAGGTTTGTTCTGTAAAATTTGCCACAATCCGTTATTTTCCCTTTCAAAAAATAGAAAATTCCACAGTAACAGCATACTTCATTAACTAGCTAGTGGGTGTTGCACTACATTCTCAACTTGTATACACAGTTACACACATTAAAATATTCGTTTCAGGCCTCGTTGGTCTTTATTTGTTGATCGTGTGAAAGAATGTGTACGAACTGGATCACATTTCAATCATGGAAAATTTTCTCAGGATGTTTTTAATCAAGTCGAACAACCTTTCACTATGGATCAAACATTGATGCCATATGATCCCATAGGTTTGTATTAAATGGTTTATATTGGAGAAAACTGGGTGCTCCAGAAGTGTATGTACCAATATGGAGGTAACTAATTTTATTCGCCTACTTTACATCAAGTTGTGTGAAGGAACTGAAACCTATAGGCAGCCGGTATATTTACTTGGCTAACACAGACAGTCCCCGAACTCATAATAGAACTAAAATCTGAATAAAATTATTGCCTAAGTTTAATCTGGTACACACACTACGGGAGTACCGAAAACTGGACTAATCTTGATACCTGGTTGGCAGCTTGTTCAAATACAGATTTCTTCATATTTATAAGTTTATTGGAAGAATATCTTTATTTTCAGGTGATCCAATAGCTGTGGCACAGAAAATTTATAAGATATATCGAGGGCAAGGTTTCTTGAACAACAAACCGAAATGATATTTTGACTTCTACTTCATCACTAATTATCTTTCGAGTGCAATATTTCATTTTTTACTCATTTTTGTGCCAATCAGCTAAATACTCCCCAAGTTATGAGTAATTATTTAATCGACTTGTTCTGACTCGTGCTGTATTCCCAAGTTATAGTGTAAAAATTTACTAATTTCTGGATACATCCAGTCTTTATACATGAACTTTTCAGTGTTGGGTGCTTGTTCATTTTCAATTTCCTTTTTGGTGCAATTTTTCATTTTTTTACTCAGCTTTGTGTCGATTAGTTAATATCTAACTAATATACTTGTTTAGATTTCTACTGTATTTTTTGTTATGTTCAAGTGAACAATTTATACTCAATTCTTGACTCTAGGAATCTTTTTTATACATATACGTTTTGTAGTGTTTGGTACTTTAACCAGAGCCATGAAGTTATCTTGACACTTTTGCTCACTTCATCCAGAAAACAAACTTACAATAAATTCAAATCATGACGGAATGATTATACATCATTTAATTTGAGAGCAAAAATCGCATTTAGGTAACAATCTATAATGATACAAAATAACAATTTTGTTGACTTCATATCAAAGACTGAAATTATCAACCTCTTAAAAACAATCGTCACAGAGGAATTTTTCTGTGCAATCTTTTGCAAGACTGCATTCATCACAATCAATTCATCACAATCGAATTTTAAATACAATAGTATTTTTGAAAATGAACTGAAGACCTGAGGAGCCAGTGCTTTTTACAATTTCTGCTAGCATTATGTCAAGGCTTCCAACGCGAATGGGCGCGAGGTATTCACAGTGTGCTAGATGCAGTTGTGAGCAGCACACCCTATGTCGGGAATACTATTTTGGGGTTTATTTCTGTTTCGAGGAAAGCATCATGTGTCTCTTTACTCCCAAGTTCGTGTCGCAGTTGTCCACACGAAATCCAACAACTAGTCATTTTTTACCAAGAGCAAGTGTTCAGTAAAGATTTCGGTAGTTTTTCGGAATGAAATTTAAATTCCAAGAGTTTTGTCTTTGAACCAACATTAGCAGAAACATCGGGTTACGACAGTGCCTCTATAATTTATATTGTTTGATGTATATCGTCGAGGGAGGGCGTCCGAGCAATGCCACAGACCAGCGGTTTTCAAACGCCCCCACAAGAGAGGCGTAAACAATTTTTTGAGGGGGCGTGAAGCCAAATGAAAACATTTGTCAAATTTGATTTTGCCCGCTATATATTGGATATTTAGTTGCTTCATTTGGGATATTTACGCTTTGTTCACGTATTTTCAACGTGCTTTTTAAATGAAACATAGGCTACTTCGGCCTTACTATATGTTATTTGTAGCTTATTGTTGGCTAGTTATTTTTAAGGTGAGGCGCGAGACTTGACAGATCCTAAAAGGGGTCGCGGCTTAAAAAGTTTGAGAACTACTGATAGACAATCACCGATCCGCATTCGGTCCTTGATAGTGCAAATTTTGTCTCGAAAATGTTGGTAGTAGATGTGCAAAGTTCAAATATATGGTCACGAAAGCCAAAACAAAATATTTCACTCACAATTTCTCAAAACTATACCCTGAAGGAAGCTTGAACTATATGACGGTTACCAGATTTGTGGGTCCACCGTCACATAGTTCAAGCTTCCTTCAGGGTATAGTTTTGAGAAATTATGAGTGAAATATTTTGTTTTGGCTTTCGTGACCATATATTTGAACTTCGCTCCCTTGTTTTCTTTTCATATGTGGAGATTCTGGTTGGCCGATCTTTCCCCATCCAAGGAATTTTATTACAACATGGCAAACTGGTTATTAATCTTTTTTAGGTTATAGAAAACAAATCTCCTACACTTGTTTTATTTTTGTTATGAGCAAACGTGTTATTTTGCATAATTTTTGTAGAGAATCCAGTTTCTTGTTGCTCCAGCCAGCCTCGATAATTTTTTATTTTCTTCCACATTCCATCTTTTTTCCCCCTTGGGGCCTCATTGTTTCTATTTTCACCCACATTCTTCACTATAGCGCTGGCTTTATTCTTCATTTTTATGATCGGTTTTCACCTTACAACTTGCTTGCTTTAATATAATATCTTTTATTTTTTCCTTGTATTTACTACGATGCTTTCTTTTTAAGTTATTTCCTACGTCCTGACGGCTACTCATTATTATATTATATCTTTCTTTTTCCCTTGGGGTCCCATTGTTTCTATTTCCACCCCAAGTATTCTTTACTATAGCGCTGGCTTTATTCTTCATTTTTATGATCGGTTTCCACCTTTGCTCTAATATAAATAAATCTTTTATTTTTTCCTCGTATTTACTACGATGCTTTCCCTTTTTCATTCATTTCCTACCTCCTGACATCTTTAGCTCATTTATATTTATTTATTTTCCATTCTTCCCCTCTTCCCTATTTTCTTTCATTCCATTCACTATCTTAATTTATTTTTCTTGGCCTCGCTGATTCCCATTATTTCTTATTTTCCATCCTACTTTCACTCCCAAGTCTTTTTCACACTTCTTCCATCTCAATTTCTTTGCGGCTCTCCCTGACTTCCTTTATTTATTTCCCCTGGACTTTTATGTTGCTTTTTGATTGCCGCCTCGCTCATTTCTATTATTCTGCACTCCCTGTTTAATTATTTCTTCTCATTTCGCCTTCTACTGCTGCTTACTTTCGCTCCCACCAGCGCTTTGATATTTTTTATCGTAATTTTTGTTCGGCCTCCCTAATTCCCCTCACGTATATTTTTCGCCAATTATATTTTCTTTTTCTACCCTGCTGCACTTTTTTCTTATTTTTAGTTTTTACTCCTCCACCAACACAGCCTTGCTGATCTATATTATTCCCTCGTGTCTATTTGCCGATTTCTATTATCGCTCCGTTTTTACTCATGATCCCCCTGGACCCCGCTGCCTTTTTTTATTTGTATTCTTTCACACTCGTCATATTTTTATTTTGATGCTTGATTGTCGTACTAGACAGCTTCGCTGCCGATTTGTATTATTCGTTTTACCCCTGATCGCTGATCTCCCTGGACCTTCTTCCACTTGCACTAGACAGCTTTGCTGCCGATTTGTATTATCCGTTTTATCCCTGATCGCTGATCTCCTTGGACCTTCTTCCCCTCGCACTAGACAGCTTCGCCGCCGATTTGTATTAGCCGTTTTACCCCTGATTGCTGATCTCCTTGAACCTTCTTTCAATCGCACCAGACAGTTTCGCTGCCGATTTGTATTGTCCGTTTTACCCCCGATCGCTGCTCTCCTGGACCTTCTTCCACTCGCACTAGCCAGCTTCGCTGTCGATTTGTATTAGCCGTTTTATTGCCGATCTCCTTGGACTTGCCACTCTTCTTTTCTTGCTCATTCTCAGCTTTTCTTTAATTTTGACTGCACAGCTGGCGTTTATTTCCTTGGCGGCTGGTCAGGCTTGTCAGGGTTCATAGTTGCTCTGCATTTCTGCTCCCCTCGGTTGCCATTTCGCTTGCTCGTTGGCTCCCTTCTCTAGTTCCTATATCCTCTGCATCTATGCTCCCCTTGGCTTCTCTTCTCTAGTTTCTATATCCTCTGCATCTCTGATACCCTTGGTTGCTGTTTTCGCTTGCTCGCGGCCAGAGTTGGATCAATTACATTATTTCAGTTAAATTACAATTTCTCCCTTAAACTTTTCAATTACATTACATTTACAATTACTCCGTGACAAAATATCAAATTACACTTACATTACATTTACAATTACACCAAAGCAATACTCAAATATATGAGCACGTTACTCAGAGCGAAGCAGCCCTTACCCTTGACGCTACCGCTACCCTCAAAAAAATTCCGAGTTTCGCGTAGCAAGAACCAAACCAAGCAGTCCCATGAGAAAAATAATACAGCGAAATCTTGGACGAAATATCAGATTTCATACAAAATTTAGAAATAAAAAAAGTATAGCCTTCTAGAAAAAAATTCCATCTTCAACCACTGAAAATTTCAGAGCATTTGGTCCAGTAATCGAAGAGAAAATCGACTTTTCAATAACTATGACAAAGGACAAGAACAACAACACAAGATACCAAAAGTTTTGGTCAAAACGATCATTGTGTCCACTAACCTGTCCAATAACATTTTGATTCGTATTCACAGTTTCACTTGCTCAAAAACTGCTGGATTGCACTTGATGAAAATTAGGCTGCGAAAAGTTTCTGACCCCAATAAATTTCTCCTATTTCTGACGGCGCTGATGTTGCTGTTAGTCCCAAATAATCCATGGCTAAGGAAGCAAGCCTGGGAACAATACATTAATGGGTTTTCGTCAAAATGAAAAGTAACGAATAGCATTCTAAATCGCAAAATGAGGTTTTATTTACAACCACGACTGAAAATCTGTCTGAGTGTTTTAACGGATGCTAAAAAGCATATTGTTACGTCACTTTTCTGCATCTTGCTGATTGGCTAATGTTACGAAATAAAAAAGAAAGGCGATTCTCGGATAACGCCCCTTGGAAAAATATTTCGCCCTTTTTCGTGTTATTGCGGGCCAGATGAAAGGACGCCGTAGTTTGGTGACCCCTGATCTAATTGAAAGTGTAATTGAGCCAAAATTTTAGCAAATTACAATTACACAGAATGAAAATGCCTCAATTACATGAAAAACTATAATTAATTACATCAATTACGATTGACCTAAACCGCCTGTCTTGTGCTGGTCCATCCCTTTAACTCAGTCAACCCTGCAGGGTTCGAACCCACCCTCATACCCGACCTAATGTTTAATCATGTCTCCACGCTGCCCCTGCGCCACAGCTACTGACGAGAGTCAGTTGGATCAGAATCCTACTTAATTAACGACGTTACGCCTGGCAGCCCACGAGGAGACTAATTACCCCGACAAAATAACAAACATACTGCGTTGATTCGAAGCAGGTGTATTCATGACTCAGTGGAGGGCGTTCATCTGGGACAATCGTGTGCGCTGCCCTGAGTATTGGATGTGTGGATATATCTCTTTAAATTTGTAGTAGGGGGAAGGTGGGGCACGTTGGGACATGGGACACAGTGGTAAATCAGCTCTCACACTGATACTATATCCGCAATCCTGGCCGCGGTTCGATGTTTCAATCCGTCCTTCGGTGAGTTACAACGTCCCCGCGAACGGGTAGAGCGGCGCACGCTATGAGGTGAAATTGGTTTTGGGAGGTTGAAACTAAAATTTCACCGGACCAGTTTTTTCTTTTTTCTACTTCAGCCTTTCCAACATCACAAACCACCGTCTGATATTTTTCAGCTTTAGTCCACTGTAAAATATTCATAACGTTGGCGAGTGGATGTGCTCTCCGAATTTCGCCGTGGGATTGTCTGAAAATATTTGTTTCCTATGGGGAACAATGGTCCGGGGTTCAGTGGGACATGCCCTACAGGGCACAATTCAAGAGTGTTTGATACAATAAGTGCTTAAAGACCTGGAGATGCGGTATATTTTGTGTAAGATTATGGATCTATCGACCCATGGCCCAATATGGAATATATTCGAGAATCAATAATATTTTCAGATTTAGATTCGAGGAAGGAAATATTCAAATTTGTTTGCGAAATTTTTTGTCAACTATTTCAGTTGAACATTGATTTTAAAAATATTGAATCTTCAAATTAGAAGTCTACATGTTCTTTAGAAGATTATGCTGATTAATTGCTTATTTTTAAGGGCATACTTCGTTGAATTTTGACGGACTGACCCATTGTGCCCCAGGGTCTGTCTGAATGTGCCCCACAAGTGGGATACAGTGGGACACTTGACAGACGTTTTTCAAAGTATTTTGGTAGTAAGATGTGTGTCGCAAGAGAATTTCTTAGTCGCTGAATAAAAACTACATTTACCCCTCTATGCATTAGTCCCGCCAACTTGAGTGAATATGCAGAATTAACGGCCCAAAATATGCAAAAGAAAAAAAGTGTCCCAACCTTCCCCACTTCCCCCTACATTTTTTACACGAAAAATGCGTTACCATGCAATCATCGCAACAAGACGCATAGGATAATTCGAAGAATTGAGTCTGCAAACTAAATTTATGACCGTCATTGGAGGAATACTAAGACTAGACGGAGGTTTATCAATTTGATTCTTTCTGTCTCTTGTGCTGACCGTCTTATCTCTGGTCTACTGTTTCTAAATTTATAAAACATCTCAGATTAAAATTGACGCGGCGTTTAGTTCTTTTACATATTGAAACGATATCATACAGTATACACACTAAAAATATGTGTTAAGAATGATAGGTAAAACATACCATCGCAGGCACTAAAGATAAAAATCAGTATATTGTACCTGTATTGCGATGTACGCTCTGATACTACGCGCGGCCACACGTCATATTCCACCGGATTCTGATGAAATAAAAGCAATCAATGCAAGGTAAGCTATGGTCAATCAGTTTCCATTCCATCATACATGCATTTCTTGGGATTCTATTGCAGGTCGCGGGAATATCTGGTGCCCTAAACAAGTGCTTTTTCTGTTTAATGGTTAATCCATCACTGTACCTCATCAATGCAATACTTTTAACCTTCGTTATTCACGCATTGCGGTAGTCAGTACAGTAATCTTACCCGTAGTAATGGAAAATCACTTAGAAACTTTTACTAGCGGAGGTTCAACCCGAAGTCTGTTGAAGAAAAGAATAAGATGTCATTTTAATGTCGGCGAAGAGTAAAGCCGATAATACGGCGTATTCAAATGGCGTACCATGGCCTCTCGTACGATTACCAGTCCGCGTCGGTATGGGGTTCGCCAGTTATTTGTTTCAGATGCCTGGACTTGGTGGTGGGCTTCCTGGCGCTTAGTACGGCGCACTGCGAAGGAAACGAACATAAATCAAAACATAAATTAAGCTAAAAAATGGTCGAATAATTTAAATCGAAATCAGCAAAACAGTCTGGAAAATTTATCATAAAAGCAAAAATCACCCAACCCCACCGTGTGGTTGATACAGAAAATAATATAATGAATATGTGACCACTGGGGGCATTGCTGGACCAATATTATTTGGGTTGCATCCTTGTTGTTGATTAAATTCGCCCGAAAGACAGAGGAGTCGCATTTTGCAAACTATTTTGTGGCCGTTTCGCCCTTTTATTTCGGCCATGGCATTGGACGGAGGGGGCAGGGAGTTGGATATCAGGTCACGGTTTACCACCAGAGAGGGAACTTACAAGCAAATGCCAAACTTTGAATACTGCAGACCAAACAGAGTTCCATACACTGCGCAGGTGAGTGCTGATAAGATTTTGTCGTTATCCAGACCTAGGCACTGTACTGCGCAGAGTTATGGTACAATAGTAAGGGTCTGGTATAGTTTAGTGCAACATATAGGGTGGTGTAGCCTGTCTGGGGACGATTTCATTCAAACCGCTATAAAACAAAAACCAATAATTCCAACCCGCCAATTTTTTCATCGTGGGTCTGTAGGTGCATTGGCATTTATTTTACACACTAAACCTCAAATTAACTTTCTACGACGAGAGGTTAAAGCTATACAAACCACCAAAGTACGACACTCTGAAGACGTATTTGCGACCAAACGACTAGTCTTCGACCACGGATTTCAAGCCTTGAACATCGTTTCTGCTGCTTCGAGACTAGGGCCATGCGTGAAAAAATTGGGCTTTTAACTGCATTTCTGACCGTCATAAATTTTAAGAACACGTTTATTTCGAACAAAACTCGTCAAATTATAAACAAAGCACCGCATCACAGCAATCAAACAGACAAAAACAAATTGGTCGGCAAAGATAATATTGACGTATTGGAAATGTGCACCCCCCTATTCCCCCTCCTTTAAATGTAGAAACGCGAAACTTTAAAGATGGTTATAAGAAACACAACTCTACCCACCTGCCAAGTTTCATCTTTTCATCTCTCTTTTTCAGAGAGACAATGGGTAGTCGGCGACATGAAAAAATGGTCCGGTTTTCGGTCTTAACTTTTTCGTTTGTGGCCGCATTTTAGTGTAATTTCGCAGTGCTGCGGGGGATAAGTGGACGTTAACGCGTGAGAAATATCCACGCTGTTTGTTAATTTTTTCGGCATTAATTTAATCGATGAAGTCGATGGTCGTGAAGTCGATGGCCGCAAAGTGACTAAGCCACCCTACTTCTAATTAGCCTGGCTCAACAATTTTTGCATATGTCATTCCTAACCCCCACCTGACTACTTCACTAAAAAATTACGTCACTTGAGGACGTTTAGACCTTTGTGTAGTGTACGAATGGTCGTCCAAAACAGGTCGACGATCACCTGAAATCGAGCAAGCTATTTCTCTTGTTTTCTCGACGCAACGATCCCGATATTAGAGAGACTGCTGGCGTTAAAGAGTTCGTATGGTTGGTGCGAATGCCATTTCAGGCGATCGTGGCTATACATTGGCAAACTCTATGACGTGTTGTGAGGTTGTAGTAACGTAATTTTAAGATGGCATAGTCAGGTGGGGGTTAGGAATAACATATGCAAAATTCGTTATGTTACGCCCACCAGAAGTACTTGTGGTACTAAACTATACCAGACCCCAATAGTAATACAACCCAACCTCTTTTCATTGAATTTGGTCTCAATTCATACTGAATATCAATTAGTTTACAAAAATTCTGTTTGGCATTGGGATTTAATTGGCAAAAAGGTAATATTACAGTAATATCAGAATAAGGCATTGGATAGTCTAATTGAAGTATGGGAATATTACCGTAAATCCATTCAATCCTCAATATTAGAATATGGTATGCTTTCTCCATGTTACTGTACTCAGCTAGTGGAAGAAGTTGCAGTCCGTGGCGGGTATGAGTGTAGTTTATCAATTATTTGTTTCAGAATCATAAATTTCATGGAGGAAAAACCTGTTACTGACCAATGGTTACAGGGTTGCGGGAACCACCCCACAACAACGAGCTGGCAATTATGTCGCATAAAATTGTTCCCTATGCTTTCAATGGCATGTGTATTTCTGACGTTAATGCTTGAAATGATGCATCAACCGCTGAGCCATGATTGAAACATTATCCAAAATTTTCAACCTCTCCGGGTTGCTTCTCACTAAAGCAATTTATTTCTGACTAATTCTAATTCATCAATTTCGTATATTCTGTTCTAATATCGGTCAAATAACCTGATTCAATATATCTTCAATGGATATTGCAAAAAGGAACCTATTGTCAGCATAATTGTAATCAACATAGTCTTTAGTCATTATTGGAAAGAGACAAAAGGGGCGCTAGGGACCTGATGCTTAGACTACCTACTTTTATAATCCTCAATTTTGCTTTTGTTAATTGAAAATGTGGAGTACAAATGTACTTACCGTAGTTTAAGTTGTGTTGGGGACTAATATAATAGATATTTTTTAGTTTAGACTGTTGATGGGCGCTAGATGCTTCTTTCCGTTTTTTTTTATTGGCCTTTGCTGCTGCCTTGGTTTCTTTCACACTTCTGGCTTTTTTGATAGTTTTCTTGATGACTCCAACAGCAACAGTCTGTCACATGTGTCAGGGGCAATATCTAAATATCACCCAGGCTAAGTTCTAGTTTACTCGATTTGTTCTTTTCAGTAATAACCAACTGCCATTGATATATTCCTACTGCACTTTCTTGCCACTAATTTTGTGGATTTGTTTGTATCTTTGATTGAGTTATTGTTGCATCTTTCTATGTTCATCGCAACTTGATAAGCAAAATCAAAAAACAGACCAGAGAAATGAGAGGTGTGACAATAACATCCTAGTAACATAGCACTACTATATGTCTGTTTGCACTGGTGTTGAATTTATGACTTTTATACAGGGACCACCATCTGCTGTAACTCCTGTAAAAGCTAGTTTCACTGAAATAGATGATAAAGATGTAAAATATACAAGAATTGTCTTCACTATTGGACGTGATCTCTTTTATTTCAATTATGAAGGGGTAACTCAGGTACTGTTTTCATATTGCTTTTAATTAGCTTCAAATAAGAGTGTGCATTTGAAATTTTTTTGAGTGAAATCTATACTTTTTGATACATTTCATACTTTTTTGCTAGACATTAAATATATCCGGATTATAATCCAGAACCAATTAGACATAGAAACCAAAGTCTGCAAGTGCGTTCATTTTTAAATTATGTAAATTTACACTACAATCATAGTTTGTGTTGTTCATATTGACGTGATGTTGATAAGTTTTAGCCAAAAATTTTGTATTCTTGAATCACTTTCATCTTATTGGCAAAAATGCAAAAATTTGACAATTATATTTGCTGGGCAGTAAGAAAGTACACTAATCTACCATTTACTACATTTTTGTGTAATAAAAACTCAATTGTTCTTTATATTGTATGTGTAACATTTCACTTGTTCATTGTTCGTGTGCTTGGTGGGCATATAAGGGTGTATTAAATGAAGCCAAAAAACTTGAATAATACTGATTAAAATAAAACAAACATGATTAAGATATATTGACTTCACTTCAAAAGTTTCCACAGTTGGGTAATGCTGTTTTGAATGCAATCACTTTTGGTAATTTTTTTCTTATCTCTAATAATTTGTTGTCTCAGCCTGTAGATCTTACAAAACCACTAGACAAACGAACATATAAAGGTGTTGCACCAACATGCCACGACATCAACAGACATACTGCCACCATGGACAGTGTTCGGGTTGCTGTGGGATTTGCAGCTGGACAAATTCAAATTATTGATGTTGGAACAAAGGAAAGCTTAATGATTTTAAATGAGGAAGTAAGTGTCTTTACGTTGTGTGTTTTGACTCATGCATAGATACGCATTTACATGACAATTGGCATAAAAAAACTAATATAATAAGTAATAATTAACTTACTTACGGTACATGTTACATAAGATAGATATTAGTGCCTTTTGCTCTCTGACAAGGCCCTGTACAAGAGTTACTGGTATCTAAGTTAAAACATTGCTGTACCATTGTTTGTTTCAGGAATAGAAAAGAGGAATTTTTTCTGTTTGGATATTTTTTGAATACTAGTTGCAAGAATTCAGTTACTTCTTGTTTACATTGTATATGTGCAATTTAATTGTTGCATGTATAGGATCTTTATGAGGGCGGGTGATATCAAAAAATAAAAAATGTGATGTCACAGTACAATATTATACATGAACTTATAATGCATGATGAGAAAAGAATACAGGCTGAGATTTCATTCAGAAATGTGTATTTTTATCGAAAACATTTATTATGATTTCTCTTTAATCCAACTCATTTCAATGTATGTGACATTGTAACTCTAATAGTTTTGACATTCTGATATTCATCTTTCTCAAATTCGATTTGTTTCGTATTCTATGTTGAAAGTTTTTTACACAGACAGCTCCGTTGGGAATAAATATGTGAGAGGATAACTGGACTCTTTGTCGTCGTGTGCTGGTTCACATAACCACCAAGTCCATATGTCTGAAACAAATGTTAACTATTCCCATACCCGACATGGACTGGTAACTGGATGGGGGTCTGTGGTGATGAACCGTCTTTCCTCTCCACCTGGATGAATATGAAAATCCTATTTTTTTTTTCTTCAGAGAATGGTGGACAAGATATCAACAACATGTGTAAAATGGGTCCCAGGCAGTGATACATTGCTGATATCATCCCATGCTAACGGTCACATGTATACTTATGATTCATCACATGAAAATATGAATGTTGTACCTCAGTATCATGAAAAGGTATGTTTTTATTAAGAAATAACTTGTGCATTGTTTTTTTTTCCTGAAACGGCTGTGTGATATGTTTCTTGGAATGAATCATGTTCTGAAAAATGGAAAAAAATTTGTAAAATTTTTGGGGCAAGCCAATGCATTTGTTGTCTGTCATTCGATTAAACACAATGAATTGAAACACTTTAATACAAAATGAATCAATCATAAAAAAAGGTCAAAGACATGAAATCTTGTCCATCAAATAACAGTCTATCATACTGTCACAGATACAACTTGTTATTAATAGAATGGTTTACAGTATGATGTTTACACAAAATTTGTTCTGGGTAACATGTGTGCAATCTGTGTATTTCTCATTATTTCGTCAGGTTGCTTTCGTACTCTATTAGGGAAAGATACCATATATAGTACAAATACAGGATATCCCATATTCCTTTAATAAATTGTCAAGCATGCTTGACATTGCGAAATGGAATAACTTTACAGGAGTTATTCAAGTCCATAAATTTTATATGCATTCAACTAAGCATTATGTTTCTATACTCCTACTAGTACTACATCTGCATAGAAATATGTCGTTTATTTTTTGCTTTCAGCCGCACAAAACAAGTGGGGATATTACAATACATACATTGAAAAACAAAACTTACACCTCACCGACTGGAGCTCCATTAGGTGTGTTGAAGAATCCTCTGTATAAATGGATAGTTACCAATGACAATTCTGCAATACACGAATTTCAATTTTCTGCTGATGGAAAGAATATCGCCATTGTTTCTCAGGTTTGTCACCTAACAAAATTATTGTTTGTTTTCTTATATTTTTGCCGAAGCTGTATTCTATAACGTTGCTTATTTGGATTGTACAAAAACAGTCAAATTAGCTTGACATTGACTGCGAGAGAATCTTTATTTACATTATGGTGGTTCAATGTCATACCTTCTTTGTAATTAATTATCTACATCAAAAAAAGTTTTCATACACCTATGTACATAATATGCTTATTCTGTTATGTTGTAATACCTGCTATAAATTACTTAATTGACGAAATGCTGGGTCTGTTGCTTGGGATATGTTATGTTCCAAAGATGATATTGAAAATCCTTATTTTAGTGCTAGGTTCAGACACTCTGAAACCTATTACCACTGATTCCCAATATTTCCATGTGCTCCTCAAAGTACGTCCACATTAACTCTGCTTAATACGAGTTCATTGTTACATATCTTTTGCTTTTTGTTTCAATTCTAATCCTATTAAAAATAAAGGTTTGAGTTCAAGTTAAAAAAGGGTCAATTAGTCTGTAAATTCAGTGATTTCAATAAATCAATGAATTATCTGAATTAGGAAAAATTTTAAAAATTTTGAGTTGTAATGAAAATTTAATAAAATAAGATGAGTGGAATAATCTCAATGAAGTAATGATACTTGTATTACAATTTTGGAAGTTTTGTTTGTATATAATATCAAAAACATGCGTTTTCCAGAAAGGTGACTGACATATAGGTCTATATCGCCGCTGTTGAACCAAATTAGCTTATGTCACATTTTGAGGTTTTGAGAAAATCACTATTTTGTAATTTTCAGATCTGTACAGCCAAATCTATAAATAGACTTAAGGCACTACCTAAAATCGAAACTAAAACATGTGCAGTTTTGAAGCCCAGAAAGTCTATTTTTGAAAAATGTGACATAAACTTCTTTGGTTTACTGCCGCGATATATAGGGTGTCCATAAAGTCTTTTTTTTTAAATTGCAAATGGAATTTTTCGATACCATATTTTGTTTTGGCCCTCACATATGTATTAAATGAAGTTAAAAATACTTAAACAATTACTGATTAAAAAACCAACAAACCTGATTAAGATATATTGGGAACTGACTTCATGACGAAATCGAAACTGTAAAGGGACTGTATACATTTCCACAATATATATGCTTAAATGTTCATTTAAAAATGATGGTAAAATGATTTGATCGTTTATGATTTGATTTTAATATTGTTCCCCCGGGAGGAGAAAATGGATGTTACTGCTCAAACACAGGGCGATCAACAGTCAAGTGAAATTTCCTACGATGATGAGGTGTCCAAAGATCCTCTCACCTATAATCACAATATCTGAGTCTGCGAACATACTAAGGTTAATCAGAATAGCAAGCATGTTTCTAACTTTTATCATGATGCAGCAATCCTTAATTTGTCTTTTGGCTGTTCAAACCATTTGGCCAATCCGATCTCCTTTTCATAGCTTATGGCTTCAACTGAATAACAGTAAATATTTTCAGGATGGATATCTTCGTGTCGTGGATTACAACACTTTCGAAATGAAAGGATCAATGAAAAGTTATTTTGGGGGATTACTCTGCTGTTGCTGGAGTCCTGATGGACGTTATATAGTGACAGGAGGAGAGGATGATCTTGTAACTGTTTGGGCCTTTTATGGTGGCTTCGTATTAGCCCGTGGTCACGGTCATCGATCTTGGGTCAGCAATGTCTCCTTCGATAAATACTGTTGTTGTATACCTGACGAGGAAGATGTGATTAACTGGTACAGTAGTGAATCTCCTTCCTTATCCCATAATGATGTTAAGTGCAATTCCCATTCAAGATCATCCGATAGTCAAACAGAACTACAAAACAATAAGTTTATTCAAAGGGGAAGACATGCTGCTGAAGCTACCAAATTAAAGCTGAATGATCATACCCAAACAACTAAAAAAGGGCAAAATTTAAACGATAAAAGAGATCTTCGCTCTCCTGTTAATGATTTACATGATCTTGTCAGACGACAGAGAACTAACAGTACCGTTTCTAGATTATCAAGGATGAGTTTAGCTGGGTCGGTCGATATTCCTCCTAGAATTTCATATAGGTTTGGTTCCGTTGGACAGGATGCACAATTGTGCTTATGGGAATTAACAGATGAAACTTTATTTCCGAGACGCAGGACTGTGACAATGTTAAACAGTCATGGTAGCGTTCACAGCCGCGGACGTGGCGATATTTTTTGTTCCCATTTTTTAAAACCCACTCATCATCAAACCCCTTCCCCTATTAATGGACACGATTCAAAAGAGAATATTTACGATGATTCACATTCTGGAATATCACCGGAGTATATAACCCATGCGAGTGAACTGAAAAGTAAACATTCCAAGTCAAATAGTACATCAAACGTAACGTCGCCTATAAAAGAACATACTTCAACATTTTCTAAAGGACTTCATTTTTTTACTTCATCAAAAGATTCTTCCAAAGCTGATCATAATCCTGTTGCTGGTTCAAGCAGTGCAGGTAAGATTACTTTTGTTATGGAAAATTGTTATGGCTACGTGTGGTGCAGAAATACTTAGTGGTTTCCATGTACAACTATTTTCAAGTCAAAAACCTCATTCGTCGTTCTAAGTTAAACCATTTCCAGATAACATAAATACTAGTGGTTTTATGTGTTTATAATTTATACCTTATCAAAACTGAACCTTCAATAGGAAAAATTGCAATATTTTTTAATAATATCAAATCCGTATTCATAAATGTTTTTAGTATTTGTTTGTCTGTATCCTGCATTTTTCTGTAATATAAAATTGTAATATGCACTCACTCTACAACATTTTATGGCTTGTTCGCATACCATCACTTTGGACAAACAATCTCTACTAGGTAGGAAAAGTTGCAAATGTATAAAGATTTGTTTTTTAGTGAGCATGTTTTTCATCTCATTTAGCTCATTTCCTTATATCCATGTGCTGTATTAAAATATAAACCAGTTTGACGCTGCTTGATAACGCGTATGGTTTTATCGTATCTCCCTTCACCTTGAAATGCCATTTTTTATTCTCTATTACAGGGGTTCCCAACCGGGACTCGTGGCCCACCAAGGGTACCAGAGAATAGTTGGAAGGGGGCCACAATACTAGGCGCAAAACTGATTTTACTTTTCACTTTATAAGAAATTCCCCGTTCTTCCTAGTTTCATTGTTTATTTAAGGGTATTTCACAGGGTGTTTTTACTTTGTCAAGCATGAATTGTTTGAACATTATGGGATTTGGAATATATCAATCAAAATAACACCATAGATACCATTGGAATAACTAAGGGGGCCATGAGTAGGGCTGGGCATTCTCGAATACCTTGTGATTTCAGAATCGAATCGAATAATTTTTTCGGATCGAATCTCGAATACTTGGAAATATATAATTATAAGCGACTCTTTTATATTAATTGGTCCTTTTAACAGATGAATTACTGAAGACATAGAATACATCACTCAGATAGATTACTGAGCGTTCACACACAATAACAAACACGTTTTATCAATAATTCACTACAGAAAATAGTCATGTTAGAATAGTATGTTAGAATTGCGTTGAAAAAATATGATTTCAATGAAAAAAAAATTGGGAAATTCACCTCGATCATTGGCAAAAAAAAGAAAACAAGATGGCGGCGATTCGAAATTTAGCTCTGAACCTATTCGAATAATTTACTATTCGATTCGAATATTCGATTCTAAATGCCCAGCCCTAGCCATGAGTGCTGAAAAGTTAGCGAAAAGAGGCCAAGAGCATATCTCAAGCATGGTAAAACTGGACTGGACCGAAATATCAAATTTTATTTGAATTTTAATCGCAGGTAAATTTGCAACACTTGGTAGCAGTAATGAGCACAATCAACGCAAAGAAAATATTAAAGAACATAAAAGAAACCTTAGCATGCCACACTTTGGATCAAAAAATACAAACCACTCTCAAAGCTCTTCAAATGGGATCACTAAACATCTTCTTCAGACCAAAAAGCAAAAGGTTAGATCTTTTTCGATTGTTTCTGTTATTTTCAGAAAGAGTCTGGTATGCGCTTGGATAATGTTAAATATCAGTGGCTGCTTGTTTTGGGCTTTGTTCGGAGCAAAAGTTTTAATAGGCATCGTATAAAAAAATTTTTTGTGATTTGAATTTCATTCAAAAACTTCTATTTGGACATTTCAAATAATAACTAGGCTACTAGTATTTATTCTTTTGTATTCTTGCGTTTTACGAATCTACAATTGATTAAAATTTAAATAATAAGTTAACATTAACTATTATTTCAGCAGATAAAAACTCTGGGAACAAATTTATGTCCACGACTCGAAGAAACAACAATGTTGGAACCACTTGTTTGTAAAAGAATAACACAGGTAAATTATTTTGAGCGCTGCAATATTAGTCATACCCTAATTATGCCCAAATGTTGAATAAATCCACATGTATTTGTATATTATTATTTTGAAACAACTCCCAAAGTGACTGAAAATCGAACCATTTTAAGCAGTCTGTGTCAAACGCCTGGTTTGAAGGGTCTGTGTCCAAGTCCGCATACCAATTTCGAGTAAAATACTGTGTGCCAAGTAGGTAGCACTACCTTGAATATTACCATTCGTCTTTGTAATTTGAAAATTTCCTCTGGATTATAATTATTCATTTCCCGTATGTAATATTGATTGAGCTAAGGCTATTAATTTTGATGATTAAAGAATATTTACAACATTATCAGTTTATTCCGTACAAAACTGTTGCATTCTTTTTTGTACTGGATATATTGGTCACAGTATATACACCTCATGTTTTTTTTGAATTATTAATAAGGTAGCTAAAATCGAAACGCAGTCCGGTAGTGGTAATTTATGTCTTGGTGAAGTGTGTTACCAGATTTGGATTCAGATAGATTTTGATCGATTGATTCAGACTTTAGAGCATTGTTGCTGATTTATAAATATTTTAACAAATGGGTAGTGTGGGTTATGTAAAATTACTTTCTCAAATATACAAAGAATCTAATGAATATAAAGGAAAATGAGTAATTTATGACGTACTCTGAGTCATACTGCTCGACTACAAATAATTGCAAGTATCGATTCTTTTCTGTCGTAATTGACAAGCACAAATTAAATTTTTGAATGTGCTTTAGTATACTACCTAGGATGTTTTTATTGAACACAATTTTGCCTAGTCTAACCTTTTATAGTTATTATTAAAATATATCTATATATTATAAAGTGTGCAATTGGCTGTAATTTTCTTCGAAGTGTTGCACAGAAGCCCTATTCAGACATATTGTGCTTAATATGTTCTAGGTTTGTGGGACAAGACTTCGAATCTTTTCTATACATTTTTTCCTTTGCCTATTTGGATATCCTTATTCCTCTCTCACTGTTCCTTGTTATTTCTTCAATCCTTATTAACGGAACCTTAGCTAGTGTTACCTGCAGCTCGTATTCTACCTTCTGCACAGTTTGAATGATTTACAATATTACAACAAGAATATCGGTCGGTGACCGAAGACTTATCGATCGAAACTGCGGTTTCGATTCATGATTCTATAGTGACACCGCGTGTCCTATCACTAATTAATTGATAACTCGCTTATTATACGACATGATTCATCCAAAATCGATAGGCTTCTTGTCCGAGATATGATGAATGCACATGCAAAATTTGGAGCAGATTCAACCTCGCCTTCTTGAGATATCGCGTTCATTTAACAGACAAACAAACAGACAGACAAATACCTATCAACCAATCTTAAGATCGATAAGTAATGATACTAAATAAATAAACAATATGAAGAAAACCACACCAAATACAAAGTAATATTTTTCTCCCATAAAACAACAAAAGTTCCTCTGGCGTTAACTCAGTGATCCATTCATTAGTCTACATTATCTGTATATGACCTTGTATATGGTTCCCCTCCTGGTCGTCTCCTAGTTTCAATTCCTTCATTCATACAATTTGGTATTTAATGAAATGAATGAATGTAGATAATACTTTTGAGATGATGACTTGGGGTTGAACACTAACTTTGCCAACCAGAACTCCAGCCAAGATCTTTCACCTTGATGCTAAAAACACTTAGCCAACCATGCCAATATGTCTGCTACTTTTCTATTGAACACTAAAGTTATTAGTTGTATAGATGATGAATTTCACAAAGTAGTATCCACAATATTGTTTCAACAACAGACAAACAAGTCATGTTTCTCAATTTCTAGCATCTTTAATTTCTTGACGTATCTTCGAAAAATGTGGTAAAGCTGTTTCGATAACAATGAAAACATTAGAGACTTGCTTTCAAAATCTCTAACCATATCGTGAAACTAAACATTTTGCATGTTTCAAATTATATATTTACTATTACTATTGTATTCTATTCATACAGGGTCGGCTTAATTCTATTAGTTTTCAAGAAGACAGTATTGTAACTGCATGTCAAGATGGTTTTATTCAGACATGGGCAAGGCCACACCAGCATTTGGTAAGAGTTAATGGAAGAATAAATGATTTTTAGTCAAGAATTGACATTACTAAAGCACACTGGTAGTAAATCAGAAATAAATTCTGCCAAAAAAATTACTATACAGAAAGTTTCCATATCGAAATTTGCTGCTGTAATGTGATGATGCTACCTACTAATCTACTTATGTATCATAAATGGTGAAAACTAATTTGAAAAATTGACATTTCTATCTATTATTAAAAAAATGTATATCAAGATATTTCATATTTAAAAGGGAATTTAGCACAAATTAATTGATGTACATGGCTGAAGAATAAAGATTATGTTATTCTGATTCATCATTCTTAATACTATCTCGTTCAAGCATCCTTGTGTCAAATGCGGATCCTAAGTAGGGAGAAGATAAGGGAAAAGACCTGCAGTTCAATACACAATATTTTAGTACCATAGTTATGACTCCGCCACCAATCATGTCCACATTTTGGAAAATCAACCAGCTTTTTATTCCATAATTTACACCAGTGGTTCGCAAACTTTCATCACCCGTGGTCTCCTTCAAAGACTCTCAACATCGTAGGCCCTGCTTTTCTTTCAAATTGCTTAGTCTCGCTGTAGGAAATAAATGCATTGCAGTCAAAAAATTAAACAAATCACAGTTAGTTTACTTTAAATTAATGCAGTCATGGCTAACGGTCTGCAACCAACTTGTCCATGGTCGTCATTTTGTGCCATCTTTGGGAAACGTTTGGAAATTACTATTGTGTAATGTAATTTGACAAACATAGTATATCAACGTGTTCGGCTGAGATTCTCCTTCGAAACGTGACTTTGAAATTCTTTCTACCTAAAAATATTAGTGAAAATAGTAAGTATGTTTCAATAGTTGTGTGCGAAATTCCCATAAGGCGCCATGTAAGATGACTGAGAACAATAGGCACAAGATGGTGTCCATTGTCTGAGAGTTGCCTCGCTTGAGTTATATATACGCTTTGGTCATGGCATTTGATAAATGTCTTTTTTTGTGGCCTCAGAGAATCACCCTTTTCTTCTCCCATTTGGAAAAACCTTGCTTTAGACATAACAATGACTAAACTAGAGGCTCCATTATATGGTTTCATTATTTTTCATATTTATCTTGTTGCTTTATTCTCTTCCCCGATAAATATGAAATACCAAGTTTTACCTCAGCACGGAATAGTTTAAAAACCTTTTCAAATTTTTTTTGCAGCTGCAACCAGTTTCACCACCTAAATCATCCAATACAAGTAGTTCAACTAATATACCTACTTCACCTTCATCACCACCTAAAATTTCACCTTCTTCAAAATCTCCCGGAACTGTGGTATAAGGAGACAGTAGACAGGATATCTCTCTACAGCCGAGCTGTATAATAAATTTAATGATAACTTAATTACCTTGTAAAACTCCATTTCTAGTGAGAATGTGATAATGGTGTTTTAGCCAAGTACGATACCGTAGATTATATTTTAATCATACAGTCTTGACCAGTATATATATTTTTCATGATTCATCGTTTTGTTACCTAATGAATGGCATTACAATCTAGGTTTATATAGATATAAATATGCTAATTAGATGTTAGAAATATTAAAATGTAAATGAGAATACAGAAAATAAGGAGAAAAATCACTATTTAACACAATTTCAGGTAAATGGCACCTGAAATGATTCCTAATTTCGGTATCTGCTGCGATGATATCTCAATTTTCAGATGCGTACCTAATGTAACTTCTGGTTTGTAATGTTCAAAATTTCATAAATAAATACGAGGAATGGCAAAGGCTGGCTTAAACACATTCTATGAAAGGCTTTGAATTCCAGATCTATTCCTCTAAATTTTTCCACTTTGATCAAAATAATTACGTCACTTCTGTTTTACTAAATAACACATATATACTGTGTTTTTCCAGAAAATAAGACAGGGTCTCATTTCAAATTTGAAAATCGAATAGAAATATAAAACAAGTTTATATTAAAAAAACTGCTAAACCTTGATAACTCAAAAATGGCCACATCATCTTGCAAGTCACTAAATTGATTATTTCAATGAAAATTTCATTTGACTGAATTTTCTGGCGAAATTGCGCTATCGACTTGGTCTCATTATAGAGGGAACAGTAAAAAAATATATTCTTTTGGTACATTTTCTATCTTGTCCATTATTGAATAAAACCTCTATTTTGACTAGCTTGTCCAATGCCAATTTTCTTGCTTAAAATCACAATTTGTAGGTTTCAAGAAAAAACAGGAATATTGAAATTGAAAACAAAAATTGTTAGAAAATATTACAAAGAAATGGTGCTTTTTGAAGTCTGTATATAATCAAAGTTTGAAGCAATATTTGTCAAGTATTTCAATAAAAATCACAGGAGTATAAAAATCAAACTATCGATTATCCTCATTTCCTCAAAACAGCTTTTTCAAGGTAGTCTTTTTGGGGTAAAGCCCTCAAATTTTCTGATGAATATTATATTTTAAACTATTCAAGAATTCAATATATTGGCTCTTGCTGATGCAGGCCAATCTATCGCTTCTTAAACATCAGTCGTAATATTGATAGCAATTGAATTCTCTTATAAAATACTTGTTTTTGTTTTCATGATCTCATTCATGGTAGTAGTGTTTTACATTTATTTACCATTTATTTTGTTGTGTCTTTATGAAATGTTATCGCTGCCAATTGATGGAATAATTTATCTTTTTTGGTCTTGTCGAGTGATATTAATAACTTTATTTATAGTAATTATTATTATAAAAGGAATTTTTTTTTTGGCATTGCATACATCAACATCACTGTCAAGTTGGTGCATTTCGTTTTTGTTTATGCATTTTCAACCTAAATATGGTCGATTTTGAAATTTATTTTCCCATGATGAAGTTCCATTATTCCAGTTCATTGGTCATTACATTAATTGACTTCTCACTACTTATGAACATACAGGCTGTTTTACCGGCCATCTTATCAAAGAACATCATCTTGGTCCCGCTTAGAAATAATGATTTAATTGAAAACTAAGCTTTGGAAAATCTCCGGCAATCAGAGGGTGCAATATGACTGTGTACGGACTTTTGCCTGTGGCCTTCCCGACCACAAGATAGTTCAAGTTATATATTTGTTTTTAATTGGCTTTAGGAGTTATGCACATGGATAAATGCACATATCGGTAGATTGTTTATGGATGTTTATTTACCACAGTAGCGGAATATATCTGCATCATGTGGCACCAGCCTAACTCTAACCCGCTAAGCCGTACGAATGAGGCGAATGCAAAACAAAGTCACAACTCAAACAACTTGTGGTTACTAAGACTAATTTGTATTCTGCTGGATCGGCATGTAGCAGAATATATTTTGTTCTACCACCGACATAATAAAAATGTGTAATAAAGTGGGAAGAGTTTGTTCCCAAAACTTCGTGACATTTTACGAAATACCCTGCTAATTCAGATTGTTCCAAAACCATCTCTAGTCCTGCATGATTAGTAGAGCCCTACTTTTTCCAATATTATATATATATTGATAAAGAGCACCATTTTTCATTAAATTTAGACAAAGCCAAAATTTACCAATACATATAAGGGAGTAGTAATGGCTGTGAGTGACTATTCTCAAAGAAAACTTTCATAACAAATTTCAATTCCCCTCAATCCATAATAAAATCCTGAATACCTAATAAATCCATTTTGTGTTTGTTTAGTTATAAAAAAAATCGAATGAAACAAGTATAGGGTTTTGTAGTTTTCCACATATTTGTTGAAAAGTCAATACTGCATTGTCACGCAAAACTTGCTATAATAATACCTTATTCATTGTTCAACTACCGTTATATTGCGCTTAATTCTACTTTATCCTATTTATTTTAGTTTGTCAAGAGTTGATCGTCAACGTTTTATCATTAATTTTCCTTCTAATTTTTCTGCGATTTCTAGAATACTGTTCAATGCTTTAAAATTAATCTTTTTCCATGACTGAAACATCTGTTTATTTCTGCTTCTGATACGAGGGCACTCGCCACAGTTTAGCGGTGTACCCTGTAGGACAAATGGGAATGGTAGTTAAGAATGCCTAACTAGATGGATGGGATAGTAGTTTCATATTTATAGAATCAATATTAAGTGTTGAATGGCTTAATCATATGCGACCGGTTACCTGTTCATGTCGTGTATGGAAATAGTTTCAGTATGGACTTGAAGATTTCCAACTGGGAGTCCAAGAATAATATGTATCATATGAAATTGATAAAGCAAAATGTGATTGCTATTGATCTATCCTGCATAAAAATACAAATTAAAGGCATCTTTATAAACCGGGCTAAGGGTTTATGAGCGTAACTCTGAAACAGAGGCCACAATGTATGAGAACGCAATATATTGCGCCTATGAATAATTGGTCTTATCGTTTCAAAAATTTGTCACTTGTTCTAATTCAATGGGGGATTTGTTCTTGTGTATATGGTGTAAGCAAGCACTTTTCAGATCACCCAAATATATGGCGATTTCTTTGTAGCGATCTGATGGGGAATACTGTGGAGAGAAAGAATTATTAGGAGTCCCGAACTTATGTACAGGGGTTTGTAATTTGGCCGTCTTGTCAACTCTCCGCTTCCCCTGAATAAACACATTATTTTGTGTAAGTTTATTTAGACTCCCAAATTAGTAGGTACGGTTTAAAACGTAACGAATTTAAGTTTTGGTATAAGGTTTTGCCAGAAAGAAGTGGTACTCGCCTGAAGACACGCGTTCTTGGTACATTATCCACGATATTGGGTACTCCTGCAGTATGCGCACCAAGATGTCGCATAACCTGAACAATAACCTGGTACACAACCGGAGTTCAGGTTGTGCGCCATCTTGGTGTTATGTTCTCGCATCGGTTATTACCTGTTACGCTATATTTGGTAGTGTTCATGGTTCGATGGTCATTAATTGCATGAGTGATTTAGTCCTTCGCGATATAAATGCGCAAGGGTGCAGGACATTGCCGATCATCGACGGCGTAGCTGGTGCTGGTTCCAAAATATAATCTATCGTTATTCGCTGTTTGATTGTATTAGTTATTTTCGTGCATACTGAATTGTAACAGTAAAAGCCTCCTATTTTGCGTGCAAATATCGTGTGTTGCTTTGGGGAAGCTTAGCAAGATAAGGAACATTCAAGATAGAGGAGAGACACTACAATATTGGTTGGCGGGGAATACTTATATGCAAGAGGACATACAATCGGTTCTCCGTTACGACTTCACCCAACCGCGCATTTCTCCGTCAATTCTTTGCATCTGAAACGAATAACTTATTAAATATTCCAATGCATATGATTAAGCCGTCCTATCGCATTTCCTCTCTCCCCAATTAAATGAGAACATCTTACTTCCTATCCTATATCACCCCACTACACACTCTTTGATCAGCTTTACTTTTGCACTAGTACGTTCTAATAGGTGATATAATAAGGATGGCAATTTTTCATCGGATGGTTTGCACGTAAGGAAAACTTGGGGCGAATTTTATTAGGTTTACTGACCGCAATACCACATGCTCACCGGTCACGCGCATCGTTGGGAATACGCTCGTCACACCTCTATGAAGCTAGCAGCAAAACACGAATTTGCAGTCGCAGTCGCAGAAAATCCCCACGCATAATAACAATGTTTCCAATCGTTTTTGAAATAGAGTGTATCTTTTGATTAGTTTTACAATAGCAAATAGAGTATGACAATCAGTAACTACATAACTCATCTTGTTAATATAAGTAAACAAGCTAAAAGGACCGTAACAGTGCATAATAGGATTCCATGCTTTTGAGAGTTGTTTGAAAATGACTGAATTTCCGTCGTTTAAGACGGTCATCTCCCAAAAACCTCATCTTCTCCTCACCTCATACATCAATACTGTACGTATATTAAACTTGGAATACGGAACCTCATAGATTCGAATTCATTATGTCAGAACAGTAGCAGTACGTTTTGACTTGACCATTTGTAATACCAAACTTAGCGTATATAATTCTATTTCCTGCTATCAACTTTCTCACAACGACTCATTTTAAATCTACTGCTTATTCATTTTCATGGATAATTTTTAGGAGTTGAGATCAAATTTTGTATTCATAATCAACTTACTTTTTTCCCTCTAGCAAAAAATGGCATGCAGTTTACCAGAATAATATTGGAAACACATTTCACTGGGGAAGGGAAGCTGCTGAGAACCAAAGCTGGTTATCAAGCAGCGACACCCAAGGTTCATCCATGGCTTGTTAAAGGTATCGATCGTTAAACGAGAATATTGGTCAGAGACCAAAGACTTATCGATCGAAAGTTGGGGAATCCCCCAAAACAGCGCTCTCGCTCCATAGTGACACCTTGTGTCCCATCACTAATTAATCAATACCTCGCTAATTATACGACATAATTCATCCAAAATCAATAGGCTTCTCGTCCGACATAATAGGATGAATGCACATGCAAAATCTGGAGCAGATTCAATCTCGCTTCCGTGAGATATCGCGTGCATCTAACAGACAGACAAATACCTATCAACATACTTACCGATTAAAATCGATAAGTAACAACCAATATTGCATAACACAAATACCGCACTTATGATTACATTCGACCTGCTTGGGGGGTATTCCCCGGCTAAGCAGGCTGACAAACAGCAAAATTGCGTCTCGTGTAGTTTCCTACCTCTATAACTTCTAGTGGGCGTGGCGTAACAATTTTTGCATATTACGTCACTGCGACGTCACAATCACATAATAGAGCATGTCAAAGTATAGCGACGGTCGCCCTTAATGGCGCCTGCGAGTATGTTAACAAACTCAATGAAGACAACGACCTATCTCATATTGAGATCATTTCGCAGAAAAATAAATACGTAACTCGAGCGAGACACCAATTTCCGCCAGGTAACGTTTACGATATCCTCATCTGAGCAATTTCGTGGTTGCACATATTAAGTTGTATTCACGTATTATTTGATGTCCAGCCATAGGTAGGGTTACCATATTTTTTGACTTCAAAGCGGGACGCCTCCAAAGACACGACCCCTTAGCTGTGATCCTGTAACTTTACAGTTTCCGATTTTACTACATAGGCCTACATTTGAAGCCATCCCCGGCTGTCTTCGTTGACCATATTGTCATCGAGAGTTCATGCGCATATTCTCTGTCTAAATATCGGGTTCAGTTCGAAAAATAGAAAGGAATAGACGCTAACAACACAAATGATCCGAATTTAGATTTTTTTATGTGCAACAAAAGGAAAAAAGAGTAGTGAAATAGTCTGCCGTTTTCAAGCATTGAGAATTTACTTATTTGCCCAATCATGCTTTTCTGTAGATAACATCTCCAAAAAGACGTTGTTCAATGTTACATTCACGTGAAGGTCCGAACAGGACCAATTAGAATTGATTTTACATGTGATACGTTTGCTAATAATGTTAGCGGGAAACAACGAAACAAACAAAATAACACATTCACCTTCAGTAAGTAAGCTAGCGCTGTGCTACACAGCAACTACAGTAACGAGAACATGTTCGTGTATCATGCTGGATGGCTGAACGTCAAAGCGGGACATTTGGCTGACTTGTCGGGACGGCGGGACAAGACGCTAAAAAGCGGGACTGTCCCGACTAAAGCGGGACGTATGGTAAGGCTAGCCATAGGTCATGTATTGTGCTACAATCTATTAATAGGGCGTTATATGATATCACTCAAAGCAAGGCTTTAGACAAGCAAAACGGACATATTAATTTACTTTCACGCTATGGGTGTAGTTTTGTACCACAAATCTAAAGACTTGTTATTCATGACCAGCAATAAGACATGTATGGCACCGCACTTAATTAATGAGGCGTTATACGTTTTGACTCTATGCAAGGTTTTAGACAAGCAGAAACGGACATACAAATTTACGTTCACACTATGGGTGATTGGGTGTAGCTTCGTACCTCAATAACTTGTGGTAGGCTTAGCGTAACAATTTTTGCATATATCATCCCTGATCCTCAACTGATAAAAAAATTACGTCAATGCGACGTCACAATCACGAAATAGAGTTTGCCAAACAACGCCGTCATTTTTGAGGCCATCTTCTTTTCATTCACGGGGACACCACGTCCGAAACAGAAGTTCATGTATACTACAGAGTGCAATCGTACGATCGACGCTGTCGAAAACACCGTTTACGTATAATTGATGTTAGGATAATTCCAATGAGATCCATCTTTGGCAACACATAAGCGGAAAGAAACCACGGGTGTGAGATTTACGAGTGTGAGTGACAAATATTTCGACGTCTTTAGTCGGGATATCTAGCGAATCATTGTTCCCCAATTTGAAATTTCTTTGCAGAAATTGAGAAATCATACCCGCAAAAATGTTAAGCCAATACCCATAAAAGCAAAATTACATCACCGACGTCATCTTTCTTCACTTGCTGAGAATATCCTTGTCGAAGCAAATATTTATATGCTAGTTCGCTCAAAGCAAAGTCGCTAGACTTTAACTGAGCACTACTTACCGAATACAGCTGCTAACTGTACGGAAATTCTGGGTTCAAAAACTTTGATATTCTTTGCATAAAATAAAGATTTGTCAAATAAAAATATTTGTAGCTGGAGCTAGACTATTATACCTGTGGGGCTACTATAGTTGGAAGGATCAGAACTTTCTTGATTATAAATAGTTTACCCAGTACTGTTAGGTAACTAGTCGAAGTGGCTCAATGAATAGTTTTCAAAAAGTTCAGTTTATGGACAGATTATTGTTTCTCCTAAACTACTGAAACAATTCATTACAAACTTTCAACAGTTAAGAAATTGAAGCGACTATTAATATGATCTTTCTTTCATAATTTTTCACGTTTCCTCCGAACTACTTGGAGGTCATATACTATACCACTTCGCCACTATATCAATTTTCTGTTAACCAATTTTAACGAGCGAGTATTCAACGATCGGTATAAAAAAAAGAATATATATATATTTTTTTCAGTATTTGTATACTATTATTAGAAAATAACGCTGGTAGCTAGTAACCTTGGCCTTCTTCCCCAGCAGCGGGTTAAAAGCGGTATTTATATCGGAAATACAAATGCGAAATATATATATATATAGTACAACAAATATTTTGGTACTACCGTAGTATGTGTACCAGGTTAGGGTTAGGCCATAATTTTATTCCGATTTTTCCTATTTTATTTCTATTACGAGTCCGGGGACTGTTTGTGTTAGCCAAGTGAATATATCGCCTGTTCATAGGCTTCCGTCCCTTCACATACATAACTTGATGTAAAGTAGGCGAACAAAGTTAGTTACCTTCATATTGGTACACATACTTCATGAAAATTCTTGTGAAGGCTTGCAAAATTTTTATCGTAGGAATGATTAACTAGAATTTTGCATATTATTCCGGCGAAAAATGTCATAAAAGAAGGGTCGATTAGACTCACGTTACGATACACATTTTCAAGGGCACAGCCAAGATTTTTGTAAGGGAGTGAAGAGGTCAAAATCAGAATTCGGAAATTTTTATGTAATGGATCCTGAAACAGTCGCCTAATTACTCCACTCGTGAAAAGAGTCCGATCCTTTCAATGGATAACGATTTTTCTGCTATGCAAAATATTCAATCCGCCGAAGTGAGCGCTTTGATTAGAGTCTCATTATATTAATTTAGTTTTGTTCGTGGTTTCTCTTGTTTGAATCGAATTACGACAAATTAAAAGCCTGACTAGGGATGGGCAATATAGAATAATTTACTATTCTAGAATAGTTAAATCGAATCCAGCATGCCGAATCCTATTCTATTTTTATTGATATTCGAATATGGGAATTCTCCCACCATATTGATGGATTACAATTCAAAAAAAGCAAAATTGTGATTGTATAGCAACTACCTTTGTATTTAATTGAAAATACCCTGAGCATTGGATTTTATTTGTTACCAAACGGGACCATGAAATAGGCCCATACGAATTTTAACAAATTACTTTTTGCTTTGAATTGTTCAAAATTTATGAGATTTCTAAATACTTATGTTGAAATAAATAGCGCAGTTTACAGTTTAAATCTAAATTGTAAAATACAAAAAATGATTATGGAAAAACAATAAATTATTATTAATATGAGAGCGGCGAAAACACAAAGACCAGACGGGGGCTACTGCAATTTATGCGGACGCAAGGAGTACCGCATTTGGTAAGGCCCCTTAATTAATGGTGTAAAATAAATTTTAACGACTGTCAATTATAGTCAAGTATGTCAGCGTGTTTCTTTTCTACGAGCTAGACTCCTAAAATAAAATCTGTAAACAAATTCATTTATATTGCAAAATCTTATTTTCCAGTTATTATCGTTATACATATATCTACCCTGACTTGGCGATACGCTTTGCATAAGGTCCATCAATAGTTACGGCCAGATTGGAGAACTGTCTTCACCACGAGTGGCAAGTTTATTAAATAATCGTCGACTAAATACCGCCCGACTCGAGCTTGGACTGTAGGAAAAACAGAATTCATCGGCGACTTGACTTCCGAAAAATATGTATTTTATTGGGAGTGCAAAATGTATGGAACAAAACGCCTTAATTAATAAATATAACTTAATGCGATATAATGTTTTAACGTCTAACGCTGGTACACATCATTTTCCGGAAGAACTCGAAATCCGAGAAAACTCGTTTAATTTAAATAAAGAATGTTTCACGTATTTCAAACATTTAAGATTGATGTAATCAGATACCGTAATCGGAAAATCACCAGTAAGTCGGCAGTCGGCACCAACAATAATTATAAGCGAACAATGTAGTAAAATTGTGAAACGTAAAAATAGTGCAATAACGCCGTCTTCGTGTACTGAATATACCAATATACAATTTTCGCACGCCTTTCGGACATTTCCAAAATCCACACAAATTGATCAGAAGCCACCCTCTGATCGCATATCCCACCTTGGATTTAATATACACGCGGAGTGCCGCACTTGGTAGGGCGCGTTAATTAATGGTGTAAAATAAATTTTAACGACTGTCAATTATAGTCAAGTATGTCAGCGTCAGCGTTTACTTGTGGCCAATTATGAATTTGTCCGAATACATCATATAAATTCCATTTTAACAATAAATATGAATACGGCCGTATAAACATATTTACCAATAACATTTACCGGTATGCTACTAAATTTTAGGAAATTTCAGGTTTTAATTCCACGCAACTCGGCCATAAGAAAAGCATTGTTCAAGCGCCCCGGAATATGATTTTATAAAAGGCCGCTCAAGCGTGCAACGTCTGTGGCGATGACAATGAGTTTTCTAGTAAGTAATTGAGGTAAGAAACTACACGAGACCCAAAAAATACTGAATTGAGTAAAATAATTGAGCCTGAGTGGTAAGTTACCACAGTCATTTGCTTTGCGTTAATGTTAAAGGGGTGTGTTTGAAGGCCACACGGTAAAATACATATGAGACGGGTAATATAAACTTATAGCATTAATATGAATTACAGCTCACATTGAGGGTCAATTAGGTAGGGCAAAGCACTCTACTGGAATTAATCATACAGACAGAAAAGAACAGTATATATACATGAGTTACTGTAGCATTGTGACGATCAGATTGGCAATAATATAAATATCCATTGTGTGCTGATGAAGTCTGATACCTTTGTATTTTTTTGTTGGGAGTGAAAATCAGGCAAGCGCAGAAAGATGGTGCGATCAAGCTAAGGATTGGACTTCTCCCATCTTCCTCTATAGTAATACAACACCGAAACATTATATTATATTGCAAAGAACTGCATAGCGACCGCAGCTCGCTCCAAACTGTATCTTCGAAGTAACTGATGAAGATTTGGAGAATAGGTATTGATAAGGCAGTACCGTGATCATCGTTGTCGTAACGGCCAAAGAAAAACTATCCTTAATAACACAACCAACAAAAAAAATTAATATATTTCCTATATCTACAAATATATTATTCTAACAGCTTATTACGGTGTTTACTTATGGTTTATAATGCCCTAATAATTGTCGCACATGCAGTTGACTTCGTTTGGCAGCGTGTCATCACTTAAGGCAGGCTACGTAGCGCCATTCGAGGAAACGATTGATTTGTTACGCTTATCGTTTTCAGATTTGATACAGTAAAAACAGCTTGTATAAGCGGGTGTTACACCGTCGGGTTGGCTTGTGGATTTCAGCAGCAGGAAAAAGCACACAGTTTATGAATTGTTGTTTGATATCATTTGACATGTTAATAACGATCGAATAATATATTCTCAAATCATCTTTAATTTATTGAGAGAGACCTTATCTTATGTAACCGCTGGAAGAAGTCAGGTCTTGCAAGGCTAACAGAAGGAAAATTTAAGACAACGTAGTTTTGATTTTCAATGTCACTCTTTTTTAACTATCGCTTGGGCGTTTTCCTCCCACAAATTTTTTATGATTTTCCAAGGACGTGAATTTTAAAAGATAAAAACATAAGGATAGAATGTTGTCCATTGACATTGAGTCAATGTTTGAGAATTGTGATGGTTTCAACTTGCATCACAAGTTTGGTATTCTATCAATATTTCTGATTGCAATTCAAGTTGGAGCAATAAATTTTACATCGGTCTTCATTTTTGATATACCAGATCATAGATGCTACATTCCAGCTATCGATGAGGAGGTATGTATATATGTAATGTTTACCGATTGATCTACTGAAGGTATGACAAAGTTTATAGTTTTCGTCTCAACTCTAAAGGCACTCGTCTCTCAAATGCTTGGAAGAGCCTCATCAAGTGAACCAGTTATCCGTTGGCTCCATGAACGGCCTTTATTTGTTATTTCATGTTTATTTGTTATGCTTTATATCAGTGGTTCTCATTCTCAGTTTAATATCGTTTTTTTTGTAATACGCTCGACCGTTTGCTGCCTATGATAATAGCCTCCAAAAACTATTTTGATTTATCTCCCGTAGACCTATTGTGACAAATACGTGCTAATACATCACAATGATAAATACGAAAACGCAGCTACAATGATTTCAAGGGCATGTGGTCACTGGTCACGTTCTCATTTGAAGCGAATTAGCTAGTTGTTCTACAGCCAACTATGGAGATTGTGTTGCTTTCTAAAATTTAACCAGCATGGCTAAATCAAGAAAGTACTCGGAAAGTTATCTTGAAATGGGATTTATCTCAGTGTCAGAGGGTGGCAAGGAAAAACCGCAATGCGTTTTATGTTATGCTGTCCTCAACAACGAAGCAATGAAGGCTTTAAAGCTTAAGCGTCACTTGCAGCAGACACACCCAGAGCATACTGAAGTGAAGTGACAAAAATCATGCGCAGGTGAAAGTCGTTGACATCGGTTCTGCTTGTTCAATTTGTTACAAACCTATTTGCGCGAATCTGGTTTTTCTGATCTTGCTAGCATCAAAACCGTCCCAAGGTTGACAGGGACATTTGTCTTGCTATATCGAAGACGGTGCCTAATATCAGAAACCGCAAGATTCCCATTGATTGTATACTAAAAAGCTTGGCCTTTCTTGTCTGTCGTTTGTTTTTGCATTGCATAAAAGGTCGTTAAAACATAATGCAATCCAACACGTTTAGTTTTTGGAATGACGTACAGGGGGACCGCGAGAGCAAAAAGGCGCCGGAAGGGGGCCACGAGCCATAAAAGATTGAGAACCACCGCTTTATATTTTAACTACATTTGAAATATTGCAAACATGTTTTCAGATAGAGAGGAATATCTCGAGATCAATCTTGTCACGCTACATTCCACTTGAGGGACCAAATGGGAATGAATTTTCAAAATGCAAAAGGTATGTTTTTGAACAAAAATGTTGATGATATATATATATACTATGTTTATTTCTTTGTATCTGCATTTCGATCTTCAATTCTGTTGGCTTTTGTGGCATCATAATTCAGTAGCTGCCTCAGGCGATTATTATGCGATTAGGCGTCGAAGTGTATGTTCTCAACGACTGCTTCACAGATGACATTTTATTCGCCAACAATATAATTGGAAGTTGTATTTGTATGAACTAGAATAGACAATATCGTCACCGCTAATAACCGAATTGCGTAAGTCATTTTTAGCAGTTTTGAGAAAAACGTAAAAAACTTCCTAATGATATTGGTATGTCATTGAGAGTCAATAATTTGCCATGGTTCAGTTTTTTGGTCGTAGCCGGAATTAAGTTCATGTGACGTCACAATGGCGCACTGTGACTTTGGCAGAAATGTGTCTATGACTTGGGGACATACGCAATTTTGTAACTTGCCTATATGCACCAGTCCTGAAAACCAAACATTCTTAAAACGAATGTAATTCTCAGTATCTACAATGTCTAATCCCCAAATAAGCTAATCTGTTTCAATTACATTATTTTTAATGTTTAAAAATATATATTTCATCAATATAACACGCTCTGCATACCCACCGAAATAAGACTAAGATTAAAAATAAAGAATAAAACAGTAATGCACCCAATATACAAGCCAACCAAGGTGAATTGGACTCGGACAGTGAATATCACAAGTGCACGCCTTCCTATACTGTACTATAAGTTCAAATTTATAAGCGCTAAGCTAGAATCTGAGATGCAAAAACTTGAAAGTACTTCGCAGAGGTCATTTTGCTTTTGTGACGTCACAATAGTCTTACGGTAACAATGATAATTCATTATGACGAAACAATTGCACAAATGTGCATGTCATACAAAATCTCCATTTCTATGAGTTTCGGAAGTCCTAAAATAAAATCTGAGTTAACAGACAGGTGAGCAGCATTACATAAATACCTATTATATAAAATACTCGAAATCGCCAAAAATGACTTACGCAATTCGGTTATTAGCCTGACGATATATACATATGTACATATGTACAACATACCTATATACAACAATGTTCAATTCTATAGAGAGATTTTCTTCAATATTCTGTATCGTAAAACGTCACAGTTGAATTTAGGTATGTCAATGTTTCAAACCACAACATCGCACCTAACACCACCGGGAAGAATGCTAATGAATATTGCAAAGACGGATGGGTATACAATGCAAAAGATGGGGTAAAAACTGGGACAGAGGAGGTAAAAGAGCAACCTATCAACTGCATTTAAAATTCCATTTTCATTAAATCATCTGCTAAGAAATAATATTATAACAGTAGACGATAAAGGGTTGTAAATGGTGTTTTTATATTTCCTAAATATAAAACATTATTTACAGCGGTAATCTACAAAAAAATTGATATAACAAAAATATGCAAGTGAAAACACGAATCAAAACACTTTTTTGCAATGTCAGTTAGTGCACTGATCTTTTTGGCATCGTGACTTGGGCAACGTAACAACTATGTACTAGTAATTACAATAGCGAGTAATACACGTTAGGCAGAAAGTCATCCTCTCAACTCAACCAGGAGTCATGATTCGTTTTTAGTTTGACTTGGTCTGTAATGATGATTGGCAAAGAATTCTTCTGACGCTTGGATTTTCAGTGGGGCCTATGTTCAGTGGTCTGATTGCAGGGATAATTGTCGACAGGTTTGTTCAACCTACATATCATAGAAAATATATGAAGTTGAATGCAAGCAACAAATGCCTCTCAAAACAAAAACATTTTTACTTTTCTAGAAATATTAACATTACAGTAAAAACTCCGATTATAAAGTAAGCTACAGCGATTCGCTAAACACAACACTGCACATCTCTTGAAATCCAACTTGATTACAAACAACTAACTAGGAAACAAAAGTAGAATGCTCAAAAACATTAGCACGATGGTCACGTGCATATAATAAAAAAGTGACACAATAAAATGTTCCCATATTTTATAAAAAGTGTTCCCATGAATTGAAACACAGCAGTCAAAATTGACTCTGAAAAGCCTTTAAAAAAGTAATAATCTTCCAGGTGCTATTTCTCGTCTCTATAGACTCCATGGACATTCTCATTACTGGGAGAAGCATTTGAACATTTAATGATAAATCTCAAAGCATGCACAAAACTACGCCAGTTATACGTACCATTAGTCGATAATAATCCTTCCAAAATTCCAGGTTTGGACGGAAAAAGCCAACAATTATTTACGGTATGATTATATCGTCACTGATGATCGCTTATAGCTTTGCGCCAAACTTTGCATCTTGTGTCATATGGTTTACGTTATTAGGAGCAATCAACGCAGCAGCATTTTGTACAGCATTTTTATATGGTAAGACATAATTAAACGCTTGTAGGTATAAATTACTTATTATTATTGTTTTAGGGCTTTAGTTTAATGCAAACATACATTGCATCAAGAGTGTTACCAAATTAACTCTCTTTATGCCCAATTTGACAAAATGCATTTTTTTAAATATTGTACAAAAGATTAATTTCGTTGTTCGAAATTGTATGTCATACACACCGCAAGACAAATAAACAGGGAAATAAAGCATCACGCTACACATTTTTCAAAACTCGAAACTGAGTCACGAGGTCCCTGTTCTTTTCAGCAATGTTGCTGGTTTGCCTTGTCGGAATTTATCATATAAATTTAATTTATCAGTACAAGAATTGGTCAAAACTGACAAACGAGCTACAATCAGCTGTCTTATTTATTCTTTTGAATCTTTCTCGTACATGCTGGTCCCAGCAATCGCATATCTATGTCAAGATTGGCGATGGATTTTGAGAGTCGTTGGCTTGATCGGTATTCTGTACATTCCTTCTAGTTGGTAAGTCTTTAAATAATGTAAGTTGAAATAGTGAATTTAAGCTTGAGCCCGATGTTAAGAGGTTGAAAACAAAAAAATGATTTCACAATAGTATGTTTGAGAACAATCATAGCCATACTAGATTTGGTTTTACAACGTGGCTGTCTCCGTCATGGTATTTTGGGAGATGAAATCCAAATAAATAACCACGCGTACCAGCTTATTCGAACCATTTTATTCATCATGTTAAATATGTTTTCCTATATATAATTACTTATTTTGTTATGAAGGATTATTTTTGAATCTCCAAGATGGCTTGCAAGTAAGGGTCGCATTGATGAAGCTACAAAAGTCATGAAATTCATCATGCGAAAAAATACGACAAATCAAAAGCTTTTGAGGCAAAATATATTTTTGATTTCGTCACCCGCAAAATCTAGTGTAGGTATTAGTTTTCAATTATTAAAGAGCACGTTAAAACTAGTGTTGACCGAATCTATTCACAATTCAGACTACAAAAAGTAAGGATTCAAAGGAGACTCATTTCATCATACTTTTAAGAAACCGAGTATTGCTGAAGCGATGCTTCATTATCAGTTGGATTATGTAAGACTTTTCACTTTAAAATTACATAGGATAAAAAACGGTTGTCGTAGATTGGACAGCTTTGTCAGAAACGGAGATTTTTAGTTAACTCCTGATTTCCTATTGTTATAGCACCGCGACTTTGACATCTTATTATGGTTTTGGATTTAATACGTCAAACCTTGAAGGAAACAAATACTGGAACTGTTTTATTTCCGCCGCTGCAGAACTTCCTGGCTGGATTTTTGCTCCTTATTTTCTTCAAAAATTTGGTAGAAGATCTACGTTATCCGCAGCATATGCAATATCATGTTTATGCTCAATACTCTGCCCGGTGTTTAGCAACTGTGAGTTAAACTTACTGCATAATACCGTGGGCCTGCTGTGTAATGATATGGTAAAAAGTATCAGATATGTAGCGAATATTGTTCTGGTTGATAAACTGTGGATTTTTATGAATAGCTTAGCGAAAGACTCGAAATGCTATTCCAAGGTTGTTTGAAATGAGCTTGATCATCTTACTTCCTATTGCAGATAACGCAGTAAGTATTGCGTTCGCAATGCTCGGAAAAGTTTTTATTTCATCTACTATGGCAATGATTTTTTTGTATCCAGCTGAGCTTTTTCCAACAAAACTCCGCAACACGGCACTTGGATTCTCTGCAACGCTTTCCCGTTTTGGTGGTTTGATGGCGCCGTTTATTGCTTTCACTGGTAAGCTTAACCCAGATTATTCACGCTTCATAGGATAAGATTACAGTTATATGAGTTGCCACAACTGGGCGCTGTATTAATATGTACCGAACCTAGCATATTGTGGTATTATTCGTAATTTACAGGTGAAAGTTCGAAGTGGGTTCCATTTCTGATTTTAAGCGGTATTGCTCTAGTCGCGTCAATTGTAACGCTCTTGTTGCCCGAAACAAAAGATCTACCCCTTCCCGAAACTCTGGAGGAATCGCTTGCATTAGAAAAATATAGGTAATGTACTTCTCACACTTTTTGTGGCGCTCCCGTAGTATGTGAAGCAACATGGCGGACACCTGAACATAGTATGTGTACCAGGTTAGAGTTAGGCCATAATTTTAATCCAGTTTTCCTTAGTTTAGTTCTATTACGAGTTCGGGGACTATCCAAGTGACTCCTGTAGTATTTGTACCTGAAATTATGGCCTAACCCTACCTGGTACACATACTACTTTCCGGTGTCCGCCATCTTGGATCACATACTACGGGGGTACCCTTTTTGTTTAGTATTAATCTGGTTGACTGGTATGCTCAAAAACATGGTTATTTTCTTTTCACAGCGCATTTTGAAGTTGTCTAATATATATAATTACAATTGCGGTCTAATAAACCAAATTTTTTTTTCCAAACATAAGAACAATGCTCAAATATATGAACACGAATACCAACTGCAGTACCCATGAGACTTAGAATGAAATCCGTTATATGATCATTCGAAAGCTTTAAATCAAGTCTAACCGCCGCATTAACATTGGTAGTACTGGAGCTGAGAAGTCAGCAAAGACTTTGTCGGAAAGATGTGAGAGAGATTTGAAGTGACGCCACGCGGCGGCGCAGTATTTGCAGTGATAACAAAATTTTGCATGAAATATCGAATTTTATAGGCGTCGGGAAAAAATAAAAGTGATAGCCTTCTAGAGGAATAAATGATATTTAAGTGCTGTAAATTTGAGAACGATTGGTGCATTATTTTATGGAGACAACGTGTCAACAACAACAATTTAGCAAAACACACCATATTAACACTTCGGGCCCAATAATCAGGACACATTGTAAATCTAGAATGTGTTTCATTTACATACATGATAGCTTCCCACATATCAGTTGCTTCTTATTCAGAGCTATGTTTTATGATATGCTATTAACACTTTGAGAAAATTGCCATCATTTCAAAATAAAATTTCGAGTACGCTATTAGTTCGACTCGTTTGTCAATGTCCAACATCAAAATTGTGATAACAAAGTTCCCTATATTTAACCATTGGTTTATAAGATTACAAAAATTTTGTATTAAAATTTTCTTTCACAGATTACAAGTACCATCGTGTAAAAAGGCAAAGTTGGAAAAAAATACCAGAAAGACAGCGACAAGCACATTTACCTCGGATGCGGATGAAAATGATAAAATAAAAAACTGCATTTTATAATCGAAACATATTATCTTTAGTGATTTATTATGCTGACCCATATTGGTTACTTGGTAACAGGAAGAGTAAAAAACTAATTACATATACAGTATATAAAAACTTCCAAGGGACCTGGAGAATGTGCTCCCGAAGCACATTTCAATAAAATTGTGCGTAGTATATTGTTGTCCCCTTTTTTGTTGGGCGAGCTAGAAACGTTCTCATCTCCACAATGCCTATTCTATACTTGTTTACAAAGAATAATGCTTGGAAGAAATCAAACAATAGCACACCCCTGAAATTCCCTCTGGTCTCAGATGAGGCTGCAACTGAGTTGAAGGTGATCAAATCTTTATGACGAAGACCAGCTCAATTGCGCTTTAATGGTAGGGACCAGATGTCACAAGAACCAAACTCGTATTTCATGGATGTAAAGTGCCCAGGTTGCTATATAATTACGACGGTATTCAGTCACGCTCAAACAGTCGTGCTGTGCGTCGGGTGTTCAACTGTTTTTATGCCAACCAACTGGCGGAAGGGCGTGGCTTACAGAAAGTTCGTGGTTAGTGACATTCACAAAAAACTATCATTCTAGCAGAGCTGAATAAAGGTATATCTGATGTTCATGTGCTCTTGTTTATAATGTGGCTCTTCGCGGTAATGAAGTACGAAATGCGGCTCTTAGTCTCTGACTGGTTGGCCATTCCAGAAATACTTCATTAATGTGTGGCGTGTGCTCGTTGTTTTGATCACCACGTGCTCGTTGTTTTGATCACCATTGTGCTCGTTATTTTGATCTAGGCATGCGGAATTTTTGCTTGCTTTGGTATTAATCGCGAGGAAAGGTGACACCTCTCTGCCAGGAGACAGGCCATTTTCGAAGCATTCTAGAAGATCGAATTTTGTGGTCATTTGGTGTCGACCGTTTCGCAATTATGACACATCACACCATCAGGACGTTTCATCAAACTCTTGTGTAGTTGTGACAGCATAGGCAGCTTTCTTCTCCCTGTGTCATGTATTATTATTTTCATTGTGTTTACTGTGTGTGAGTTTGTTTCCCGTTAACAACCCCTAAATCCCCATTGGTTGCGAACCACCGCCGTGATTCTATACCTAAAAATAGCTGCCATGAGCATTGTTATATTCTTCGATTTTGCAAACATAGTCCAAGTATATGCCATGTATATATACAGTGGTTGGATTCAAATTATTTGTCAGCCGGTTTCATCACAAAAGTCATATTTTTCAGCCGTTTCTGTTACAAAAAGTCATGTTTTTTCAGGAATGCTAACCGGTTCGCTGTACTCATAAAATTCCACGAGACGGTTCTATAGAACCGGTGCGAACCGCTGAATCCCACCACTGAGTATATATATATTCACTTAATCAAATGCACGTGTATTGATGAGATGCTCATTGCTCAGGTCAACAGAAACAAAATGTCTTGGTTTCGACCACTTACTTGGAGTGTTCAATTAGAGAACAGGCATAAAAACAAGTTTCGCCTAATATTTAGCAGCATTGTCGCTCTGCTACATCTTGCCTTACGTTAGGTACTCTTGTGTCGCGAAAAATAGGTTTTTATACCGGAAAACTTTTCTGGCTTTTCAGTTGTATATCATGATATAACAAAATATATGTGCGAATGTAATTACAAAGTTTCGGAACACTCAAATTTTTACTTGATTTGATCAACATTTCAAACCTTTAATTACATTTTGTCTTGATATCTATGTCTATATTTTCAACCTGAGTGCAAATTTTTAAAAGATACGGTAATCGTTATCAAGTACTATCTGAGTAGCAATCGAGAATTTCTTTTAATTTTACTAAATGAAAGGATTGATCAGCAATCCTTTCAATTGCTGATAAGATGTTTAACACATTTCTTATCAGTTTTTTAATTTTCCCACGAAAGATATAATCGGTTATATAAACAAGATCCACAAAATTTATGTCACCACATATGTTACAATGGCGAGCGAAACGAATGAATTTACTGTATTACAAAACAAAAAACCGATTTCATTAAAGTTTGACTTGAAAACGATATGCCCAAAGTTATCATTTGATTGGGATGAAATTCGAAAGAGCACAACATCAAGTCTTTCTTCAGAAGATGAAGTTACAAAAAGAAAGATTTACGCTGATGTTTATCAAAGGTGAAATTTATAATTTATTTCTCAAATTTTTGAAGTTTGAACGAAAATAAATCACATCCTAACGATAACTGTTACTAATTTTCAATTTTACACTTAGTATACAACCCACTAGCTAATGATAAGACAATCCGTAGCATGACGGTAATATGCTCACCCAACAGGCAGCAATGAAATCAATAGATCTAACTACTTCACCACGATTTTGTCAGAGAAAAGTTTAATTTCAAACCGCCGAATACAACACATAATAGCATTTTGAAATTTCAGAATGACGGACCATGACTCCGAATCATCTGGCGACGAATATGCAAATTTTAATGAAGTCTATTATGGAAGTACATTGAATCAAGAAATGATCAAGCGTAGAATGCGCGGAAGCACAAACAGTACGGATTCAGAATCTTCAGTATTCCCTACTCCAAAGAAGAGAAAAGTAGAGAGTAATAAAAACATAAGCAACAAACTTCCCAATCAAGGTATTACTATTATTATTTGAACAAACATTACGTGTATTTAATTGCATTAGTCATACACTGGGTAATTACGTTCTGTCAATGTAGTTTATGAAAATATGGCAATTTAGAACGACGTTCAACATGCAAGAGAACATTTCTTTAGAGTTCGGGCGTTGTAAAGTCGCACTATCAGTCGTAAAACTGCTGTTGATTGTCGAAACCTTTTACGTTAACGTTTCTACAATGTGGATTGTTCGACCGCAAGTTTGTTGAAAGTAGTGTTGGGCGAATGTTATTTCAGATCTTGCCAATGCCGTAGTCCGTAACTGTATAGTCCGTATCTGTAATTTCGCTGTAGATAGAAATAAGAAATAGGTTATGATAGAAAATGATGAAAAAAATTTACAAAATGTTGAGACCTGATATTAGTCCGTAAATCACGATTAGTTATTTAGGCCAAACGCTTAGTCATTTGACATTGCGAGAAACAAAAGTACTTTCAATAAGATAAAGATGTGTCTGATGTAATTAATCAAGAGTCTAAGCGCGATAATTATCGGGTTGGATAGTATTGACATTCACCTGTTGATAGTTGTCGAAACTGCGAAAAATTAAGATTGTTGGCGATAATTACGGAAACTCCAACTGAAAAAATCAACGTGCGCCTCCGACTTATATGATTTCCCCAAAGCAAATAACACAAGAACAGGTGCGATTGATACGCATGCCGAAAAGATTTATTTTCGGAAACGGCGTCATCGGAATGTCTTTATTCTGCTAGATCTCCGCAGAGCCCATTAGTCCGTCCTAAGGATATGGAATGCAAGATGTCAGAGTAAACCAAAATTGTAAAACCGAAAAGTTGGCAATGTATGTCGCTAAATATCAATAACCCTTCTTTACGGAATGATTACGTCACATAATTCGTTTCTTGGCTTTCGATTGAAAATTTCGCTATTGCGTACGACAAGTCTTGTCACAATAGACCGTAAATACCGTAATCATTCGTTTTGTTGCTTGACATATAGTGTATTAATTATTGTTTTATTTATTATGACAGTCTGCTTCTACGTAAGCAGACTTCTGCCGATCATCATTAGCGATTATTAAATAGTTATCCCGTTCATTAAGGATTTGACTTTTCCTGATAGTGAAACTTAACGTGTGCGCTAATCTGGCATTATAAAAGTAAAACTGCAAGTAATCAGCGTATGATAACACATAATTATACATAAAGGTAAAAAAACTTGGCACACCTGCCTTGCTGGGAAGTTTTCATTTCACGGTATAATGACCGCCTTGCCACTCAGGCAACCCATTGTGTTGGCTATTGTCTCTTGATATGAATAAACTGAGGCAGATGTTGCTTCTTTTTCTTCGCTGACGTGATTTGGGTCACAGACAGTTTTCACTGTCTGACATCTCTGAGTACTCTCAATTTCGACAGTTGAAGATTTCAACAGTATCTCATTCATTGAAATGTGGGTGCCGGCAGGTTAGACCTAGACCAGAGTTGTTGAGTGCGAAGCGAGAAAGTATTGAATATATATATATAATATTGTGGAATATTACGGCGGCTGCAGTGAAAATAATAAACTCGGATTTAGTTCGACAATGGGTTACCATGTAAATTTAAGTGAAAGTAAAACATTCAAGGTCGATATACGAGTATTATATGGCTTATTAGATGTGGATCCTGTTTGACCCGGCTTGATGTATCCGAACTTAAAACGGAAAGCCTGCCAGTGAATAGCAGAAAACAATTTCCGCCATGCATCGCCACAAAATTTCAGCACTAGAAAACCCAGCATGTCAGAAATCATCAAAAAATTTAGTTGGTTCAAAAAGATTCCAGCAGTGTAATCCGCTTTGAAATTTTGACGTCACTTGATTCATCTTCCTTCGCAAACAACGAAGTGTTTGCAGTTCTACTTTTCACGATTATTTAGACCGCTTAGTCAAGGAGAAACATATCGCGAAGTAGAAAGGTGACATTTGATACCTAGGTCAGGCTTCCGTGCAAATAGTATTAGCAAACGAATCCAGGAGACAGATCAGCGAAAGATATATATGATTTAGCGTGCCAGAGACAAACCTTCACTTAATTCGTAATATTGTCGACGTATGTTTAAACATATGCGTTGTCATTGCAGTTTTATATGTAATTATTTCTTACTGATTTTATCTAAGCAATTTGTGAGGAGGAACGTTATTGTTATTGGCGCCTAACAATGCGAGGTAAGTGATGATTTGTAGTATATTGAACAATGTTCAATTTTTAAGCGATGCCTAATTTTTTTTCCATGATTTGATGCTTTTGGAATTATGTATCGAAATCTATTTTGTCATGTTTTTTCTAACCGTCTAAAACAAAAATTTAATCATGGAATAATACCTGATATTTATCAAGGTCAAATCAAATTGGTGGCATGTGGAACGGCCAAGAAGTTGACTGTCACTCTGTTGGGAATTAGAAACATTTTGTCTTCAATAGGATGCAGCATTTACATAAAGGTAAGTCCAAACTTAATTACGTCCTTACCTGTACTAATCAAGTGAAGTATGCTGGTATGTTCATTTGTATCGCGACAATAATAAGATATATGTAAATAGATAATTTGATAATATGAATGCTAGAATCTGGATCTGGACTTTTTTGTTTTAAAATTGCTCCACAAAAATTTACTGGTAGATTTCCGTGGTAAAATTCAGGTAACATGTGAAAGTAATCGCATATTATTTTTAGATTTCCCTAATTTCGGAAAAGTGCGAAACACATGCTGAACATATCATGAAGGTGCACATGACAGCAAAAGAAACCATTCTCCACGAGACGGTCTCTTTGTAAGTACTGATAATATCATTACGATTATAATTTGTCAAGTTTTGACATACACGGAATGGCCGAACCTTTTGCTGAAAAAAAAAGAATATCTTGATCTAATAGTTTAGGTTTTAAATTAAAAATTTACATGAAAAAATTAAAATTCTAGTAACTTGTCTCGGATGGCATTGAATAGAAGATTGCTGATTGAAGTCTGGTCACAGGATATGACTCCGGTGAATTTGAAAGGATGCACAAGCTTTGGACTTCGGAAGTTTATGACGAATAATGAGGTAACTTGCATCATTTTTATTATTAACGTAATAATATTCAAAAATTGAACTGTTATTCTCGATTTTAAACGAACAACCACATATTCCAAATCGTTATTGTTTTGATCTCAAGCAACGGTAATACGTCGTTTCTGCTTAAAATGTCAGTGTCATGTCAGTCATTCCAATTAATTCAACATTATTTCACAGATAATTCAAGGTTCATATTACTTGCTTGGTGAGAACATAGGACGACGAAAACATCTTGCTGTGAAACCGAATCAAAGCCTCAGCAGTAAGATAATTATTATGCAAATATGATAACTTAGTGTATACAAAATGTTAATCTTATCGCATATTTTATGCAAATGATGTGTTGGTAAGTAGGTCGACGGAAAAGTCTTGCTTGGAACGCATGGATTCAAATTTGTTTGAAATCTCTCATTCACTCGGGACTCGTAATAATATAAGAATAAAATCAATAAATAAATGTACTTTCTCATTTCTGACATCAGGAGAAAACAATGTAAAGACAATGAATTATAATCAGTTCCCAGCAGAGACATCACAAAATGACAAATCACAAGCTGGATTCACGCCGAGCAGAAAAATGATCGAACATAAGGAGGTTAGTTCGGAACAATTACTATTAATCTCAAAGCATGAAATTGGGAAACGTCGGACGCATCAAGCTTTCATCACTAATTATGCCCCAAACACTGTCAAACTCATGTACGATACATAGAACGGTTCTTCTGCCGATAGACAATATATATTATAACATTATTCAATAAAAATATTTCATCTTTTAGATCCAATTATCGACTACTGCCATTGTAAGAGATGTCCAATTTGGCGCACAAACACAATCGCCACCATGTGTTTCATCAGTCACAGAAGGTAAGGGGTTCTAACCGAGTCGAGTGAGTTTTATAATGAGTTGATGTCGCTTCCGAAAAATCCTAATGCACAAGCAACTAATTTTGTCACAAAACCATGAGACTTTTAAAGCTTAGTCAGGTGTGTAAATTTTCGTACGATATCAATACAAAACATACCAGCTGATCTATTTTACTCAAAATGCTCCCTTTCTTATTAAAGCCTAAGAGAGTTGTTGCCTTGCGTTTCTTACTAGTTTCCTTTTTTTAAAATGTATATAAACTCCTAATTTTCAGGATCACAAGCTTATTCCGTCGGACTCCGTGAACGAGACGTAATATTGTCAATCAATGGGTCAATTGTTAATACCCGGACTAATTTTGAATTTCAAAATTTACTGAGGTAAGTGTTATTTCAAGTTATTATTGATATACTTTTGCAATGAACAAAATTGCCAACTAGTATTTTGCCTCTATATAGATCTTGTTCCGGTGTTGTAGTGCTGAAAATTCAAAGAAGTCATCGAAACAACCGAGAATTGAACAATACACCAAAAGGCGGATATAAACGTAAACTTAATAGAAGAGGTGGTGTTCGACACAAAAAGCGTAAATTGAACGAACATCGACTAAGGACATCAGCGCAAAATAACTTGCAATTCATTACAACGAGAGAAAAACTACAAAAGTATAGATATATAGAAAATGATATAGACCAGCAAACGCCATTCAGACCCCAATATGATATAAAGCGCCGAATCAAACCAATACAATTTGAAGACGAAGATAATGATGATGTGTTTTTGACTGAAGAGCAGGAACAGACATTTCAAATTTGCAAGCCCCCGTTATATGCTGGTAACTCCATTCCCTGTCGTCCTAGTAACACTCCCGGTACACCGCTGTGTTTGGCGTCCGTTACATACGGTGCAAATTTGCAAAAGTCGGCGAGAATAGTCCGAAGACGAACATATCATGACGGGAAAAAACAACTCGCGCAATTGAGACAAATGGTTCCCGGATGTGAATCGCCGATTCTTCGACGATCTGCAAAAAGAAGCATCAACGGATATGAACGCACAAGCAGCAAAAGATATTTTAATAAGTCGGAGAGTTTTCGTATGCAAAAATCGGTATGTAGATCTTATAAATTAATTGTTCCGATATTCGATTTTTTATTTTTTTATTGTTGAAGCGACGTCACAGCACAATGCAAAGGCAATCTTATAAATATTCCGACGAATCTATACGTTTAAACAAACTGAACCAATAAATTGAAAAAATATAATATATAAACGTTATAATTTCTTTGTTACAGGCTGGGAATGAGAAGTTCACCTTATATTATCCTGATTTCATAGGTAAGTAGATTCAAGCATGCGTTCACCTTGGGTCGATGTGAGGAAGTTTGCATTATTTATTTTTTTCATTTTCAGATTTTCCTCAAAAATTCGAACTTGGGGCACCGAGTGATACCGTGTCATCTGAAATAAATAGCTCGAGGTCGCAAAATTATGACAATGATCGCGTGGAAATCGTTAGTGTTACGTCATCAAGCGATGTTGATCCAAAAAGAATAAGAAGTCGGTCATGTTCTTCCGAATCAGATTTGAAAATGAAAGAAGAACTACAAAACAACAAAAATATTTCGAGTAAAATTGATTGGATCGAAACAGAAAAGATTAAAAAGATATTGTAAGTAACAAAAGTCTTTTTTCTTACCTTATTTGACTCGTACCGTGACAAACATAAACATCTCTTACTTTGAATCGAAATATTTGGATGTTTGTAGAATTGTAGTACAGGGTTCCATAAGTCGATTTGTTGAATTAGTAACCCTGTGCCCTGTATTGATCAAATGCAATAGCCTAGATAAGTTAAATGAAGCATACACACTTTTGCTAGGAACAGTACATGGGCATTTACTGAAGTGAAAGGATTCTTTGCTTTTCTTATAACTGACATATGAAATCATACACAAATCTTGTAGCTTCTGTGCTGCTGCTAGTTTATTTTTATGTTAATGATTGAAGTTGAAAATGAAAAAAAGTTTAACTTGTATAGGTGTAAACTATTTGTGTCACTTGTGCTGATACATTTCTTACCTCATATATTCTAATGTTTTTCAAATATATTTTTTCAACATTAATTTAGTCGTGTCAAGTCAAGAAAACATAAGAACGAGGAGAAGAAAGGCTACACAGCACTGGAAAGTAATATTATTAACGTATCGTCTTGTTCCTCCAATTCTTCGTCAGCGAATGGACTGCTAGCTATTTTGAAAGATAAAGGTTTGTAGAATATTCCCTTGAATCGATTTTAAATTAAACCTAGATTAATCCTTGTTATAATCAGATACGAATTAATGTAATATTCTGTTTTAAAACTGTTTTCACATAATCTAGATTTTATCACTTGCCAGTATTCTTCGGCGGTTAGGTTTATTACCTTTCTCTCTCATTGTTTTGAAAATACATATATATATTAATGTATCTTTTTTATTTTTTGAAGGTAAATGTGCTTCCTTTCGCGCATTTCTTGCAATAGAGCACAGTGAGGAAAATCTTGATTTTTGGACCGAATGTGAAAGTTACAAAAATAAGAAGACAACAAAACAACGTAAACTTGCGTCTGCGATCTACAGAAAATATATCCAGTCTGATGCAGAGTGTGAGGTATGATTTGACATTCAGTCTTTATCAGCGTTATTTTTTTAATGTTTGAGTGAACGGTCATATATATAGGCGAAACCTCTGTCATATCCTTTTATCTACTGCTGCTGAAATTTTATCTACTGCTGCAGTGCTGCTGGAGCGAGTCATTTATTGGTCTTCGCCAGGGCTCAAGTCAGGTCCCTCCATTTTTAATGAAGACATTGCCACCTATGATTTGGTTGTTGGTTGGTTTGTTCTGATTCAGTCTCTAAACCCTTCCGGCTCCAAATTATTCAAATACGTCAATGCCTAATAGATATTCTTTTATATTTTCAGGTTAATATTACATCAAAAATACGTTCACTGATAACAGAAAAGCTGCAGAATCCAACCTCAGAAATGTTCCAGGAAGCTCAAGATCATATATTTCGGTTGATGGAATCTGATTCTTACAGACGATATATTTCACAAAATTAAATTTAAATGTTTAGATGTGTTTTTTTACCAATTTCGTCATTTGTTCCTGCATATGTTCTTTCGTTTATTGATTGAATAAATAAACTAAAAACCAGAAAATGTAGGCTTACATGCAATTGTGTTTATAGGTTTGCAAATCTATACGTAGCGCCAGTCGGTGTAGCTTGGCTCTCAAGGGGTATGTGAATGAACTCACCCATATTTTCGTTTAGTTGCTTGTACAGAGCGTAGTACACAGAGAGAAGTTGTATATAGAAAACCTCAACATTTTTAGTGACTGTTTGTAGAGAGAGTTTAGGTGAATGAGTTTGAGTATTTGCTTATGCAATTCACGACAAATGTTAGAATGAACATGATTACGCCTTTCACAAATTGTACGTAGAACCCCTCTCAGTAGTTTAACAACATTCCCGTCGTTTTTATCAGTTGCTACACAGAATCTAATTCAAAGTCAATGTATAAAGAAATATCCTCATATCTGGGCAACTGTGGCAATTGGTTACCAATGGCGCCATAGCTCAGTTGTTGCAGGTTACGTCCTGGGCAGGCTGCACACGCTAGTGAATGTTAGTCAAACTCGTTTGTGCAAACCGTCTACAACAGACATATGACATGAGCAAACTACGGCCCGCGGGCCAAATCCGACTCGTTGGGTAGTTCAGTCTGACCCGCATGATGCTGCCACAACCAAACTAAAACCAAATTTTGATGTTGGGCTAAAAATAGCTCAAGGAATTTGTTGAGATTGGGATTATATTTCGTTTTGGCACGAGGCTCACTGTTTTCCACTTTTGCTTTTGTAACAGTGTAAATATTGTTTATAAAATGTAACTTTTTACGTCACACTTACATGGCCGCCAGTCTAAGTAGACAAATTTTTTGGCACCCGGTCCAAAAAGCGTGCCTGGTCTACAATCTACCTACATAAATATTTATGCATTGTTGATCTTCACAATGTATTTTATATATATCGAAACAAATTTGCATACATATACAAGCTCCATTTGGTTAGTATTTGCTTTAAACGCTTATCGGCGATATGAAACACCAAGTAAAAATATTTTAAAGATGTAAATGAACGTAGTAGTATATAGAGGACTTGTACGGGTCACGTGACTTTGTTACTAGACGGCAATAAAACAAAAACGTCCATTTGGCTCCTGTCTGTTGCAAGTCGGATTATACGTTTCCGTTTTGTTTGGCTGTTGAAAATGGTTCCATTACATTTGAACCCACGTACATTTGAACCCACGACGATTGCACCTGCACACTATTGCACCTATGAAAATTTTTGTTGTTTTACGGATATTTGAACTCATACTAACCCTAACCCATGGGTTTAGCACCCGCATATAGATTGAACTCGCGAATATACACATGGGTTCAAATGTACGTGGGTTCAAATGTACGGTCACCGTTGAAAATGATTATTTCGTATTGTTCCGTTGGCTGTACGTATAGTATAGACAACGAAATGGATCTTCAGTTATATTCCACTGATTTCAAATGATCCGGAACGTCGCGCAATGTGGATATCATCCATTGCCTATTGTATTGGCAGAACTGCTTGGTGTCAAGTCCAGAAGCCATCTTACATGTGTTTCACTGTTTGCGGACAGCACTTCGTTGATGGTGAGTGATAATGTGGTGATAGTGTTCCGTTATCAATTTCTTTTGAATATTCACAAGCTCCCTCATTTCAATGGAAAGCAGATGACAAACTACTGTTATTAGTAGGCCTACTTGCAGTTGCAAACTTGACTTGTGTAAGACAGTAAGGAATTAATAATCACTTGCTATAAGGTATTGTTTCCTTAATTAGCAGGTAATCTATTACCAAGTGTGATAGATAACTAAAGTTTAACACCAGTGGTCATGCAAAAAATAACCAGAATTCAATTGAATTCGCCATCTAGGAATACGCTCGCCACCGCATCTCTGATCACCCTGGGAGTTTCACAGGTTTCAATCCCAGAGAGGATGCGAGAGGATTGCAGCTCTACTTCAACCGAGGGTGGTTCACATGACCGCTGATCGGTTACGACCATTCCCCACCATTCAAGTCCATGCTTCTGAAAACAAATAACTGCCCCCCTCTATCTGTATCCATTATCTTACAGATATGGGCGCGGCCATGGAATAGATGGATGGCAAAGTATATGTTGCAACAAGACCACAATGGCACGAGACCTCAGCTTGCGTGACTTGATAATACATCCTCAGTATCCATTTATTGATGCTTATCGTAATGACAAAGTAACTTGGATGGTGGATTGGTGGAGATAAAGTGCCCATTGTGCTTTAACGAAAGCAACTTCAAGACGACCCTATCGGTGGGTTTGGTAGTGAAGGTTTCAGTCTAAAGTTGGACACCAATCAGATACAGTTGGCAATGAAACTAAGCGAGGCGTAATATTGCGACTTTGTGATCTGAAAGGAAATTCTGATGAGTAGCCGGCTAGCCGCAACATTTTGTTTAAAGAATATTATGAGATATGACTTAAGAGTCTAAACTTTTATTTGAGAGGGGTGTAACCCAAGAAATTTGCAAATGGTATTCATGGTACCAAATATATCACACACTTTACAGTAATTATAAATTATATTTGAAAAATAAAGCACATTAAAAATGTATTTTTAAAAAACAATTGGTTTTATCTGCAGATACTAGGTTGATATTGAGATTGACCATTTCAATGCTAAATTTTCTTCAGTCAAAAGGCACACTTGATTCGCAAAGATTTGTGAATGCGCACAGTACACCAATTTGTCTAATGTTTGGATTCCATAGGCAGGAGGTTGTGGATCGGTGCTGCTCAGGATGGGATATTTTTGCCTATAAATGCATATTACGTGTTTCACATGAATCCATCGTGCTCAGATTCGACTGTTTTCAAGGTCTGAAGGCTCCAACAGCCTTATTTTATGGGTACACAAGAGAATTTTCAGTGTGGCATGCATGGGTCAGTTGGAGTCACTAACCTCAAGATATCTATAAGCAAGGATAAGATAACCTGGAAGTAACATTCCATAATTTAGAGTAAAAAATGTATCTGCCTCCACAGCCCTTTCAAATGGAAGATATGATGCCTCGGGGGTAATTTCTATCAAATATTTTACAGTATTATGGTTCTAGTGAAAAGGGGTGTAGGCGACTTTTTTTAAAGTGTGGTAGGTCTAGTCGAAAGACACATTAAATTTTTATGCTAACAATTGCAAATTAATATTGCAACGCATACAAGTTAACAGAATTTGTTGAAATGGTCCTGCCTTTTGCCTTTCTTCAAAATCCCCCTTTTTCTAACTATTCTCTTCCTCTCTGGGGATGGCGAAAATTCAAATATCGATAGGACATATAAGCAGCTGATAATGGGTTATCTACCCTTTTTCCTGAAAATAAATTAAACACTGATCATTATCATCATTTGACAGTGCCAAGTTTGTGTATCAGATCAGTAATAAATTACCTGCTGACTAACAAAACAATCAGACAGCACCTTTTGACCATTAATGAGGATTTATTTCAATTTAAAACGCAACTATGCCTACCAATGTGGGTAGTTTTCAGGATAGAATTTATCTGTGGTTGGGGACAGATTGCAGCATCGTACGATTACCATTTCTATGTCGGGATTAGTTAGCCAGTTATTTGTTTTAGAAGCATATACTTGATGGTGGAGGATGTCGTAATCGACCAGCGGTCGTGTGAACCACCCTCAGTGGGAGGAGAGCTGCAATCCACTCGCACATAACCATCCCCGCATGGGATTGGAACCTGTGAAACTCCCAGTAGGATCAGAGATGCGGTGGCGAGCGTACTCTTAGATGGCGAATTCAATTGAATTCTGGTTATTTTTTGCATGAGCACTGGCGTTAAACTTTAGTTATCTATTCAACTTTTCACACTTACTAATAGATTACCTGCTAACTAGGAAAACGATACCTTATGGCAATTATTGATTAATACCTCACACGAGTCAAGTCTGCAAGTAGGCCTACGCCTAGGCCTACCAATAACAGTAGTTTGTCATCTGCTTTCCATTGAAATGAGGGAGCTTATGAATATTTAAAAATTTGATAACGGCACATGATGACTCACCATCAACGAAGTGCTGTCCGCAAACAGTTAAACACAAGTGAGATGGCTTCTGGACTTGACACCAAGCAGACCTACCAATAGATGATATCCACATTGCGCGACGTTCCGGATCTTTTGAAAACAGGGGAATATAACTGAATATCCATTTCGTTGTCTATACTATACGTGCAGCCATCGGAACAATACGAAATAACCATTTTCGACAGCCAAACAAAACGGAAACGTATAATCCGACTTGCAACTGACAGGAGCCAAATGGACGATTTTGTTTTATTGCCGTCCAGTAACAAAGTCACGTGACCCGTGCAAGTCCTCTATATATTTGATCTGAACGAGTTGGTCCCAGCACAGACGTCAAGAATGGGGAATAACGAATAAGGATAGATAGATAGATAGATAGTTTATTTCGAAAACTCCATAACAAACCTAAATTTAAAATGGAGAATTCTGGAGGGCAGGCAAAACCTACAAAAAAGTTTAAAACATGAAGTATCTCATGTGCCTGCCCACCAGCACGCACACAAAAACACAAGCCCAATTAAATGAGGCTTGGGCCAAACTTAAAAAACAAAATACACGATAGTAATAAACTTTCGGGCTGTTGTACTCTCTTTCAACAATTACGTTGATAATAACCAATACCTACAACCTCATGCAAAGATAATGTGGGGAGTGGAATGTAATAAATTTGCGACGATAGTCATACTCATGAAGCCATGAAAGCTTTAAGAAAAACCAAGCCATGAAAAACTACACTGATTGCTAAATTGGGCATTGCGGAAAAGGTGATAAGTGGTTTAATATACAAACAAACGCAAAACCATGGCGGCAAATTCGGTGTGCGGACACTCATAAAAGCAATTATTAGGAAAAACACTAATCACACGTGAGCAGGGCTGTAGCCTAATTGATACATTGACGTGGCCAACATTGTTAAAACAGTACCGGTATACACACAGAGAGAACAAATCAAAAATATGCCACTAAATGAATGTTTAAAAATGTTACACTGTAAGTTACACTGCAAACTATTTACACATATATAGTTGAATACTCAGTATTCAAGCGGAATTTCTAGAAATAGCAGTATATCATATTCTTTGTCACAAAATAAAATATCTGAATCAATCCCTGTTGTATTCATCTTTCGATTCTGTTATGATGTCCGTATGTTGCCTTTATGCTGCCATGTAATTTCATATTTCGGCCTTTACTTGTTGATATTCCTTAAGTGCTGGTTCATTGTTGTCAATCTAATCTTTCTGCGCCGTTCAAAAATGCGACCGCAGCCGACGACTGCCAAACACAAACTTTAAATCCAATCTTTTATCCATAAACTTCTTTAATTCCGGTGGATGGGCCTTGATCATGTTGATATCACGAGATCTAATAGTAAACACCGAAACACACAGCGCGTAGCATTCTCAGTCCAACAGCATTGATTGATCTTTCATCTAACAGAGCAACAAAAACACGTCCGACCCAGACGGCAGTCTGGCAGGTGCCATCCATCTATTCCATCGTTGCACTTATATCTTAATACAACCAAATAATATCTCGCTGATTATACGACATAATTTGCCCAAAATCAATAGGCTTCTGGTCCGAGATATGATGAATGCACATGCAAAATCTGGATTCAATCTCGCTTTCGTGAGATATCGCGTGCATCTAACAGACATACATACAGACAGACAAATACCTACCTATCAACATACTTACCGATTAAAATCTTAATACAACCAAATACTCCAATCAAGGTGTCGATAATTTGTATAGAACAACTTTCGGCGCTGAAAGAAATTTCAGCGACTACGTCACTACATGATAGTGAATTTTAAGGACGTAATATCGCATTGAAGTGAGTCGTTTACCCATTCTCATTTCTCAACAGCTATGGACCTTTCCCCGACCTTTGACCCCCGAAAATTTTTTTTCATACTTTATCATTGCAAAATTTTCGGGGCTATTTTAAGAGTGCTTTTGCGAGTTGGCGCCTGTAAAATGGGGTATGTGTTTCATACCATCATTATGATTTATCGCATACAACAATCTGTATTTTAAAACTACCGGTGAAGAATTTTAGCCTAGTCTATCACAGCTAATTCTACACTAATTTTTATTACTAAAATTAAATTAAAACTCATAGGAAGACAGAGTGATCATTGAATTATCTGATTCATATTTAAGTTTCCGAAACACAGCTGAAAACTAACGAATAGAGTTCAAAAACGCAAAAACGAGGTAATGTTTACGACCACGCTTGAAAATCTGTCTTAGTGAGAAAAGTGTCTGAGCGGATGCGAAAGGGGAGCATTGTTACGTCACTTTTTGCATCTTGCTTGAGCACCCGTCCCGGTGTCACTTGCGTTAGCACTCATTACCTACTGACATCTATTTCCTGATATCACTCTCCCTACTTTTCTGCCTGCGGCTTGTTTTGTTTTGGTTTGACTAGCGCTTTCTGTTGTTCTGTTGGGTCAGGATTAGCCTATTATGCTATGTGCGGGTTGATAGGAATATTATGAAGCCCTCTATTCTCGTGTGCTTCGTGGCCTGTTTCAAACTAGTGTCAGCTGGTATTAGTGCAGAAGCATGCAAACAAAGTGCAGGTGATGATGATCACAATATACAAGTACTGTCCAGGGTTTTCATAGGTAAGTCAACACACAAATACAGATACTGAGATATCTGGCTTTCATTATTATCATTTATTACTTATCGATCTTGATCGGTAAGTATGTTGATAGGTATTTGTCTGTCTGTTAGATGCACGGATATCTCACAAAAGCGAGGTTGAATCTGCTCTAAATTTTGCATGTGCATTCATTATATCTCGGACCAGAAGCCTATTGATATTGGATGAATTATGTCGTATAATTAACGAGTTGTTAATTAATTTGTGATGGGACACGCGGTGTCACTATAGAGTCATGAATCGAACCGCAGTTTCGATCGATGAGTCTTCGGTCTCCGACCGATATTCTCGCTTTTGTCTGTTTGTCAGTTCAGCTTTTGCCTGTGAATTTGTCCAATACTTTATCTAATTCTGTAATTAATGACTTGGGCTGACTGACTGATGTATTTCCCTCCACCTGCTGGACTATTTTCTTCCAATATTGCAATAGCAGCATAGTGTGCAATAAACCCGTAGATGGCACATCTTACTTCGAAGCAGATATAGCTTTTCAGCAGGATAGGATTTTCATATTCAAACTAATACAGTAATAAGGCAACCCGATCGAAGGGAAAACAGAAATATCTTGTTGAATGAGAAAAAAGTCCTGAAATATAACTCGTACTGTCATATTGCCACTCAATGTTTGTTCAGAAAAATCAAAATCTTATTGAAACTTTGTAACACGTTTGTGAAATAGAGTCAATGTCAAAGCGGTAAATGTCAGAGGAGCAGTTATCATGAGACATCATTTGATAATTGGCCCTTGACTTCAAAACAAAAATAAAATAGTTCCAGTTTCATATTTTAATCTTGAAAGGCAAACTAACGATAGTATGTTTTGAACGGTTTATTTTGAACACAAAAAGAGTACGGTATTTCTTTAGCCATATTTTCAACGAAAGACAAGTCAAAAGACAAGCATATTCCCATTTCTGCCCTTTTTATATTCTCTTTTCCAACTGCAACTGCTGCATGTTTGTAAATTATTTTGCTTTTATTGAACAGGGTATGGACGGATGTCTGATCATGTCATCTATCTTCCCAAATCATGCCTTGAACCTACATTAGCTCCTTCACGAGAAGAATGGTCGATGGGTGGTGATGGTCCTTCTATTCTAGGACCTTCTGTCTATAAATCACTCTCATATCGTGATGTCAAATGTCCTCCTGATAAGTTGAATTATGACGTTATTCGTGTGAGTGTTTATTTTTAAATTACAATGTCTTTGCTTCGGTTTCTGGTATTTTTGTTGGTTAAATATAACTTATGTGAAGACATTTGTTTGGCTTGATTGTCGAACTAGAATAGAGATTGTGCTTTTTTGAATCAATGGCTCATTTCTGTAAGGGGGATTATTCGAATTATATGCCCACAGTAAAAGTTAAGATTGAAGATTTTTTTTAATCAACTGTGCTTATTTATATATATTCTAAATTTCAGCATTTCGCTAATGAACTGGTTAAAAATAAGTTGCTTCCTGTTGAATGCAGTGATGGAAGAAACAGTGAAGAATTAGGTCAGTTTTCATTTTTAGTTAATTCCACTGTCAATGATAAGAATGTGTATTTCATATAACATTTATTTTTATTCCACAGACAATAAATAAATAACACAGAAGAATTTTTTTCAAATTGCTTGGTTTAATGGCTGAATAATCTTTAAGAAATCACGTTTGTCATGGCACATCTGACTACGCGCGGACTTGCGAGTTTAAATCTTGTGAGGAATGATCATATGCGAGATAATTGATGGACTCATCATCATAGGATGGTCCATGTAACCTCTGTTTGGTTCTGGCTTCCTCCATCATCAAGTCCATACATCTGCAATGAATAATTGGTTAACTATCTGCATACTCTACATAGACATTACCAGATGAGAAGTCGAAATAATGCTGTTTGTATTTAAGTTATATGTTTTATTTCAGCTGTTGGCATCATCTTAGTTGCAATGGGATATCCAACCGAAGCATACAATCATTACAACAAGATGTCACTGGTACTTTTTACCTTTTATAGGACTTCATATTATATATATATATATATCTCTGAATGAATCAAAAGAATATTTGTTTGAATATTCTGTCATGGAGTTTGTTTATCTTTAGTGGAATAAACTGATGCAGCCACTACATGGAAATAAGACAACTTATTCAATTTAATAAATGATTATCAGTGATATACATTGTCACATTCGTGCATGTATTTTCACATAAGAGAGTAACACATTCCGAAGGTAAATAATAAGTAAACCAACCAACCAAAGAATCTACAAGAAGATATCTGCCCATCATAACATAATTACATTACCAGTTCTGTGCTTCTAACCTCTGTGTGGAGAAAGCTCAAAAATAATTTAAATATTCTTTTCCTATTTTCATGATACGATAGGAGGATGTTTCCTGTCCAGCCATTTACTATGGAAGAGCATTAGCATATGCAAAAAGTGGATTGTCACAACAAGGAAATGCAGAAAATGCATTGAATGACTACAATACTGCTCTGAAGTATATTAAAAGTGAAGAAGCTGCTCTTGCTATATTGGAAAGGAGAGCAGAAGTGAGTGAATAAAATGATTATTTTTTTCAATGAATATTTTATACCACACAGTGACCCCAAAGAAACAGAACCCATCAATTTCTCAATTACTTCTATGAAGTGAAGAAAATTTATTTGACTTCTGTTCATGTATGATTGTACCCAAAACTTTCAGTAATCTAGGATTCTTTGCACAAAAGTTATGTTCTCCAATAATATGTTCCAAATGACCCAATTTCTGTTTTTGGGTTCACCCTGTATTTCTCATTCGCTTTTATAAGCTCACATCTTAACTCATTTGTGATATAAATAACTGAAATAGAGTAGGACTGTCTAAATTCTTATCATCCATTAAGATATTAATTGCAATTAAAAATGCAGTTGTTAAATCTTCGACCACTGATGTGGCATGCACAATATTTATTTTAATATTGTGTGAATCTTAAAATCCTCTCAAATCTTGTATATTTATGGTTTGAATCAAATATGGTTTCAAATTTATTCTGTGGCAAGTTTTCATTGAACACCTCTACTATAATTTGGAGTCAGTTGTGGACGACATTGTGCCATGTATGATTCATATCAGAACAGAAACACTGCTTGGCAATGTTTCAAATGTGTCATTGGTATTTAAAATAATACATAAATCTGTAAAAACTTTTGGTGTTTCCACAGTCTTAGTTAGGTACATAGAAATAAGATGCTTATTCTTTTCAAGGTATATCAAGCAATGGGACGATTACATGAAGCAAATAATGACTATTCAAGAATTTTAAAAAACAACTTATCAGATCCTAATATTTATATGCACAGAGGAAGTGTATTGTTTCTGTTGGAGGTGAGTAAGATACACCAAGTAATTTTTTTGTTTTAAATATTATGATTCATTTTTGTTTTTTCGATTGGCTATGAATGATTTTTTGCTATTGGAGAATTTCAACGTGAATTATGCCCCACTATGTTAGCATCGCGAGCTAAAAATTTCATATTCCCTCTCCAGGATCATCAACTCCAACACCCAAAGGTGTGATAATTTGGGTAGGCAATGCCCAATCAGAAAGATTTCAATACTCACAAAATTAGTGGTTCCCATCAAAAATAGTGGCACATTATGTGTCAGAAGTTGCTCATACAGAGCCTTGTTCAAATGGAGGTCTGGAAACGGCCCATAAAAAATTTAGTCTGTAAATTTCTATATGATTAATAATATATATTTTGGCAAAATGTATCCTTATTTACATTTAACAAGATAAGTGTGTTTTTGAACATATTAATGCCTAATTTTAATTTGAATCCTAGAAAAAGGGAAAATAATTGAATTGAAATGTATTTTACAACCCAGCAGTTCCTGTGCTTTTTCATACATTTCTCTCTTTGACTAATTTGAAACTATTTATCCTACCCTCACTATACATACGTAACGATTTGATTACCATCTGTTGTTCCTTTTTTAATGGATCATTACCTAACAATGCACATAAATCGCACCGATTTTCATCCTTAACGTGTCCAATTTACAATGGTAATAATAGCTAGGCCATGGATGAGGACCGCTACCTGCAGGTGACTACTCTTGTTTTTTTCGGTGACCTGCCAGTCCACGAATCAATGCAAAAAGCATACTGACTTTTCAGAAATAAAATTGACAGCAAATTATCTTTAATTCAATCTAGAATATGTGCTACTATACTAGAACTACTATAGTATGCAGCTACTGACAACAATGCACAAAAAATAATTTTTGAAAATGTTCATCATTCTTTAAACAGGGTTCAACATCCCTGAGCTAGACAATAGTAGTATAATTGTGATAAAAAGTGAATTTTTTTCTACAAAAACAGTAAAGTTCCTCCCCGTTTGGGAAACACTGTTTTATTTCAGGAATATAGCAAAGCTCATGATGATTTTCAAAAGTCGCTAGATAATACACCAGATCAACCAGTAGCAATGCATTATCAAGCTCTTTGTCTTTACCATATGGGTCGATTGAAGGAATCCATAACTTTATTTCAGGTTTGTTATTTTTTTTGATAAAAAAATAACATTTTTTTATTTCGGTCATTCATTGCATTCAAAAATATGGATTACTGTATTTATGCAAATGTATAATAAACTGACTTGTGGAAGTTACTGTATGCATTGCTTTTCTTTACCTAGAAATTATTTTATCCAATTGCTTTGGAATCTAATAGCCATCAATAGCCAAAGTTGAATGAATTACTAGTATGAATACATTTTGAAATATTAGTTTCTTATATGAAATATGGAATATACATGCTAAACTGGTTTTAATGGAGAATTTTAAAGAAATCAATGCAAATTCATGAAATTTGAGTTTCCACCTCTAGTTGTGGTCATTGTGATCTAGTAGTCTGTCGAAGTCGCCTAGACCACGCTTTTTGTATCGGTAGTGTTAAAAATTAGATATCCGTACTATGTTTTGATCTTCGTGTCCATATATTTGAGCGTTACTCTCTTGTTTGATCAAAAGTTAAGCAAGGTTTTGAGTGACCTGCTTGAGATTAATAAGCAAGTTTTCAGTTTAAAATATTCTGAATTATCCCTAAAATCCTGAATTGCTACATCGAATATAACCAATTTTGAATCGATTGGAATATTCGATTCCTTACAGACTAATTTGTCTCGAGTTATATGCCATTTATACCTTATTTATATAACAGGATATTCTAAAATTGAAACCAGACTATACAGAGGTGATACAAAGCTTGGGCCAAGCATACAGGTAGAAATTCAATAGTTGATTATGCATGTTCTGATATTTCATTTGGTTTGCAAATGTGTTCTTTTATTGCCTAATTTACCATCTATATTTGACAGAGAACTGGGAGAGTTCGATTTGGCAATAGAAAATTTCAACAAAGCATTGTCTGTAAATCCAACCGATGCAAGATCATATCGTTATAAAGGACATTTACAATACAATCATGGGGATGCTGATGATGCTCTACAATCTTTCAAGGTTTGATTTTTTTGTTCCCAAAAATTCTTACCAAAAGTACTTCAATTTCATGACCACTCTATTAAGGTTGAAGAGGGTGCCCCTCTTTCTGGTGCTATCTGTCGGGCATGTGGCCAATGGGGTTGTCACACAATTTGCTGCTGATAGGACGCTTTAGCTTAACTTCAATTGTAAAGCAAAAACAGCCCCACCCATGTGAAAACTTATTTTAAAATTCGTATTGGAAACTAGAAATACAAGAACATAAAAATGTAAAAACAAGCACTAAAACTGTAGCATTCACGTACTATCCTGTTTTCTGTCCACCACAACTTTTTTGATCCCGTTTGATTCTATTTATCTTAAGTTGTATAGGTTTGAATTTATTTAAGACTGAATTGTCAAACAGAATAAGTCCAACAAGCTGTTGGCAAATGTTCATGCCAAACATAAAATACCTAGCCCTGGTAGATTTGTGAGACTGGTTGATTATGAATCAGAACTTGACCCGATAGATTTATCATATCATAACATATCCATCCCACTACTCTGCATGATTACGGTCTCACAACTCACAACAGAATTATGCTTTCATCTATTTTCATACGATTGCACACTCCCTAATTAGAGAGAGAGAGAGAGAGAGATTTTATTCGTCAACCAAAAAATACAGTCATCAATAAAATAGCAACAGCAATAAAATTGTTTTGGTATGGACAGGAGGGAGCGATACGACCGTACGGTCATCGAAGTCAGCTCCCACCATATACCCTTATGTGATTAAGATTCACACTGAAAGATGACCAGTGGCAAAACTATTACGGTCGATAATATTTTTACAAGGTTCTGAACAAAATTAAGGGATCCCTCTATTTCTTGGTTGAATCTTCTTTCTACTGTATCATCAGATGTAACATTGGCTCATTTTCATTCAAACTTACAGACTTGCACATCTCTCGAACCATTCAATGAACCATGTCAGTTCATGAAAGCAGTTTCTCTTGCAACTATGGGGCAGTATTATCCAGCTGTTAAAGAATTTACAAAAGTAAGGTCACATAGTTTTCATTCTGTTTCTGATTTGATGTAACATACCTTTTTAATATAATATACAAGGATAGCAATATCCATAGCCAAATATTTCTTATTTTTCCCATTCACAAAGGGAATTTATTGGTACTGTATATAGTTGACCTCTACAGGAGCATTACTAAATGAAGTAAAAAAAAAACTGAATAAACAATAATTAAAATAAAATGAAATCTTTGTTAAAATATGTTAAAACAGATTTCATAACAAATTTGAAATTGTAACAGGACGTCGTAGCCATAGCCATTTGGTAATTCTTCTTTTTTCTTGCTATTATTTTTGATCTTTTCTTATAGTAGAAATGCACGCATTTGCTGGTAACACAAATATGAGTTATTTAATACGAATTGGTGAATTTTAAGAGAAAACAACAATATTTTGTATTTTTCAAATTTTCTAAAAAGCTTTATTTTTGTTACTGCTTATCAGAGAATCTGATTAGTAAACTAAATTTTTTCAGGTGATGTTGAATCATCCTGTGGATCCAGACAAACCATCACTTGAATATACAAGAGTGATATATTTGAGAGGTAGATTGGATTACACCATCTTTCTTTTCTACTCTTGTGATGTCTTTCGATACTATACCAAGCCCATTTTTCACTGACGTTAATTTTTGGTTTGCTGTAATTGTAATGTTCATGAGATGTTGTACGCAGTGTTCATAAGTCATGCAGTCCGTAGACGAAACATAATTCAAAATTGTGTTGCGTATTGTGTTGTATTAAATTAAGTAAAACAACTTTGATGAGTTTCGCGCAGGAAATGATGGACTTATAAAGGGGTATTAAATGCAGTGAAAAAACTTGAATAAACACTGATTAAAATGAAACAAACCTGGTTAAGATATTTTGAAAATTAACTCCATAACAAAATTTAACAGGACTTTAGGAACACCCTGTAGTTGCATATCAAAACCCCATCTCAATTCGAAAAAAAATGTAAATTTTTCTGCAAAATCAACTACACGATCCTCCTTTTATTCCATGTACTAATTTTCAACGATCAATGATTCAATGAAGTCTCGTGTCGAGTTGTTTGAAAGAAAATTTCCCTGAGAATATCTGGGTTTTCATCAACTTCAAATATCCACCTCCAGCCACTTAATAACAGTTTCTGTTTTAACCCTATTGACATGTTCCTTTTTTTTATAGAATGGTGCAGATACATGCATTCTCATCTCGATAAAAGTATTGTTGATCTCTGCGCTGAAACAAATCTCTCAATGGAGTTTAGAGAACACTGGGTTAATTCTTATCCATTCAACTTACTGGTGAGCCTATATATGTGTATTTGAACTACGTATTTCGGGTGGAGAATCATATAGTCCAAATACTCTCGGAAGTAATGCTGCAAAGTTAATATTGTAGAATCTGAACTACAGGATGAGTCAACAAACAAAACCTGTAAATTTCCTAATTCTATGCAAATCAAAAAATTTATTTGTTTTTACACTTGAGCTTCTTTTTGTGTATGATTGCCCCAAGGCTTCAGTAATCTAAGACGTTATGCATAAAAGTTATGTACTTTCTGGAATAAATTCCAAATGACCTAAGTAGGCCTACTGTTTTCTTTTGAGTCACCCTGTATTCGAATGCAAGACCTGTTTACCATTTCTTAATAAACTCATTGCTTATGATAGGCTCTATGATACAATTTGCATTGACTCACAATGTAAATTATGATTTGCCTTTCTGTTCCACTCTTGTTTTCAAGCCTATTTTGGCTATTAATCATATCTGATCAGCTTCCACTTTTATTATTTCAGAATTATACGGAACAACCCGGTATTCAACCTCATATCAAGTAAGTTTAAGAAATTCTCATTGTTCTGTCAGTTTTGTTCAATCTTCATCTTTAATGTTGTGTTTTCTAATCCACTAGATGGTATCAGAGAGTTGCTCTTGATTGGAATAACTTTATGCTAAACCACATATGCCTATCTCCTGATAAACACAATTTTATCTATACTTTTGCACCAAGCATGGCTACACTAATATCTAAAATATATTCTCAACCAATAACTGAATAAGATAACACTGATTTTTCTAATCTGAATAAATAGAAATAATTTTGAAGCTGATAATGATACTTTTCAGTGTTGATTTAGTCATACTTTATCACTGTCTTTTTGCACATAATCACCTCACACTGGATTCAAACCTGCAAACCCATGCACTGCAATCAGAGGTGCGGTGGCGAGCGTATTCCTAACGCATAGCCCAATGAGACACTCTCTATTTACTAGTACTTGATGTCATTTATTGGACGCAAAGAGAGAGAGAGAAGAGTAGTAGTAGAGTAGTAGTAGTAGTAGTAGAAAGTAGATCCATGGATTGTTTTGAAAAATTGTTTTTCTTGTTGGGTTTCAAATGTTCAAACCAAATGTTTCAAATTCAATCTTTTCAGCAAACTTAGCTAAGGCTTTGCCACACCGGTACCAACACGCGACCTTAGTCTCTACATATTTGATCATCACCTTCTTGTTTTTAGAGGAGTTACATGTAAAGTGTAATGTAATTTGTGTTTTATACCAGAGATGTGGAAACGCCAGAGTGGGACAGTCTTTCTTCGAAAATCCGGCTATTATCTTGTGAAGGATATCATATGGGAAATCTATTACAATATCATGATTCTGAAGGGTTTCTTGGGAATGTCAGAATGACATTGGCTATGGGACTCGCTACGTTGGAAGTTTCTCAAGCTGTTCGAGATTTCTTTCGTTCTCCGAAGACTTATAAACCTATATACGGTGATCTTTAGCTTCATGTTTTTTATAAATTTTTGCTTCTTGTAATTGTAGTGTTAATTATGAATTACTGACCAAGAATATTTGTTCAAGACATATTTATATGTGTTATTGTTATCTTGTCTACCTCTTGATGGTTATTTTTTGAAAATACTATCTAAATTCATTGGAGAATTATTTCAGAATATCATTGTTCGCCTATCTTACATCAAGTTGTGTAAATGGACTGAAGCCTATGGGCAGGGGAATATTCACTTGGCTAACACAGACAGTCCCCGAACTTGTAATATAACTAAAATAAGGAAAATCGAAATAAAATTATGGCTTAACCCTAACCTGGTACACACACTATGGAAGCACCCAATTTTTATTGTTATTTTACTGTATTGTATTCTTTTGTTCATTGTTTCTGTCCTTCTTTTAAAAAATTGTAAAGATGACTTCCTGACCTGATTTTTCTTTAACCTAGTCCTAGTTCATAAAAAGCTAAACTTTCTATCATTTTTGCTAATCTATGGGTTCTTTCTTTTACCAGGTAAAAAATTAACATGGAAAACGGCCTTTGATATTGCAGTGAAATGGAAGAGGTAGGTACTTTCGCTCACCGATATCTCTGAAAGTGATGATGAAATTTATGTCTAACTTAAATTTGAGTAACAATCGCTATTTTGAATCATCTGGTTGCTTCAATAAAATGTGCCAAACAGATGATGCCTCATCCAAGGCTGAGTAGCTGGTTTGAAATCACAATAGCTCTGTTTCCAGCACCGGAGCCACAGTATATTCAATTTGTAACTTCAGCAACAAATCTTCAATTTTACCTCCAAGCTGGGATTCATCACCATAGGTCCATAGCCATTGATATTAAGTATTCAAATGGTTCAAATTTTAAATATACAAATTCAACTTGAAATATTTGAATGAATATCAGAAATTTAATATTGAGAATAAATTATAAACAGAAAAGGATATATATTTTTATGAAGTGTTGAAAAATTATAAATGTGTGAAAATAAATATATCGTTGGGACCTGAAGCCACTGAAATATTGGTAGCTCTGTGTATTATGATATGCTTTTCTTCAACTCTGTAGCCCTTGCCTCTTCTTTTCTGAAATCGTTCCATGCTTTCATCTATGTTTTATTATTTATGTATAGCCGTTTAGTATTAATCCCTAGCCTGTGTTTTATATGCTGTAACCGCAGTCAAATTCAACTATAATAATAATTATTCAGTTTATTTAACACTAGTCACATCTATTGTCTTTTTTAATGTTTTGCATCCAGTATTTTTCCAATATACATATTTTTTCACCAGGTTAGTCGATACGAATCAACCTATCCTGTGGTTAGATCAACTTCCATCTACAAAATCAAAGCCAAGTTCATTTGTACATCACATCAATTTAATCAAGTATGTTTTTAAGTACTTTTCAAATTTTACTATTCAAGAATTTTACCCCGTGTGAGATTTAATGTAAGTGAATAGGACTGCAACTGAATAGGATTTTATGATTTATCCCAGGATGATGAAGCGACTCAAATTATATAGAAAGCTTGTTTCGAATGCATGATCTTGATGGCGAGTTCCAGCAATGCTCATGCTTAGAATTATCCCCATTGTATTGGATCTTGCAAGCTGCACAGTGTAAGACATGGTGAACTGATATGATATAATAATTTGTTATGGTGTAACCAAAATGATCTTGTTTTTGATAATCATGTAATATGACCATTCAAGTTTTAAGTGATCAAAATTTTGTTTCTGCAGTTACAGATAATTACATTTTTGGGGTATGGTTGGGATCTTCAATTGTGTTTTCATTTTCAGGGGTGACAAATATAACATCCAGTACATTACTTATCTTCACCAAGTTGTTGATTTGATGAAAAAACTTGTGATGGATTTTACTAATGCAATGTAAGTTTGTTTCTGTTATCTGCATGTTGTTAAGATTTGCATCGGTTGATATTATTATTGGTTAGGAATTGTCTATAATCCTTGAGTAATGGGTTAACCAAGTCGAGTCGATTATTATCGTTTATTCTCTTTGGCGTTTTGTTGAGTATTAGTCTGAGTCATTACATCTAAATGCCTCTAGTCTCTTTGATAAATGGTGACTCGCATTCCACCTCGAGTCGAGTTATTGACTCAAATTTACCCAACAATCGTCGGAATTTAGACATAGTATAAAATAGCTTTATACTGTATATTCATGCAAATATAATTTTGATTGGAGTGGACTGATTTTCGAATTTTAACTATTGAATTATTTTATACACTGTTATATTCATCATAATTGTGTTTCATCACCATCCTCTGAACCACATCTATGCACGTTTCTAGTGTAGTAGCATACTAGTATGTGAATTCAACCATGATCACGAATAGTTAACCAACCATCATTGCTCTCTGAAGATCTGGATATTTATATTTAAAGAGCCATCAGATGGCTTTATATTATATTTTATTTCTATTTTCTAATGCAGGTCCTCAAGTGACTATAAAAGTGAATTAGAAAGAGCTGATGATTATACATCACTAATGAAGACAATAATGGTACTTTTTTCAATATACCGGTACTCACCTAACCTTTGATTTAAGGTTTGATGGCGTGGTTTGCTATCTACTGAAGCAGCGTTATTTATAGTTTTGTCATGTTTATCTCCTTATGCTACTGATCTCGAGATGAAAAAGACGTTGTTGGTCTAAACCAGGATTTCCCAAACCGAGCTCTAGGCCCCTCAAGAGGGCTACAGTGCGACTTTCTGGGTTCCACAAGCATTGAGTGCATTATTGAAAATGAAAATAAATTTGTATTTCATGTAAATTAAACCATAATATCATTATTCAAGGTAATGACTAATGAGATGAATTTCTTAAAAACCTTACATTTTAATTTTCAACTTAGAAACTTTACTGACTTTCGACTTACCAGTGACACAAACTTTTACCTGCATGTAAATATTGATTGGACATTTGTGACGTATTGATATTGTTTGCCAAACTTGTCTATAACCGTCAATTAACTAAATATCATTAGTGACATCTTAAAAATATACAATTGTTTAGCGAGAAGAAGAAATTGGGCGATTCCCAGTCTGCCGTCGTGCCGACAACAATGTTGTAAATCAAGGAGACATTTCACGAAAGAATGTTAGACTAACGTCTTAGGTCATTGTCAATTATTGTTTGTTTGTTCAATCGGTCATGTATTATGGGAATGTCCATAGCTGACCAACGCGTACGAAATACTCATCTTCCGAATATACAATAGCTAAAAAAAAAACATTTTACTTTTTATTTTTAATCGATGACCCAAAATTTTATAATCGCGCGCATCATTTACTCAAAAGACGACAACAGTCATCTTGAAGTAGAGGGTGACAAGTTGCAGTATGTTTATGACGTCATATTGGCATCGACAGGGTCCGCTGAACATTTTTGTATCAGCACTTTCTATTTATGTTACGATTGCGAACAACTTGCCGCGCATCTTACACACCTCGATTCAAATCTCATTCCCACCTCGTTCGAAGTGTTATGAATTGGCTATAGGCAATACCGAACAGCAAAGATTTCATTTTCTCAAAATATTATCTCCTGCGTATCCATTGTTATCAGTGGCTGCTTGTATAAGCCTTGTTCAGAGCGAAAGACAATAATGACCGTCTGCAGAATCCTACCACATAGTGGAGTATACGCAAGTGCTGATGTTATTTGTTTAACAAATCTGCCGTTACTGTGCAGACGCACAACTTTATAACTATCGACTATGGCTACATTTCTGCGTCATCCAATCACGGCCGATAGCTCTGAAGTTCTTTTGGCATCACCATGCTTCCTGGATGTCGGACGCTTCATTCATAACACTAGTTGTATGATTCATTCATCAGAATTTCATTTGGTTATAATGTCATATGATGTGTGATGAATGTAGCCAACTTTTGTTTACGAAAACGGCGATGAGAACTGTGTCTTGCGTTAGTTTGTAAATGACCAAGATATTTGAATTTGGCAATATTTTCTATTCGGTACACACAGCTAGCGGTATCTTGGCTAATGTAGTTGGCACTGTGCAAAATCTTCACTTTTCCATTGAATTCAACAGTAATAATAATTTACTTTCGGTATAAACCCGATTTCATCTCAAATAAACCTGGAATTATAATTCACTAAAATTGTTCGATGCTTGGATTACATTTTGTATAAAAAAAAATTGGGCTACTGAAATTTTGAGTTATCTCACCGTGCAGTAGTGTTATTCACAACTCATTTTTAACATCGCCTCGTAAAAATATCTATCATTCATATCTATGTTTACTCAATCGACATTTTGAGTTGTTTACGTCCAAATATAAAAATATATTCACATTGTTTTCTCAACCCATATCAGGCGAATTTCTTGTAATATTTTGAACAAAATTGCCATTCACTAATTTCGAGGTCATTGCATTTCGTATTATTTTTAAATTACTGCATAATACAAGTTAAGTTTGAGGCGTTTTATGAAAGCTTATATTATACTTAAATTGGCGACATCGTTTCTCAATTTCGTGTCTTAAAAAGCTACTTCCGTTAACTTTCGACCTAGGTTTTGCGTAGAAATTGGCCCATTTCTTCAAGAAAAGTTGCTACTTTACCTATATTGACACGTTTCGTCTTAAAAACCGGCTGCTAAAGTAAAAGACTTATCACGATTTATTCCTGAACACGGTGATATGTCATTTCTGGATACGAACATGAAAAAAAAAAAAATTTTTGAACTCATCGTCTTGGTGTTATGTAACTTCTTCCAGGTTGTTACAAACTGGATCTTACTTCTAAATTCTAGTTATTTGCTCGTTAACCAAAAAATAACAAACCACCCCTGATATTATTATCTCTCGGTTGTCAATTTCTCTTAAACTGCGTTAGAATTAACCATGAGGGCATCGCAGGTTCAAAATCTTGGATTCAAATCCCACACCCACCATCTCACTTAGGAAGTTATAAATTGGGTAGTCGATGCCGAACAGGAATGATTTCGATCCTCCCATTATGAAGAAGCTCCTTACCTATCGGTGGCTGCATTTAAAGTGCTTTGTTCGGAGCTAAACTTGTGTAAATACGTCATATATGGCGAAACTAAAATCATTCCTACGGGGGTAGTCTGATCGTTTTGATTGCTTACATGTAGGTAAAACTGTAATATTGGATCTTCGGCGTAGAAAAGAATACCAATTCATATCTATCCTATTTAATGATTTTTATAGTAGTGAACATTAAGATAAAATATTTTTCTTCGGCAAAAGCGATGATAGCAGCCTCTCTTATATAAGGACTATGGAGGCGAGGTTCGGAGTGTTTTACTGAAGTCTGTCACAGCGGGGTCGAATTTCCAAACTACACGGAATCGGACTCGAAAATTTAAATTTGTCGTAGTCGACTTTTCCATACCTTCAATGCTGATAGTAAAAATCTTCTTTAGGAACTCAAACACAGCATCAAGTTTACTAAGAGTACCTAACAGTCTATTAAAGCAAGCTTTCATACACCAATGTATTTGGAATCGGAATTGACATTTTTCCGGGATCTGATCCGGAGTCGAATGTTCTCAACCCGGAGTTGGGAGTTAATGTTAGTTTTCGCCAACTCCATTGCTCTAGTCACCTATTGCTTATCACGCGCCCATTATATGTAACTAAGATTGCTTTCAGCTAAAAATTCCTTCTGATTATGAAAAAACTTGTTTTGGAAACCTGAAACACCTCATTGCGAAGTAAAATACCCAACGGAATATGGGCGCTTTTCCAGTTGGTTGAAATATTGAAAAATTATTTCTTTTAATGGAATTCATTTCAAGTATTGTTTTGTGTTAAATTCATCTGGTATCTCTGTGTTTGAATGAAATCGATATTCAGAATGTTTAAAACGTATATAAGCATTTATAAATTTTAATTAAATTAAGTTGAAACACGTTTCTTGTGAACTGCATGATTTATGACGAGTACAAAACACCAAGGAAATATAGTAATAAATCATCATTTTTCCTATTGGATTTGATGTTCACATTTGGCTAGGCTATTGCATTTCTGCCAAATGTATTCACTTCTATGCAAAAATTTCAGTTTACTTCATAATAAATATATTCAGTAATTTAAATTGGAATTTGTTTGTAATTTGTAAAGCGATCCTTCTCGCGCAATTTAATCCGTTTTTCCATTCTTTAGCCGATGATTGAGAAATTTTATCAAAGGTCCCGCACCCCTGCTACATTTATTTCTGTCTCATAGTATGCTTTGATGTCATCGATGTGTTTGTTAAGCTATCATTTAGAATTTGTAAATGATCAGAATTATTTTTTTTTTTTTTTAGAAAAATTTGTTATTTTTTCATCATTTTTGTCGAAATTTTGCCACAAAATAATTCTATCGAAAATTGGAAAGGTGAATTTTAGAAAAGCGAACTATGTCGACATGATCGTTTTCGTATAATTTTATATATTTTATATATCTCGCTGTGTATGAAAACTCGTTTTTGTTGAATGTCAAGTTCGATTATTTCGGGAATGAACTTTATTCAGAGGTCAATAAAGTTCTTGGCTTTCATTCGGGCGAAAATCGGTTTAATTGAAAATTAAATTTATTGTCATTTCATAGAAATTCTCAATTTAGATTATTCAATAAAAATTCAATCACGATTCCACTCTTTATGGGCTTTCTGTCGTGATAAATAAGACGATCTCAATAATGATATCTTTGATTAATCGAGCATTTTTGGCTCGAAATATGACTGAAAACACCAACAAGATTCTATATTTTTGTCACGGTAATACAATAGTATTGTCTAAAATCTTTTTTTAATACTTTGTGTTAATATTTTTTACTCGAATTTATTATAAAAATTTTGTCGTTTTATCATCTGCCGTACATAACGTGATCCAATCTTCTACATTTATACTTGTTCTATGTATGATCAGGCATGTACAAGAATTAAATTGGAACGATTTTGAATACAATAGCCTTAATATCGTTTCAGGAATTCGTGAAGCGTCGGTTAATGTTTTTACACTTAAGCCTCACGCTTCACCCTAAGGCTACCTATATTCGTGTCTGCTTCGTGTTAATTCCAATTTATACGTATGGCGTCCCATATTATTGATTATGATTTGTGAAAAATTCATGGAATGCGTTGCCACGTTGTGTTATATTTGAATTTACGCTCATCAAGTTCCGGTAGCTTAATAAAGACATCTTGAAGAGAATTATGGATATAACCAAACGCCGCTAGTCTACGCCTGATTCGTGTTGATCTAACGCAACCGTGCGCCATTTCGAGCAAAATATCGTGTCCAACTGAGGTGTATTGACCCCAAATTTAATGTCACATAATACAAATGGTCTAAATAAAATTGTTGTTGAAAAATTTAAATATTTGAGTACTCTTGTGGCGGCCATTTTGTTTTGAGTTGTAGACGCGACGCATATGAAACTTGAACCCTGCCTTGTAAAATGAATTAAAATAGTTTAATAATAATTTATCATAATTAAAATCTTCTAATCTATACTTGGTTTTAAAGCATAATCGTGCGTGGCTACGTTTTCAAAGTCTGTGAAATTGGACCCGCGTCTGATAATGGCGTCAGTACGCCATGATAATATTGCATAATTAAAGTGTTGTGTTTGTTCTTCCGGATTCTTGTTGTTAAGACTCCATAATTATAAAATGAATGAGTTTTGTTCTAACAAATTTGATCGATTTTTTTTCTTCCATGTTTTTTTTCGTGTCGATGTCACTGAGTTCATTTTGTTAAAAGGCCTTCATTTTTTTCAATTCTTGATACAAAGATATCCTAATGGTAAACACATTTCCGCAACATTATGGTTCGTACATAGTGATCCAAAAAACAGAAGCCAATAATTTTCCTAATTACCTCCATGAAAACTTGTATATTACTTTAACTAGTGTTTGTTAATGATTGTACCCAAAAGTTTCGATAATCCAGGAAGCTAGACTAGAATCTGTTTCATGCTATTTGTGCTCTGTGTTTTTGGGGTCAACGTTTGCATTTGAAGTATTCGAATAGATGCAAAAAAGTATCTAAATTTTTTTGAAGTTTGGATATATGCATTCTTTATGTACGCATATATCCCCACCGACTCCCAATAAATCTTCAAAGTTTAATTTTGGTGGTGGGTAGTTAAGGCTTGAGAGATGATAGTTTCGTATAGCGGATAGTCACAAGCTCTTTCAGTTTTTAGTTTGGATTTTCCAGCTTTTAGTCTTCGGAGATTAAGATTAAGAAGTGTTAGAACGGCACTGAAATTTGATCTCCAACAATTGAAATGATAAATTCAAGTATTTCTTCATTCAAACGGGCTATATCCTGTTACTCAGTATGTTGCCACGCGTAATACCAGCGTCGTTAATAAGGGAAAATAGAAACATCCAAGTTAATATATAAATCGAATCTGATGCTTAGGATTAGGTCCTTTGATATTGACGCTATTAAAAGCATATTTTTGAAGATGACAAATGCATATTAGATTTTTACCGAGTTGCTGTGAAATTGTTTGGGCTATATAAAGATATTTCGATTATTCAAATAATCTGAACGAAACGATTCAATAAACGAGTATGTTCTTTTACGAAAAAGTAATTCACTCGTAATATGCATCGGCCACTGAAGTGTACAATATTCCATTGTCTGATGTAAATTGTAGGTCGAATTCATAATAATATTTGTCTTTGAGACAACGATGATTTTTATGCATGTAGAGTGTAGGTAGACATTAATATATATATGTGTAAGTCAATATGGATATTTTACATAATCTTCTCAATAGTAGCTTTATACTTGGCTAATTCGACTAATATTATCATTTCGATTTGGCCTTCTTTAGCTGTGATAGAAATAAACCTAACTTTGCTTATTGTTTTGATTTCAGAAATATGGTGGACCGCAGATGAACGACCCAGGATTCATGTTGGGAACCAAAGTACCAAGTGTTAAAGATAGAAATAGAAAACATTTGGATGGATTCATGATTTCTCTGGGATCTATTGATAAGTACGTCTGATTTTCTATTCTGACGACATAATCGATCTTCAACATATCAAAGATAAAGCTAATGGCGGACCGTTGATCCAACGAGAAGATTTTTTTTATATGTAGTCGGCTGATTACGATTCAAAGGATCAAAGAATTTGCCGTCAGTTATCGCCATGTAACGTTATACCGCATATGTTAAAATATACAAGTTTGAAAATTAAACCTCTATCCATTTATACGACCCATTGTTTCTCCCAGGCAGCGTAAACAAACTAATAGATACAAGTGGTTGTTTTAATACTTTGGCAAAATGTCTACGAATTACGCAGAATCAAGAGTACACGAAGGAAACAATTTTTCAACTTTCAGCAAGTTACCATTTTGCGTTTGTTGACGGAAATTATTAAGAACAGTGGAGTTAGTTGCTAATGATTGTTATAGGAAATGTCATCCGATTAGTATCTGTTGGTGTAGGGATGCCTCGTGTCCATATTTCGGTGTCCAAACAAGGATACTCATTGTCCAATATAATATATACAACATGTGTTGGTCTCACAACAATAATGATGCATTGTCGATACTTGTTTGGTGCGCTAGATCTATAATATCGAATGCAATTATCCAAAGCATTATTATTTGTTGTAACGTAACTGGCGATCTTGCTGATAATTTTTACATTTTTTCTAGGTATTTATGCGCTATTCGCTCGGAACAAGGCATTGCCAGTGCCTACCCAATATATTGCACCCTGGAGGAGGTGGTGGGCATGGGATTTGAACCCGAGCAAAACCTACCTAGCCAATGCGCCCAAAAATTCACCAAAAATGTGCTTTTATTTTACAGTAGAATATTTTCATTTATAAAACTAACGTTTGAATTAAATCTCTTTCCTATTGTTTTTATTTTCAACAGGAACAATTATACAGTGCTGTCTATAGATATAGCGACAAAAAGAGCAAGAACACAACAATATCACGCTGAACTCGATTTTTTATGGGATAAATTCACAGACGACATGAAGAAGTCGGTAAATGACGAATCTGAGGTAAACTCGTCTTCAATGAGTTCTTGTTGAGTATGTGAGGTCATTTGGCTTTTTTGTAATCTAACTCTGAGAAGAAGTAATGAATGTAAAATGTTATCATACATATTCTAGAGTTGTCCAAAGTTATTGGATGGGAACCATAAAATGAAAACCTTTGATTTGGAGAAACATATCTCATGCAATATCGAATATCGTATTCTGTATTAAAAAGCCTGTTTTGCTCAAAATCTTGTTATGAAGTAATACAGAGTTCTCAATGTGATATGTGCTATCAAAATATGTGACACTATTCTAGGTAGGGGTCAGACCTCGTATAGCGTATTTATGCAATTCTTTGATGAAGACACAAAATATCATCATCACTGAGTTTGGATCTGTGATTATGTTTTTTTACTTATGGGCAGGCTCTCCAAGATTCTCTCGTTAACACTGTGTTATCTATAGCTTATTATTTCTACAACTTTATGCCGATATCCGAAGGATCAGGGTAAGGACAATTTAATATCGAAATTGCAATTGGATTTATACGTGAAATTATATAGAAGTATGTGTTATTTCGCAAAATTTGCAACCCTCTAAAACCCCTGTGAACCCAATATGATAAATTTAGAATATCATTTTTCATAAAGTAGATCTCATACTCCAACGCTAAAAACGAAGCAAAATTTGGTAACAAAAACGCTCATTTGTTTAAAGTTATATATTTTTGTGAAATTAATGATTTGACATTCAATTTTGATTCAAACACGACTCGGCCTTTTCCACATTTCTAATTCTCATATTTCAGTTTTTCATTTATCACTACTCCGCCATTTTGTGTGTAATTCGCACAAAAATATGGACTGAGTTATTAATCAATCATGACCATATTTTGTCTAAGATATGACATTTTAAAATATGAAAAATATACCTTTTTTTGGCTTTTTATTAGAATCTATCGCATTCCATTAAAACCTATATGTCGAAATCACAGTATTTGCCATTTAGTTTTAATATGAAATTGATTGATATTCCAGATTATAAAATAGAATATTTAAAAATGTTTTATCAAATGACGATATTATCACGCGCTCACATATGATTTAAAACGCTTTCCCTAGTCTGGCGCGGCGTTGAATTATTGTTCTTTCATTTTAGCGTTGTTTCTTACGCAACAACTCTAGGATTACTACTTGCAGTAGGACAAGAGGTCACAGGGCAAATGCCGGATGAAAAGGTGAATATTTTATTCAACGAATTCTTTATTACTATTGATTGAGATCGTGAAAATGTTCATTCGTCAGTGGATTAAAATTTATGTATAGATTGAATATGTCACAGTAGGTCAGTTCACATTTATTTACCTAGTGACATTATGAGTCCCGGAACAGCACTTGGACTATTTATGCTTTTTTGGGGGCTCCCGAAGTATGCGAACCAAGATGGCGGACATCGGAATGTAATAATTGTACTAGGTTAGGGTTAGGCCATAATTTTAGGTATAAATACTACGGGAGGCTCTTGGCTAGTCTTCCAACTGATAATAGGACTAAAATAAGGAAAATTGGAAAAAAATTATCGCCTAACCCTAACCTGTTACCCATGTTACGTTCCGATGTCCGCCATCTTGGTTCGCATACTTCGGGAGCCCCCTTTTTTTTGATAAATTTGATCCAATTAAAACAGATCCAGATAAATCCAGTTGAAACCGGTTACTCCGAACCCAAGGGGTATATTAGGATTTACTAGTGCTACAATATATGAGCGAATACCAATTTTTATTTTCCGGCCTGTTTTTTTGGTTCTGTTCATCGTAGGTTAGGTCATAGGTTATCAAAGTTCTCCGTGAGAGAAACCAAGGGACTTTCCGAGCTATTCGTTTACTCATTGAAATACTGACTTAAATAATTTTTTTATCTTTTTGAAGAAGCATTAACGGCCTTAATAAATTTTGACAATGGTTGCGTCGAAATGTGACAGCAAGGCGGTAATTCAAATATGAATTCAAACATTCCTTCAGATAAGGGTTGAGAAAAGGAACGAGGGCGGCACTCTCAGACAAAGCGGACCCGTTATGACTCATATAGAATCACTTAAACTAAACCAAGAGTACGGTCGTCTTATCCAATCTTTGTCTCAACTTGAATAATACGAATCGCACGAAAAATTGACCGTAAATGACCGACCATTCTTAATTTTCTCTTTCATCGTAGATTTTAGAAATGGATGCATTGTTAGCGGAAACACCGGAGATTTTTGTCGATGAAATGAAATCATGGATGAATCTTAAAAGGTATTTGTTTAAGTAAGAAGTTTTGGCCCACTGCTCGTTTATTAATATACCTAGTTTTAGATTTGACACATTTCCATCAGCTATTTTATGTTTAATGATATGAAGACCAACAAACGAAGACAAAGGGATAAATTCACTCCAGCGAAACAGCTAATTAATTGCACTCGATTTACTTTGAAATTAATGCAATCGTGGCGAATGGTACCTAAAGCCATTACGACACTCCGCGCCCCGCTTGGGGGCGAGGACACAGTTTAAAAACCCTGGTCTAAACTAATCTGATTAATCCATATACAGTATATAAATTTTTTTGTTCTTTCCAGGGCTCGTGAACAAATCACAACTGACCTACCGAAAATCCATCTAACGTTTCCCACAGTGAGAAGTTGTCTACAGATTGTAAACATTGACTTGAGTGAAAAATGCAAATAAAATCTGAATAATTTTTTTCATGTGACAGGTTAACCTAAGTGTCTGATGTTTTTTTTTCTATTTATCTTTATTGTTTTAATTTTCTTTTTTATAATTGGGTCTACGTCTAATGCATCGAGCAAGGCTCTGTCTGCCACATAGGCGGAAGAAGCTGCTGGTTTGAAATAATTAATTAATTAATTCGCAAATAATTGAGTGAAAAATCAAAATACAAATGAGCAAATAATTAATCGATTGGAACTAATGAAATATTTTGGAAAATTTCTTTGCGATGATCCCTGTGATGTGTATGGAACATTTCATTTGGAATTATTGTCTTATTGATAGAATTTTTACCAGGTTGTGCCAATCTTCTTAACTATATTCAGAGTATTCGAGAAAATTGCCCGCGTTTTCGTATTTCGTGACCGTATTTTTCCACACCGTCCAATTGGATGATTTGGGGTTGAATACTTATATAATTTGAATAAATTGAATAATTTTCGGTGTCTTCTGTTGCGTGAATTTCAGTTGTTTTCTTTTACTTCCTATGCAAACTCGTTACTATTTAGCGACTAGTTTTAATCGTCTTTATATTTGAAATATTTCAAAACTTGAAATTTTATCTTGTGTGATATCCTATCCATTTCGGTTTACAAGAAATAAAATACCTTCACCACTAAGCAAAAAGTCAATGCGAATTGTCGAGTTATTAGGTGTATTGCTTGCGCGACTCGCATGTCGTTTGAAAAAGCTCTAGAATCTTCGACCTGCGTCTTCAGCATTAGTTTGTCGCGAAGGGGTGTTTCAAAAAATGCCCCGTCTCTGTTGTATGAATATCACTTCATACTAATATTCTATCCTTCTGCAAGAGCATTTTTTGTATCCTCGCCAGAAACATAGCACGAATCCCACTTCATGTCCTTACTTCAACCATTTGTCCCACAACCAACCGCAACTTCGTTCAGTGGGACAAATGGGAATGCTGATAGTAGGTCACGTATTTACCACGACATTTTTGGGACACCATGCCGCGATGTCTACTTGACTGCTATGTTAACTTATAAACTTTGGTAACATTTCTCCACTTGTGGGAAATTGAATATATAGTGGTTGTGGTGCTGAACTTGCGTCCACCATTGCCATAATTAGTTTGTAATCATTTTGAACGCTTTGCGTGTCCAACTTTGAATGTCATATACATAGCAGACTCTTCCTAACTTGATTTAGATTGGGAAAAACGCACACGCTGTCCTCATTTGAGAAAAGTAGTAGCGAAAATATTGAAACCACTTGTATATATATATATCATGTTGCCGATGACCGTACATTTGAACCCATGCGTATATCCACGGGTTCAATCTATATGCGGGTGCTAAAACCCATGGGTTAGGGTTAGTATAGGTTTAACTATCCGTGACACAAAAAAAATTCCATAGGTGCAATAGCATACAGGCGCAATTGTCATGGGTTGAATGTACGTGGGTTCAAATGTAATGGAACCCATGTTGCCAACTCGCGATTTGCGTATAAAGCCCATAAGCAGCGCAAAAAATATAAAAAGCACAGGTCGCCTATATTTAGGATTATTATGGGGGGGGGGGGGGGGGGGGGCGAATTAAAAAGTTTGAGAACCACTGGTGTAGAGGCGTGAGAATTATTTTCAAAAAATATCAGTGAAATCAATTATAGCTTGGCTTTTTCTTAATAATGAAACAGAAACTTGTTAATAAGATGACATAGAACACCAGAATCATTATTTTTATTTTATATGAATGAGGCACCAAGGTCTTAAGTGCTTGGGGCCTCTAAAAGACTTGATTAGACCCTGCGTATATCAAGCCATTGTGTAATACCGATCTGAAAAAAGGACGTTTCAAACTGTAGTTATCACGCGCCCATTACATGTTAATCTGTGTGTACTTTGATTCTGAGCCAAATTCACTTTGTCAGGATTCGTGCGACAAGCAATTAGTTAATATGATTTGGACTGTTTGTTTTCACATATTGTCATTTGTCAAAGGCGTTAATTATCTGATCGTGGAAAACAGATAATATAAAATTTTCGCTTCATTATTAGAAATAAATAAAATATTGATTTTTTATTGCCTGATATACCAGTCTGAGCACGAGGTCAATATTATGTTATTTAATGGAATCGTGTATCATTTGGGATATTTTTATAATGATTCCCAGTAATGGCGATTTTTTCATGCAAAAATTATTATTTTCTTGGACTAGGTCATTTGTACTGTTATTTTTTTGTTTATTACTTTTTTGTAAATTTCATGGGGTATGTTCGCCCTCTCACACCTAATGATATTAAATGCCACGTAGGTCGTAGGCTATTTAATTGTAACTAGGATCCCTTACTATTTAATTTACCTTATAAATTTACTGATGTTTACGAATCTGATTTATAGTTTTGGATTTTTAAGAAAAAAAATCGTGTTTTCTTTTATTTGATTTGCGCAATAATCCAAGATAATTGCTTTATTGTCCTCGAAATGACCGATAGAGTTCAAAATATGACTGTAGTGGCTGGCTTTTAGAGCTATGACAATCCAAGCAATACGTATATGGAATGACTAACTTAGAATACCAATGCCCTCAGCAGTAGTTTGTTGAACTATTGGAAAATTTGTGTTTGAACAAAAAATTCCATGGCTACGAAGTCAATTTCATCGCTTTACATCCTTCTTGTCTCTGTCACTTATTCAGTACATCTAAATGTTTGCGCTTTTGTATTTGCAATTGTGACGCAAATGTACTATTGTACGCCAGTCTTGTATCACGATCGCGCTAACTTTATTTCACCAGCTCACGGTGAAATAGGGTTTCACGAATTAGGAGCTGAACATGTAACGATTGTCTATCGGTGCTATACAAAAATTTGAATATTACATTTCGTATCATTGCGACTCATTGACATACGTAATGTCTGACTACTTTTCCACCTTTGCGTATTTACCAGCCCCTATTTAGTACTCAGACGAGGTTCAATAAATCAGATTAGAACATATCTTGTGGAGATTTCCTCTAGGATTATAAACAAATTATGTACAAATTGCCATACTAGCGTTTTGAAGATCAAGATTTGTCAACCTTCATTATATATATCATTTTCACCCCTTCGCAAATATATATATTTTATATTTTCACTGCTACAGTATTGAATCTTTTTTTAGTGCGGAATTGCGGATATGGACGTCAAACATTAATTGTGTTGAATTAGCGACGCCTTATTCATAACCAACAGACATACAGTCTTCTCTGTGATGACACTAATGAAAACATAGCAAAGTTTGTTGCCAGACAGTGTACATTACTATTGCGCAGCATGGCAGTCTGCTATGTGCTCAATGGCTATATTTGTTCACATGTAATCAACCCCTCATCTGAAAAAATTAATCATAAATGATAAATTTTATGTTTTCAGAAACTGTAACGTTAGTGCTCCAGTCAGACCATTCTTTGTTTCTAATTATATTTGATATGAAAACGTAAGCTGAGTACATATTTTGTTATTGTTAGCGCCAGACGAAATGACTAAAATTTAATATGTTCATAATTCGAGAATAAATTATTTTAGTTTCAGTTTCTGGAGTTCCATAAGGTCGCCAGATTTTTAATTCTAGGGAAAGCAGTTCAAATTACTGACAAACATATGATTCATTTTGAAGATTGCATCAGGCGAAATAATACATATATATATGAAAAATTGTTGGCAAGGGCACTCATGTGTTTGAATCATGCATATTTGATGGCTCCAGAAGCGCGACAGTTTTAAAATTAACAATTCTTCCATTTTGAAGTTGACGGATTAGAAATTTAATACTAGAATAGAATGGGGTATCTGTAGTCGTACACCAATTATATTCTACTCTTATTTTCTGTTTCAATACATTCCGAAGAAAATGAACCAAAACTGTCTGAAACTTAATTTGTGCTAAATGGCAAATGAGCATCAAACTATATCAGATGAAATTATTTGCGCGTCCCAATGGTGCGTAATATAGTACGTCTGTAAACTTCCCTGACTGCCAACACAGAAATAAGTCGTAGACTTGAATATTTTCTTTGTATTTTTATTTTCCATTTACATCTTTCAACCAATCAAAAATAAAGAAAAAATAAAAAAAAGTCTAAAATTTACTGAACTTTGCAGGGTTATCATCAGAATTCGGTAAGTAAAAAATCAATTATGTAGGTTACACGTAGTTTTTCTACAACTACACTACTCATACAATGTATCGAAGACAAGAGTGCTTGCAACAAATTTGCGTTGTGGTTCTATTCAAAAACAAATGACCAATAGTTTTTAAAAAGTATAATGAATTAAAATGTAATAAAATAATGAAATGCACAAAAAACGCGGTCAATTACCCAAAAAATGGAACAGGGCACATGATTTCAGATACATGAAAATGTTATAAATGCAATTTAAACAACTGTCAATTCGTGCTTTATGAAGAAGGAAATATTTACACACTGAAATTGATTCCTAAGTCCTAAGCTGGTCCAAAATTTTGTGCAAATATGGAATGCGCGACGATATCAAGGTAACGACAAAAATGTCACAAATAAAAAAAACTTATAGCCACCGCGATATCGCATTTATTTTTGACTGTTACGAAATAGTAGTGCAATATATCGCCAGCACCAGACAACGAAAAATATTGGACGTGCACATCACATAAGTTCGCGTGGGAATTCATGACATTATAAAAAAAACAGGGTACCGGTAGAACTGGGAATCGGACGGGGGCTTGTGTTGGAGTTGAGTGAACTTTTTTCATTTTATGATAGTTCAGAACTTTCATTGAGAGTTTAAAAAACTTCGCACAGTTTCTTTGTAAGTAAGACCTCATCTTGTTGATATGGTGATATAGGCATAGTTGAAATTGAGCTATAAATGGATCCTAAACATAAAGTTTAGCACAAAAATACTTGGTTATTTAAGCGTTTCTGTTTAACAGAAACACCATTTATATAAACTATGCATAATACGATATTGTCTATACATGATCAGTTTTACCATTCGTTGATATCATACATTATATAGCAAGAACATAATTTCATTCTAGGTTCAGCCTGGGCCATTTCAAAAATATATATAAAAAAAGAAACTAATTTTTAATGGTGATACATTCAATCGGTACTTAGCATCTAAAAACAATTCACCTCAATGAGAACAATAGCGTGATTGCATCAAAGACCATATTACCTTTGTGGAATAGTTTGAATAGATTTCCGGCTTTTTATTCATTGTGACAGATTCGTCTGCCGTATCCGAACAATTGCATATGTATAGATATGCTATTCGTTGTAGATAGCATTACCAATTCTGATCATTACATTAAAAAAATATTTAATCCATTTTTTGGTGAATTTCGCCGTGCAAGTCAGTAAGACGATCGGTCTCTAAAAATTGCTTTGTGAATGACTTGACTATTTCTATTCATTTCACCCATATTTAGCATTAGACCATGAAATTGTATATCTTTGATTAGAAAAATGACACGAAAACAGGCTCATGCTAAAGTTGAATACAGCATAAGCGCTACAAAAAGAAAAAATTGTTAAATGGAACCATGTATCAGGAAAAGATAATTGATAGCAAGAGTATCACGTTTGCATAGCAGCCATTGATGAGCAGGGTTGCCACCTGTCACTCGCCATATCTATTGTTAGACTTCCTAGCAATTACGGGCTAAAATATATTTGTGTTCAAAACAAATGTCATTTCACAAATCATATCTCATTTTAACGATATGTTTTCACATTTCAAATAATATGCTATAAAAAAGTTTTTAAATTTTTTAACATATTATGGTAATGTGATCTTCAATATAATTTACCAGGCTCATACGTGGTAAAGAATATTCGGCTGATATTTTTTTACTCTCTCATACTAAGCTTTTAAAAAGTCAATGTAATTTGGCATGGGCTTTTGACTGAATAACGATAAAATTGCATTAAATGTGCGGTTATTTTATCACAGTAATAGTTGAATACTCGTATTACGAGAACTATGCTATCGTTGGTATCATCGTAAATATTCCAACTAGTAGGTAGACATGAAATATCATATTACATGAATGGGTTGTACCTGCTTCACTTCCTTCTAACTTCGTTAACTATTATTCAACAAACTATCTCGTTTTACGTTGCTGTTTGATATACCAACATTCTGCAGACAATTAATTTAAAAACAAAAAAGTGACAGACCGCTAATGATGCAATTTAGAGACCAATGAATTAACTTTCAGCTCGAGTCTAGGGGACGGAACTTTGGCATTGTTCCTTTGGAGCAGTTATGTGAGCTCAGTCAGGACTGCTTTTTTATTAAAACTGTCCAAATATTCACCTTCTATTATTCTAGATACAGTCGAAATTCTCTTATTTCGTCCTTTTGTAACTAAATTTCAACTCCCGCGCCATATTGAACATAGTTTTACAAAATGGCACAATCTTGAATCCGTATTTTTGTATTCTTGAGACTTCTTTACTCTACGTTAATAACGTTTCCTTCATGTTTTTCGTCACAATCTCTGTCATCTATCACCATCGCATCATCGTCTGAATCTTTGTCGCTGGCGAATGGTTCTCTTTTCAGATTATTACTATTGTTAGTTGGGACCAAACCACGATCTTTCATTTTAATTTCTTGTCTCCATTTCATTCTTCTATTCTGAAACCAAATTTTGACCTGAATGCATATAATGAAGATTGTTAGTGTGGACATTTTTTTCCTTGCATTGTTGTGCATAGTTGAGATTCGAGATGTATGTATTGTCTTAATCTCAGTTTAAATTGTCGTAGATGCATAAAAAACAACATCGACCAAGCAAAACGATTCATATAGATATATACAATCCCTATATTGTCCAATAAGAGCTTTATGTTGACTGTATTACGAGACGCGTATCAAACGATCTGGATAAATCGTTCCAGCTTAAGGTAATCAATTGAAGAAAATTAAAAAATTAAATTTCTCTTTACTTAGCGTGAATCACATTGGCTCACACTTTACGCACTTTAGTAATGATATATATATATATATACCTATATAGATATAGGTCAAAGCACTAAATTGTACTCGTCCATGACCGTTTTCGTGCAATTACTATCCAGTTATCATATATATATTATGTAATCAAATTACAACGTGGTAAAGATAAAACTACGCAGCGGTCAAAAGTTGAATTTCAAATTAGACTACAACTAGGCATTGACCAAGCCAAAAATTCATTGTGAATACACCGAACCAGACGTGGTCAACAGTTCGTCGAAATGATCAAAATCAACGTTACATGATTCAATGCCTTAATCGTCAACAATGGACAAATAATGTGTTGACAATGATCACGTTTAGACATAACTTGATAACCACAAGTCATGCACTAGTTATATTTAATTCAAACGATAACAATGCGAGATTTACAAAACAATTCTTGACTGTATATGTTGGTACGCAAATGTACAATAGTAGTAGTACAATTTTCATGAATAGTATATATATATATAAAATTCAAATTCGCATAATTCAAAACATACCTGTGCATCTGTAAGGTTAAGTGCTTCAGCTAACTTTCTTCGTTCTGCTTTCGCCACATATTTCTGAGTTTCGAAACTTTTCTCCAAACCTTGTCTTTGCAAGAGACTGAGAGAGAAGATTAATAAAAATTACATGAAAGTTATTTTACCATAAAATTCAAAAATGTATCAGCTGGATATCAGCCACTCACTATCATAGATTTATTTTTGGAGAAACAATAGTCAATGAAAGATTATTTTTCTATCATCATTCATAGAATGACATAACATCATTTTTTGTATGATAAATTTTGGTTGTGTTCGAATTCCTGAAAAATAAGCATTTCCAGTGTTTTTCTAATGTTTTTGTTATAATATATATAACAACATATCAATTAACTTTTCTGAAAGAAGGAAGTATTAACAAATAAAATTGTAATAATATATAAAATTGAATTTGGTTTTTGTACCTGAAAACAGCTCTATTCCACTTCCTTCTTTTTCTTCCAGTTCCTGATACCGTCATATTTCTGGCATCATAATTATTGCTAACGTGATGATGTTCAAAGCGATTTCCTTGTCCCATCGATAGACGCGATGAACCATGCGCTGCTCCCCAGCCGTCAAATCGTTGTGACAAACTTCTCAAAAAACTTGGCGATTTGATTCCACGAACGGCAGAGATTGACGAAGTATTGATTCCGGCAATTGTTTGTGGTTGAAAACTTGAACTCCCATAAGATAATGGATATTGATCGAGTGGTGACCCTGTCAAACACAATTTACCTTTAATTGCTGTCAAGTGACGCTGTTAATTTGGATGTACATGGTTCAATGATATATGAATTATACAGAATGGCTTGGCATCATAATATGATTAATTGAAATTAGGGGTTTGAATTTTTAGAGCACTATTGTGTGTATAAATCGTTCTGAATTTGAATGATAAAATTTGTTAACGTCTATGTGAAAGTTAAAAAGTTAACTGACATTAAGTTTCTTGAAAATATTTATTTTATAAAATATTAACCAATTGTACTCACTGTTTTGGCGGAGTGCATTTTGGTTCCATGGCATCGTCCCAAGACCTTGGGGACCAAAACCAACAGGTCTCGGAATAGGAACATCACGGTCTATAGAGCTCGCGAACCTTTCCTTGTTCTGACGATGAGAATCAATATTTTCTTCAGCGCTTCTGTGTCTCATACCTTGTTGCCAAAAGAATCAAATAGTTATGATAGATATAGCTATGATGCCAGATACATTTTTGTTGCCCTCCACAGATGCATGGCCAATAAAATTATGTTTCGCGCAAAAGGTTTCTCTCGCAAATGACAACAAGTAACAAAGTTGATGGTTTTGTCTTGTGCGGATGAAACTTGATGAATGGTATATATATGTACGTTATAATTCATATTTAAATATAAAAAGAGAGACCGTGCCCCCATTATAGAATTATATATATACCGTATATATATATATTAGATTATTTTGCATACCTGACATGAATGGAAACGGTAATCGTGAAGAGTTTGAAGGACGCAAGTAATCCAGAAACGAATTTGATTTTGTTCGATTTGCAATTTCTTTTTGTCGTCTTTCAAGAAGTGAGAGCTCGTCGCTTTCGCGAGCATTTTCCGCCCTGGGAGGTGAGATCCTTGGTATTGGTAAAGACTCATTGCCAATTCCAAAGGGGAATTTCCGTATAGGCGATAATTCGCCAGATTGTACACTTGAATCAATATGAGACCGATATTTGTGGTCTAGTCCGTTTAAGTGTAAACTGGCTCGCTGCTCCGGATCTCTATCGGTACCATCGCGATAATCTAAAGCCGTCGATCTTCGCCTTTCTTTGGCTTCATCTGTGGAGTCCGACGAGTCCGTAGAGCATCGTTTTTGTAAATTGTTATAAGCGTGATGAAAGTATGGGTTCATATAATATGGCAGAAACGAAGGTGGAAATTGTGGGAGGCCGTGCGGTACTTTTTCCAGAAGGTTTAAACTTTGATCTCTTGCTGCACCGTTTGTTTGTAATTGACTGAGTAGTCTTTGTTTATACAAGTACAATTGAATTTGCCTTTCGTAATAAAGCCTTGATAAATCGCCTGGATGTGCTTGTTTGTTGTCAAATGAGCTCATTCTCTCGTGAGCTTGTTTTAGCATTTGCATCGCCACTTGGTGGCTTTGTTGCAAGGTATCGTCGCCCTTTCTGGTGGTGCCGTCTTCAGATCGAGCAACACGAAAAATATCTCTTATTTCATCACATTTATTATTGTTGTTGTCTACTCTGTAATCGTCTTTTGGACGTATACATTCTTCTTTACCAGACATAGAATGACGCAAACGTATTCCAAATCTGTTGTCGTCTTCGTGCTCAGTTAAATTTTGCGGTTTTCCAGCGGATAAAGAACGATTAAATTTGATTTGTTTTCTTTCATTGCACTCATCTTCCCGCTTTTCTTTATTTTTTGACACATCGTCACCCAAAATACTATCGATGCCAAAATTCAGCTTTTTTCTGTGGTGCTGAATTCCCTCATTTTCGGCTTTATCTTTTATACTATCATTTCTCACTTCTTTCCAGCCTTCTTTAAAAGTGACTTCGTCACGATTATGCATAACAAAGGACGTGTTCTGTATTCTATCATTCATGTTGGTTTCTAGAAACCCTTGTTTTGGTGCACTAGATGATCTAGGATGCTCAAACAAAGTCATTTTTGTTGGAATAGGTGAAACCGATTTGGCATCAATATGTCTTCGATGAACGAATGGAAGTCCTAACTTGAATGTGTTTTCCGAGACCTATGACAAAATATATTTAGATTTTATTTATACTTCATAAACTGGGTCGTGCAGATGTTTCAATTTTTGTCTTTATATATTTAAAAACCAATATGTATGACATAAAGTCAAGACACGAAATTTCGTCTTCGAGGTTTTATTTAGATGATGATAAATGGCAACAATGACACGAAATTCTTTTTGTGTATACTCAAACTTTCGTGCTTGTCATAGTTTTCATCTTTTGTCATGTTTTGTTATATATAGCAAACAATACACAAAAATCATTCAACAAAAAATTCGTTAAAATCAATTTTCTGTATTTATCCACAAATTAGCAGCCAAACATGACATCGAATTTTATTTTCGAATTCATTTTAAAAGGTGTTTGTTGTTAAGATTTTGATTGTGGAGTGAATTTGTCACGAATTTGCAATAACGTTTTCACCCTATTAATATCATTCCTATTGGCTTTTTACCAATTTTATTTGTTTCAGCCTACGAACAGATGTCTGGGGATTTATAGAAACCACTGACAGATTTGAAGCTTCTATAGTTTGGAATTATCAGAAGCAGCATAGCTTCGGCCTTACATACCCAATGATAGTCTATTTTTCGCATGTAAAGATCACAAAAACTTTTCTATTATCATCCAGATCGATTTTTCTTCGCCTCATCTAATCATTACCAGTTAAATTTTCGACTACATAATTCTAAGTTTTACCCTCTAAGTTCTATGTTGCGGTTTCATAATTTGACCGTCGGTCAGTTTACATTTGATTTAGTATCGTTTTGTCTTTTTAAATTGACGGTTGTTTAGAAATGAAATAAACTGTCAATTAACAAGTAATTTCACAGTTTAATAAACACTTCAAATTAGATAATAATAAAAAACGGAAGAAATCAAGACAAATATTTAGTTTTCCCATTTTGCTAAAAATGAGCACATTGGACGGGTTTACTAGGATTGTACCAGCGCAAAGTCACATATTGATAATACAAATAAAATCCTGAAATTGAATCATAGGTTCGTTATGTCACCGCAAATAATAGTAATAAGGTTAGCAAAAAGGCAGTATGAGGATACGATATCATTATCATTATTTTTCATCGGGTTCACTGTAAACTCGATTAATATTTTAAGGGTCAATCGTGTAGATATTTATAATATATATTTTTTACACGGAAATAATAATTTTGGACTGAATAAGGAAGGTGAAAGTGTATAGTGACACATAAAAATGATTTTTATTTAGTTAATTTTTTTTGGCTTGGTAAGGAAATTACGTTATACACGTCGTGCAATTATCAGTGTACAAAGGTTTTTATTGAAATTATTTCATAGTTCCGCGTAAAAAAAGATACTAAACAATACAAATTTTTTAAAACATTATTTGTTTGCAAAAAGGTCGTCAGGTGATTTTAATTCATTTTTAGCGAATACCAGTCTATAAACTATAACGACACATAAATTAATATCAATGATAACTCTCTATTTTCAAATATTTTGAGTTGGAACAGTTTGATATACTGGTATCGGAAAACAAACCAAATTATATAACTGGAATAATATATACTACATGAAACATTTTGTTCATCATATAGCAAGTTAAGATTGCTTTTCAAAGTATCAAACAGTATTTAAACAAATTTAACCGAAACCTTTACGAAACTGTATATATTTGAAATACGTTGCCGAAAAAAACGAAGTTTCGATTTTGTAATTACATAATAATGAACCCAAATATCATTATAGGCAAGCTAAACCGAGTTTCGTAAGCTAACTCGAAATGATTGCTTTTTAATCAATATTTGGAGTATTTGCAGTTTAATATATTATTGAAAAACACATTCGGATTATATGAAGTATCCTACGTTATAATGTCATGAAATAATAATAACAATAATAAGTATAGAGAATATCAAAAAGTATCACATTATATTTTATTGGCAAGAAAACTTTTTGAAAAATCTGTTATGTTTATTCTAATCTTATCACATCTAGTTTTTTATACATATTCTACTACACAGGTGCCCCTTATGTTACTTTGCGCCGCCTGGTTTCAAAGATTTGATATCATACCAGATGGGTTACGCCTATCGACTTCTTAGGGCACTGTACTGAATTAGGGTTCAAATATTATTGTCAAGCTCTTATGGTGGTATGATTCATCCACAAGTAATTTATAATAAATAACAAAATGCTGAAATTTGATTCTAATGTAAAAGGCATGAAAAGCTATCATTTCGGTTAACTGAACGCAAAAAATAATTTTGCATACCTTTTCATTCCAGGCCGAATCGTCTCGACTTGGATACGAACATTCGACATCCGAATGAAGATGTTCTTTTTGATCTTCTTCGTTGTCTGTCGAATGACTGCTGCAAAATCTTTCATCAGATTTTAACGAAATAGATCTGCTTGGTAAATTTCCCTCTGAAAATACATCGTCCGGAGTAGTAGGACTCAGCAACATACTGTTTTGCCGTCCGAAATTACTCATTTTAGCATGCTCTCCAAACATTATGCCGTTCTCATAAATCGACTTGCTGGCTTGTTCCCTTCCGAGCCAAGCCAGTGATGTAGCCGAATTTAGGTTCGCGTTGTGCGGCCACATAATATTTTTGTTCTCGTAAATTTGAAACAAAAATGGCGACACCGCAGAAACGATTTATGTTGATTATGCAAAAAAAATTTCTGTAATATAATAAAGCAATTGAAAAAACATAAATAACACATAAGATACAAACTCATTATTTTTATCATCATTCCATTTTAAAATCTTCGGTAATAGATAATACGATATTTATGCATGCTCTTTAGCACAGAGCGGAAAAAAATCGCAACTTTTTGCACTTGGAATGTAGTTGTGTATAAGTGAGTATCGAAGTTGACTAAAGTGCAAGGCTATGAAAATACTTCCACTTGGAATTTACACCTCAAAAAAACTTTCAGTTCCATTTTCAACTTCAAGGTTTTCCCAAATTCGTCTATGAATAATCAATTTATAATTATGATAAAAATAACTATACTAAAAAATAATAAATTCGAGTCTAAATTATTTTCTGCTGCTTTATTCTAAAGCTAAATCGATCCTCCGCCTGAGCCCAAACGAAATGTTATTGTTGCATAATTCCGAATGAAGCCCTATTTAGCCTGCATATTAACTTCCGAAACGCTGACAGTAACGCGTACAATACGCCGTTTGTTTCCGTATTAGATATGAGCTGTCCATGTTTATATAGAGTTCATTAGATTGTTAAATATTTCAATGATAATTCATATATGCGTATCCTTAAAACATTAGAAAATGTTTCATCAAATATAATAAAGTTGTCTAACGTGAACTTGGAATTCAACTACTATAACACGGTGTAGTCATGATTAATATAAACTTAGAGACGTGCTTGACTCATTCAACGACCCTGCTGCAGTATGCCAGCTGTCTACATATGGATTTTTGCTATGAAATATGTGCTAATTATTATTATTTTTACTTCGTATGTTATCGTTCTACTCACTATACATATTTTTCAGTTCCGAGATAATTTTAACGTTTGTTATATTTAGGATCCCGCTTTTATAAGAGATAATATTCATACGATAAAAACATGAATAATAATTTTTTAAGGTGATATTTACGATTTTAATACTAATAACTGCTGCAAAATAAATACATAGAAAAAAATTTCTGCATTATCAATTTATAATCCGCTGACTAAAATTCATATATATTTCTAAATAGAAGACTCAATTCGAGAAGAAGGCTAACCTACAAACTGCCTATAATAAGTGAATTGTAGTAGAAAATTATATTAGATCTATAATTATTTCAAACCCTCCTTTTTTCATTGTTATCAACGACTAAATAAGTTTGAATATTAAAGAGAATATATTTCAACTAACAAACCTATTTTATTCATCTAAAGTAGTTTAAATAAAAAATAAATTCTTCTTTTTTTTATATCCCTTTTTTATTCAATAACCACACAATAAATAATGATTTATAGATACATGATTATTTTAAACATAAATCAATTTTAAACTTCAACTTCACCGACTTATATGAGCTGCTGTGTTTTTCAATTGTTTTGTTTTTCAGAAACGGTTTGAATAATCAACTCAAATTCCAATGCACGCCAGACTATGGCTGCCCTCCGGAAATACAGGACGCTGCAAACGGTACGCATTCGGACGCTGTCTCGCGTACACAACAACTCCTTCCAGGTATAAATCATATTATTTAGTAATTGTCACCAAAAAGCGACGCGGTGACGCCTCACAAAGTTGCACGTTTTTCCTAAAAACGAACTTAGAGGATCTTAGTAAGTCTTTAAGAAACACGACTTCGAAAATTGTCATTTCTTATGCAACGTTGCTCGAAGTTATTGACTAAAATACAAGAATCACGTTAAAGTAACATGGTCATGATAGTAATTCGATCCAAAATCTTTTTGAACCGTCCAATTAGATAAACGTAACTGCCCAACAGCAATGATCGCATTTATCAAAGTAAAATGCTAGGATAATTTACAGAATAGTTTTGACTATGCTAGGTTTTCCAAATCCGTGCCTGGTAAAACTATTCATTTAAACAAAAATAGTGCGAATTGGCTAAAACGTTAAATTACGAATTTTTTTAATATATGGTTTGAAGATTATTTCTAAAATTAAACATAAATTTCCTATCAATTTTATTGTATTAAATTGCATACATGCTACTGACATCACATGATTGAGGAATCGACGGTACGTTCACTCGTGTAATGAAATACAGGTAAATACTTTATACAAAGTCTATAAATAGGGTTTTTATTGTCAGCTCAGATACAGTAACCGCTCATGAACTTCTGCTCTTTGTGGTGTATTCCATACTTTCACTTTCAACAAGGCCCAAAACAAGTTGTATCTTAAACAGAAAGAGATGGTGTTTCTGCTACTTTTTCTAGGATTCGGTTTTGCTTAATCTACCCCGGCTACTGCAATCGGATAAGCACGAAGCTTGATGCTCTCTAAAATCTTCGAAGCAAAATAAAAAATCACATATATGTATATACCTCAACATATCATTTGATAATTATTTGACACAAAGTAGATCTATGGATCGTTTTGTTATTATTTTGTTGTTGTTCTTGGTATTGGACCAATTGCTTTGAATTTTTCAGTGGTTGAAGATTGTATTTTTTGGTAGAAGGCTATTACTTTTATTCATTTAATAATTTCTGTATGCTCTTTGGGATTAGTTGTTTGTGTTCCTTGACGTCATATAAAATTGCGCACCTTGTGGGGGTTCCTCGTTCGCGCAAGTCGTGAACAGTGCGGTACCGGTAGCCTGTCTACTGTGCCAGATCGCATACCCGTACTACCTCCCTTTGGTCTCCTTGTCCTTTTCTTTGGTCTTCTTGTGACTTGTTTATAATGTATTCACTATAAATAGCACTGTGCGGTGATATAATTTATAAAAAACCTTTTACTTTTTGCCCAGGGCTTGTGAGAGATTCAAATCGTCTATATATATAAATTGTCGCTCACGATTTAGATAAATGGACCGTAAGATTTATAAAAACCTTATTTGTCTGGTAATATTGCTAATTTTTTTACAGTGTTCACACGACAAGCCAATTCGTGTAAATAATTTGTATTCATACTTAATCATATTGGATCATTCCTGCACACGATACATTTGGAATTATTTAATAAAATGCAAATTATGTATCAGAATTCTGCAGGTTGACTCCAATTGAAGTTCAATCTTCAGAATAGAAAAAGTTCTTCCGGTGGTATGAGAAACTATCTATATTATGATTAAATATCGTAAATTTTAATGCCATTTTACTGTTATCAAATTATATGAGATGACTTTGTCAGAATACTCAAAATACTTTTTTCCAGATATATATTACACGAATAATCAGTGAAATGCGCTATGATAACGTAACCCAGGTATTCCTATATGCTTCATGTAATAGTCGTCCATACATTCACGGCTCTATTTTTCCATTTAAACTTAAAAATCCCATTGATTAATTTTCGATGTTATATTTGTTTGTAAAAAAAGAGTTTTCCCGAGAAGCGATGTATTTCAGAGCTTCAAACAAGACTTTGGTTGGCGTTCTAGAAGTGTGTGTACCAATATGGAGGTAACTGTTTTTGTTCGCCTACTTTACGTCAAGTTGTGTAAAGGAACTGAAATCTATGGACAAGAGGTATTCGCTTGGCTAACACAGACAGTTCCCGAACTTCTGATAGAATTAAAATCAAGAAAATCGGAATAAAATTATGGCCTAACTCTAACTTGGTACACAAACTACTACAGTACCCTTTGGGTATATAGCGATCTACAATGTTTAATAGGAACATAATGTTTCCGCTATGAATACATAAAATATCTCCAATTATTTGGTAAGCTTGCGATGAACAATGCTCCACAAGTAGACTCGTGTAACGAAATATCCACAAGATGCGATAGATTATTATAGAAAGAATGATACGTGAATGGGGTAATGCAACATAACAACATAGGAATATAATTATGCGCGTGGAATATATTTTTAATCGATTCTGTTAAGCACTAAATTCGAGTGGAAGCAAAATAAAACAAAAGTAAAAACAACGGGACCTGCTTTCGGCATAATGTTATGAAATCGGTCTAAGTTTTTCTTTCCAAATGCATCGAATACTCGTGATTGCATTATCTATTATGATTCCATAAATATTCCAGTATGATCCTTGTACCCGAGACATATTTTCATTGCAAATCTCTTTGTCCACATTTAGAATCGAAGATTTCCCATTTGCCTTCTAAATTTTGCGATATTCATCACGATAGACGTATGATTCCCTGAAATATGATTTATTGAAGACTTGAGAATATTGTTTGTTGATAGATTTCATTAGCTGCAAATATAAAGACTTGCAAATTAATCTAAAACAGTGGAAATAAAATCACGAGCGTAAGGTCTTTTGGGTTTCATGCAAATTGATATAAAGGTGGAAGAGAGTATTCGAAACTAGTGATATTCACTCGTATTCCATAACAAAACACTACCACTTCTGTCTAATTCAGTGGTTCTTAACCTTTATTGCATCATTTACCCCAGGGGTCGGCGAACTGCAGCCCTTGAACGACCCGACATTTAATACATAAAACAAAAATTGATCCTAAATTTATTATTGTCTTCACACGGATTTATGTGATAACAAGTGCTGCTGTAACAAGGCGCGTCAGTTGTAGCCTATGTCGTTCGAGTTAATTTTAATTATTTAATTAAAAATGTTTGAAAATCGGTGGGAGTTCGCGACGAGGGTCGAACCTACCAAAGTGCTTGGACGGAAAAATATTTTTCTATCTTACGCCTTCCAAAACCAGTTTACACGATATGCCCAATCGACATCGCAGTTATTCAGGGATTCAATGTTAAACTCAACTGCGCCACAGCTCATTTGTGCGACAGTGCTAAACGTGTAATGGGCATGTTCGGAAGAATATATTGCTGTGAGCAGCTTCATCTAAAATGCATTACACTTGTATTAAATTTTGTACTCGCTTGTCATATCTTCATTTGGACGACGTACCGCGGTAAGTTGCCATAAAAACTTCATCCTGTACATTTATAATAAGTAAAACAACAAGGTTTTGTGGAATAATATATTAAAAATCGCCACATACACATCTGTACAAGCATA